GCATTGACCTAATAAATACCTACACCAAGTTTTGAACATTCTAGCTTAATTAGAAGCAGATTTATTGTGTCCCAACAGACAGACGGACACAGACAGACAGACGGATGAACCCATTTTAATAGTCCTCTGCTTTCTTCGAAAGGCGGGGGACAATAAAATATTGGCCAATCACTTCATCAATATATGCGTATCTGAATGAAGGCTCATACATGTACTAAGTTTCATATTTTGTTTTAAAATATCCAATATTCACTCAGACACCATTTCCAAGGTGTTTTGCGAAAGTAAGCAACAGGAAAAAGCAACTTCCTTCAAAAACATTGGGAATGGGAATTTATAAATGATTATGGATTAGTACAATCTGATTAAAATACAGATACTATTTCGTTTCGTTTTTTATAGTTCCAAATGTCGTTTTACTTGCCTTCAGTACACTATGATCAGGAAGAATTGTTATTTAAAGCTACGTTCCCAGAAAAGTATTTATCGGGTGGTTGTTTCCAATAAAAGTATGGCAATTTTGATATGGAAAGTAGAAATATCCAATCTTACTAGAAAAATATCAGATTCACTGAAAAACACTCATGGAGCGCATACAGGACAAAAATGTAAGGGTTTCCCTAATCGACAGCCCGACGATTAGGAGTGTCTGCATACGTGACGTCGAAGTTTGCACGCGGAGATTGAGCGCTTGATGTACATTTTGATAAACTTTATGAAGAATTAGACGTACAACACTTTCTGAGATAAAAATCACGGAAAAAGACGCGGACAGTGGATAATCCAAAAATTTAATTAGGCTTCGATATTTGTAATAAATAGTCAGCGATTAAAGACAACATCGTCTTGTGTATGCAATGAATTGTCCTCCAACTTCACTTGCGTTGCTAGGTACCGAGAGGTAAGTCACGTGACACAAACATGACCTCTTTTGATCGATTTTTTTATAGCCAGGGTATTCCCCGACAATTGCAATGTTTTGAGAAGGATTTGAAGCAAAATTATGATAAATTAATTAGTTTGAATATGTTTTTAGTCCAAATATATCATCAAATCACCCAGTTTGGACCCGGGAATGTATCTTTAACCTACATTCTAGTTGATGTTATGGATTAGCCAATGAAAAGGTCTGTTGCAGTGGGTTCTTGGCATGCGGTTGAACAACAACCTTTGCTTACCTCAATCAGTTGCTGTATGTTAAACATTAAGCTTATACATCAGAAAGTAAAATACTATAATAGTTTGATGTTTGTACAAAGTTTCAAAAAGATTTCTTGACTTGAACAAATAATGAAATATGCTCCGGAAATGAAATCGGGATGGAAGGACGTTCATCAGAAAATAAAAGTATTATAACAGTATCTTGAATAGTTTCTGAGATATGCTCTAGAATAATAATTATACACCAAAAAATAAGTCAAATGTGTAGTAAAAATTCAAAAATCATTCAACAGAGAATTTTGTTTCCATGAACCATAAAAATTATTAAATCTGACAAATTTCTAATTAGCAAAAGGCACAATAACTGTAATGGGATGATGTGTGTGCAAAGTTTCAAAAGATATTTTGAACGGTTTATGAGAAATGCTCCGAAAACAAAATTATACATAAAAATTAAGACAAATTTGTTTCCATCAGATAAATTCTAAATGAGCAAAAGGCACAACTACTAATAGGTTGATGTTTGTACAGAGTTTCATGAAGATATCTTGAATGGTTTATGAGATATACTCCGGAAACAAAATTGAACACAAAAAACTAAGTTAAATTTGTTTCTGTTGAAACACAAAAATTATTAAATCCCAGAATTTCTAAATTAGCAAAAGCCACAACTACTATAACAGGTTAATGTTTGTACAAAGTTTCATGATGAAATCTTGAATGGTTTATGAGATATGCTCCGGAAACAAAATTGTACACCAAAAACAAAGTCAAATCTGTTTTCATGGAAACACAAAAAATATAAATCCCAGAAATTCCTAAATAGCAACAGGTACAACTACTGTAATGGGTTGATGTGTGTACAAAGTTTCAAAAAGATATCTTGAATGGTTTATAAGATATGCTCAGGAAACAAAATCAGGATGGACGGACAGAAGGACGGACCCCATTTCAATATCCCTCCATAACTTCGTTCGGCACAGGATAAAAACGAAACGAAATGTAACTCTGTACTTTAATCAGATTGTGGATTATAGCATAAATTGATTAGTATCAGTTGGAAAAATTGAGTGTTTTTGTAACTAAGAGTTATAGAATATATTTCTACCATTTGAACTGCAGATAAAGAAAACTATATTTCTAGTTCTATTTAGCCTTGAAAAGATTATAAAAGCAACTTCTGGCTATATAATTATGACTTACACATTTTAATACCCTTTTTACACTTGTGTTTAGTTGTATATAGTATACTACAGAGCCTGCAAAAGGTTTAGATTTCAGAGGTACATGTAATAACTTCATAATAACTTAGAACAAACACAAATGTGGATAGACTTTTTTTCTTATCCTGTGGTATACTACAAATTGTAGATTGATTCCAAATTTTGATATGCTTCTTTTTTTCTTGCCAAATAAGTAAGAAAATTTAAAATACTGCTGTATGTATTGGAAGACAAAACCACAATATTTGATTATTATATATTCCCTCCGACCAGCCAAACATTAAATTTTGTAAGTCCTTTGCCTGTAGACCACAGGTCTATTGCTAAATATTAATATTGTGGGTTCATTTACAGCTTTCATTACCTTGAAAATTTCATAAAGTCACATTTAGATAGATACATTACAATAAAACACATGATAATATACTACTGTGTGAACCGTGGTAAATAATAAACGGATTTCTTCGATTATGAACAAACTACTATACTTTGGTTATTATAAACTTACCTGTGTGTTTGAAATTACCTCCGGTTATATATAATCCATTGTACAACTATATGTCCTTGCAATTAAAAAAGTTCTCTCTTGTAAAATTGAACTCATCACAAACTTTGATACCGAGAAATAACCAAAATGGAAGCTAATTACGTCACTTATCGGGATATATCATTTCATATAGGGGGGTCAAAGCAAGGCTTGTCTGTCGTAACGAATGTGTATGAATAAGCTATTCCTCTCGGAACCCAGTAATGAGTTTTGGCGTTTAAAAACATAAATACGCCCGTAGTCCGGTATTTTGTTTCCCTCTTGTATTATAATTATTTGGTTAGAGAGTTTGGTGGGATTATTTCTTTTAAATTATATTTGTTTTACTGACCTTGAATGAATTTCACCCTTGAATATCTTTATACGCCAACATTTTCATGTGGACGTATTATGCCGTCGCCCCTGTCTGTCCGGACATCCGTGGACTCTCTATAGGTCACAATTCTTATCCGATTTTGACGAAACTTGAAATATAGGTTTATCCCCAAAAGATCTCGGCTGCTTTCGATATATTGGCATGTATCGGATCGAAACTTCATGGTATATGGCCCCTGATTTTACGAAAAATCACGTTTTTAGCTTGTGGACCCTATAGAGGTCACAATTTTTATCCGATTTTGTTGAAACTTGAAATGTAAGTTTATAACCCAATAATCTCGGTTCCTTTCGATATTCGCGCATATCGGACCGTAACTTCCTGAATTATGGCCCCTGATTGTACGAAAAATCGCGTTTTTAGCTTGTGGACCCTATAGAGGTCATAATTTTTATCCGATTTAAAAAAACGTATTATTATATCACCGTTACACCCTAAGGAAGGCTGAGTTCGAATTTCGTGAAAATCAGCCCAAAACTGACAGATAAAATGGCCGCCCTTCGTTCTCAAATAGCGTAAAAATATGGTATATCAAGGCTGTGGACCCTATAGAGGTCACAATTTTAATCCGATTTTGTTGAAACTTGAAATGTAAGTTTATAACACAAAGATCTCGGTTCCTTTTGATATTTGCGCATATCGAATTGTAATTTCCTGAATTATTTCCCTTGATTGTAGGAAAAATCACTTTCTTTTTAGCTTGTTCTCTATCCATCTCTCGAAAATAAGAGTGTATCCTGCCTGGCAGCCGCTTGTTAATATTTCCTGATGAACTTAAGCAGTCCTGTCAATTAACCTCAGCAATCTGCTGTAGCCGAGGTAAATGCCGATGTATTTTACATTTGCCTAGACAACATTAATAGCCGAGGCCATTGAATCATTGAATAGGTATAGGCCTATAACGTTATTTTTTTTTTATATATAAATAATACCAAAAATTATTACCAACAATTAATCATACCGCACACCGGATTAATTATCAGCAGATAGTTCAGTTTCTTTCTACTTCGCTCTGAATATTATTTCCGGTGTGCAAAAAACTGTTTAGAAAAATTTATAATCGTATGTGATCGGTAACACTATTATTTTGTAAATTCACGGTTTTGTTTTGAAATTCACAAGACAATGTATCCAATATACAATTATATGTACAGGGGTGAAAAACAATATTATATTTACGAGTATTCGTATAATTGGTGATATATTCATTGTGAATAAAATTTAGTAGACTGACAATCAATTGTTTCCAAATCAATGTCTTTGTCTCAGTTGCTATTGTGTTGCCCAAACTCAAAAACTCGAAACGGTCGTGCGCTGTTGTTATTACAACACACGTGATTCAACCTTTACCCCCCTTCAACATATTATGATGGTTTAGCTCATGACGTGACATGTGTAATGTTGTGATGGACACTGTCGAAAATACAAGTAAAAACATTGATTTTTCAAGAGGGAACTTTTGTTTTGGTTTGGATATTTAATTGTGCAATGGATTTTATTCAACCAGAGGTGATTTCAAACACATAGGCAAGTTTTTAATAACAATTATTCAGTAGTTTGTTCACAATCGAAGAAATCCGTTTATAATTTACCTTGGTTCACACAGTAATACTCTTTTTTATATTAATGGGCTACACTTCATTTTGTCATGCTGATGCATACATTATAGGACAATTAAGATAATAATGTGTACCTGTATAACTGTGGTTAATTGACTGAGTTTAGATTTTAATAAGGATAATTCTTCTAATATCTGAGTGTAGGTATCAACATCTATCATCACCATATCCCTGCCTTCATGTGTTGTCATAGTGACATCTGCTAAGGAAGACAATGAGGGCCTAGAAAACAAGGAATAATAATGTCAACTGTCCCTTAATTAATCAATGAAATAATGGATAGCACTTCAACTTTTACGACTGCACATCATGTTTCAGACCAGGAGCAGTTAGAAATGTTCAATGCTTTTGAATTGGACTTATTATCACAAAAATACTTTCCTAAACTTAGGACAAATACATGTAGAAAAATTAAGAAATTTAATGTCCAATCTTTGTCACATGGCTTTAAAATGAATGAATATTACTCCAATTACAAATGCAAGAGCATTAACTGATAGTCATTTAACACTCAGAAAAAGAATATATCAATGTTATATTTTACGTATATGTACATATATTTATCTCACATATCTAATTAAATCACTCATTGTTGTTATTGTATGTTATTGTGTTGACAAAGTCATGAATAACCAAGTCTTTTGAAGTTTTTCCCAACCAATAGAAAAATAAAAACCACAATCAATAAATCAATGCTGACTATTTTCATTTTGAGCATTCCTATTGCCATTGGGGACAAATTTCCATCTCTATTTTTTTTTTCTCCAGGTTTAGCTCAATTGTGAATCATTAAATTTATATCTCTCTAGGCAAATAGGTTCACTGTAGCCAAATGGAAGCTGGTTCCGGCTGCCAAGACATCACATTAGTGTGCATTTTAAACTTTGATACTTGTACATGGTTTTTCAAAACTACTTACATTTACAATAACATTATAACGAATGTCTTGTGTATACCTGTATAAAGTCTTGCTTTTACAGTTAACCGATTTAATATGCAACATTAAAATCAGTCTTTAAACAGATCATGCAGTATTTGACAATAACAATTTTGTGTGTTCTTGGAAGTACATTTACATGTAGATCTTAAATTTAGTACATGTATACGCACATCAGACAATATATAAATAAAGATATTGTTTTTACCAACCTGACACTGCTTGATAACGATGCAAGAGATACTTGTTTAACGACACGTCTCTCTATTAACTTTGGTTTCACATTCACTTCACTAAAATCAATTGAATGTCCGTTTGGTTTGGATTTCAAACTAGTATTATTTTGATCTGGTATAATGTTATTAGAACTGTTAGGAAGAACACTATCATTAATGGGTATTTCTGAGATCTTCTCTTTATCTAAAGTTTCCTTAGCTTCTGTAGGAAAACCCTCATGTCTTTTTTCAGGCACCAAAGAATCAAACTCACTTGACAAATTATTAGCATAAAATTCACAATTGCAGATATCTCTTGCGAGAGCTTCTATTTCACTGGTTGTACTTAAAGTACTTATTCGATTTTTGGAATTTTGTCGATCTAAGCTATAATCTACAGAATCAAATTTAGCCAAAGGAGCACAAAAACTAATATCATCTTTAAAAATTTCGGACGCCTCACTTTTGGTACGATCTAAATGAGTTGTCATTTGTTTATTAATATCTAAACTGTCACTAGATTTCCAAGACAACCGGACTTTTTTATCAGTTTTTCTCATAAAGTCTCTAAAACTTGATTTCAATCCAGCAATATCTGAATTTCTTTTGGATTTGGGACTGTTCATATGGGTTTTACAGATGGAAGTTGAATTGCTTTGCCAGGTAGATTTACCTGCATGTCTTGGTCCACAAGAACAATATGTTTGTATTTGAACATCACCAGTTGATTCTTTACCACAGTTAGTATGATCAGTTTTACTAGTGTCTTTACAAATATCACAATCTGTAGTCTGATTATACCACGACTCTCTTTCATTTACATCATTGAGATAAGATTCTGTACGACTTGGTGACTCATTTTCATCTTTGATAGAATTTGGAGCCAAGCTCTCTATTCCACTGTCAGATGGTACAACTCGTTTCTCTACATTATCATCTTCTTCACAATTTGTTCCAACACTTTTAGTTTGAAGTAATATTTCTTCTTCTTCTGAGGTAAAATTCACTCCATAGGCTTGAATTTCTTTTTCTAATTTACCATTTGATCTATCTACAGGCCTATCTCTGGGAAGTTTGTGTTTTGGACTTTGTACTGCTTCATTACTGGCAGTAGAATAACATCCTCCCATCTTAACATTTGGTTACTTTATAATCTGAAAAAAAAAAAATATTTATCAAATGGTATAAAATACTTGGTACATAAAAAATAATTCATTGTCTTCATCATTAGTCCTGTTGGGGCAGAAAAGAAGGATGTAAAACCCGATTTCATTCAATCACTATAATTCAAGATATTCTCTTGTTCTGTGACCTGATTAGTTTGAATCTTGTTTAGATCTCAGGCACCTACATGTACATGTAGTCTCAAACTTAATGTCATTTTTGAAAGATTTCCATTTTACATGTAAAAGCACCTGTGGTTTCAATATCAATTCATTTGCTTTACTTGCTATATATACTATAATATACATGTACCGATAGGTAAAGTTTTGCTTTAGAACTGATATATGACCCAAATTGCCTCATTTATTACCGCATATAGTAGCTTCATGAAGTTCTATCTAGAATCACATAGCTCTCAGGTTTCAGAGGTTTTTTTTTAACTGGCAAATGTTACATTGTTATGCACATTCTACTCCTGATTGTTACACCTCTTATATATGTAGTAGATTCCTTTATTGATACAAAATACAAATGATTCATTATTCTATAATTGAACAGCTTTTTATAAACTTGTAGGATAAGACTATTCATAAATCATCACTTGTCTTGACACAATTTTCCACTCAACTGCCTTATATCAGAATAAATCCATATAATAATCTCAGAAAGTCAAAGATGAATTGAGATAAATTATTGAAGTATCAAATGAAGGAGTTTTTACAAAAAAAATTATATTCAGCCATGCACACCAATGAGAATAAAACACATTTTAGACAAAGCAGCTGTTTTATTTCACAAACTTACCAAAACAGCTTTTATTTTTTGTTTTACACATCTTCATAGATAGCCTACAATAAGTTGGCTTACAGGGCTTTGTACAAATACTTTAATGCAAGCTGAATGGGTTAAACATCTTAATATAACTCTTGCGCAAATCAGATGTTAAAAGTAGCTCACAATTTGACTATCTGGAATCTCAATAATGGATGACCCTTGTCTCTCCCATCTGGTTTAACTTGTTAAGAGATCATACATCATGAACCTGGTAAAGTACTACAAGTATGCATTCATTGAAGTAGCTGACATCATGATCTCTGACAAGAGCTGTGGCTTATCTTCCTTTATTATACAACCTAAATAATACATACATGTAGTTCACCTGTATTGGCAAGGGGGGGGGGGCATCATTTTAAGATCTTCTAATGGTGATGTATCCTATTAGAGGCAGTCTACAAATAATAGGAACAAATTTGAACAGCTGTACGGTTATATGCACATGCAAGTAAATCAAATGGCAATGCAGCTTTGCATTTATTGTTTTAGTCAGGTTTATACTCAAATTCTAATGAAATTTACCATTTAAATGAACTGATACAAATAAGTTCAAATGAATAAAATATTGTTTAAACTAAGTTCAGTAACCAAATAAAACTGAAACAACACATTCACCAATTTTGTTTCATAAACCTTCTAGTTAATAAATACAGTTTTCTTATCTAGTTAATGTATGGCTGTTCATATTTATTTGTCAATTACACTACTTATCACTATGTTTGCAGGGCATTTTAGTATATATCTATCAATGGGTAAACAGTGAAAACACCAAGATAATTGAGTTTTATCATGCTCTTTTGAGAAAAACCTGGCGATTCTTGCTATCCTGCTATAATAGTTCAAAAATAGATAATGAGAACTGATTATACTGAAAATTTCAATCGAATTACTTTATTCTAAGTCAGAGCAGAATTATGAATTTTTGAAGCCTTGACAAGAAATAGCCATATTCTCAATTGTCAAGTATCAATGCCACTACAATATAGTCAAAGTCTTGACTGTTAGACCATTTGCAGTCGTGATTGAATAAATCTCTAAATTATAATTTATGTAACATTTGAAGCCAGAAAAACATCTGACAATAAACAGATTTAGCTTGCGCTTAATTTCTTCTTGAATATATCATTCGCGTGAATGCCGTCACTGTACCCTTTATATTCTCACTTGTAAATAATAAATCACAATATGACAAATTTGGGGCATTTATGAATTCTAATTAAATGCAACACACTGCATTTTTACTGACATGTGGCAATTAAACTGAACAATGAACAAACACTGTCTTCCATATTTACACCTACATATGTATCTCCTAAGGTATGACACAAATTGAGTTATAAATGTCATATCGAGATCTGAATGAACATAATCCAAAAACAAAATCCAAAAAATTTCTTGGTCAACCCAGATTGAATTTTGAAAATGTAGGATGGGCCCCGACGAAAGACACAATTAATTTAAACCAGTGATTCTCAACCAGTGTGCCACGAGACCTTCCTAAGTCTGCCACGAAATTTTGAATGGCACACTAAGAAAATGTAAAAAAAAAACATGTGATCCCAATTGAGAATTCACTGGGTTCTACTGATAAGTTCATAGCTGTGAGTCATTCTATATGTCTTTGACTAGTTTCTGTCTACGGTTGTATTCTGTCTGACTTACCATGTTCTTATTTTGCAAAATTCAAATATTTTTCAAGGTGGAGATCGAGAAGGAACTTGGATTTTGCAAGCAGCAGCAAGGCTAGTTCTTTGGATGGACAAAAATACGGGTGAAACTAAATGAACCTTTGACAGTTGGAATTTGATGACGAGTAGGCAGCAATGCTTCTGTCTGGCCATAATTTCCCTCCTTAGCATTGCAAACATAACCACAGAAATAAATAACTGTATGTTTATCTCAAAATGACAGAAGTATTGTGTTGAAAAGATGTCAACTCCTTTCTTATCACACATTAGCCATGACTTACTAATTTGACCAATACTTTGTCCAAATATTTTTTTCACAGACAAACATTTACCAGGTCAGCAAACAACATTTTACAACATTAAATCATACACAGAAGCAATAATGTAGATCAGTTTACTTTCCTGATCTTCTATCACTAATAATCTTACACATGTCTTAAATTGAAAGGGGTTATATAAAGTTTTCAGTAATTAATAAAGCAGCTACATGTACATGGACTTAAACTACATTCACCTGTCTTCTAAAATAGAACATTTAATCAAGCACTAAAATAGAAACATACAGCAAATGATTCATATGAAGAAAACCTTGCTTACTTTTCCTTCCCTGTGTGTAATCTAACAATTGCAAGTAAATGTTTAACATTCAAATTTACTGATGTATGTGCATAGCAAGCTAAATGAATTTAATTCTGTGCAAAATAGAAGTAAAAGGTCTTCTCCATATTATGAATGTTATTCTTATTTTAGCTCAAACACTACTGCTTTAGCCTTGTGAAAAAGATTTATACCGGTAGTTAAATAAAATATAAATTATGACCCTTAGGAAGATTACTACACTACTCAGGATAAGCTTATGTCATATTTAAACTAATAGTAATAATCAATTTTCCTTCACTGTATTCAAATATACATAGATCAAGTTAACAAGAGTAAGACGAGACAAGTCATATATCATGGTGATATATTAGGGACATAATTAGCTCAACTATACTTCTATCACAAATATAATACCATTATCATCAGGACATCTGCTCCTGTATTAATTTCTCACATAATATATTAAAACACAGACTGAGCTAGTTTTAAAGCTACAAATCAACATATTGCGTTCTTTTGATAATATCTAATTTTTCTTTGATTAAAGATACATTATGGGAGATTAGATAAAGAGCGGACAGTTCTCACTATAATAGACAAAACTTGATAATGTAAAGGGAATTTGCTGAAATTGATCCATTCTGAACCAAGATGTTAGCTTTTGAATTTTTACCTAGCCTCGATCATCATTACTAATGTTGATACGATAAAAAACATTTTTTGATTAAATAATCAATGAGTGTTTAGCAGCAAATCCAGTAAATATTGCAGGCTAGCAATGACATCGAGAGTTGATTATGGTCTGGATAAGTTAATTAATGTTTAATTAATAATATAGATAACATTTCAGGACTAAAGAAAGACCTGCAATAGGCCGAATTAGCTCTTGCATGTATGTTTAAGAAAACAAAACCAATACATCACTGCTAAATATCTTCTGGTTTGGATTCAATCTGATAAAATGAGCTCATCAAATGATTTTTCCCAACACTTACATGTAGCTGGACTGAGTTGCATTTCTTGTCTATATCGTCATCAATTCATCATAACAGTGTAAATAATGAATATAATAAAATATTCTTTTAAGATTTTAGATATTCTTCTTCAACAATAGTCAAGCTTGCAAGGGAGAGAGAGAGAGAGAAATGGGGTTTAACGTCCACTCGACACAAACTAGGTCATTTCGGGACTAACATATGGTTTTAATTTTATTTCAATAATTCGCTTGCGCGTAGGGGTCTTTAGCAGTGGGAGGAAACCAGAGGACCCAGAGAAAACCCACGATGTTGGACAGGCGACTCTACTCCTTGTCACGTATAACCGGGGATTCGAAACCACGCCAGTTGACTCAATGACAGGCGTTATGATACAACACGCGCGTGCTAACCATTCGGCCATCCAACCCCCCAGCTTGCAAGGGATACAAAATCTCTCAAATAGGGGTTGAGGTGTAATATACTTTTTTTAATTTTATAAACTTTTAAACACTGAACGACTTAAAACAAGACTCAATCAGCCCCATACGCAGTAATCAAACTGGTGTACATGTACTTGTTAGACTGGGTCTGTTAACTCTTTGAACAACTTTCCAGTTGTTTGGGAAGTTTACATGCTAACAATTATTTCCTTCTTTCCATAACGTGGCTTAATGAGTAAGCTTCCCAAGATTTTCCAGTGTGGATCCCCGTCTTCAGAAGTGCACTGAACAGTGTCTGGTCATTTAGATGGGACAAAAAACTGATGTACTTTACGTTGGCATGCGTGTAAAAGAACCCATTACAGCTGGAATTAAAATAAAAGTAGGCTATAGTGCGCTTTCGCTGCAAATTTACCCCAAAGCAAACTGCCAGGTGTATGCCCGTATTGATTAGCCCATTGGTGCCAGAAAAGTAGGATGTTAAACACTATTCTCTTTTCATAACCCCCTAACAAGTGTAACATGTGTATATACATATACCTACATGTATCAGAAAACATGTAATGCAAAATCTAACAATAACCACTACGACATCACTAGCATATACAATCACCACAGGCACAAACTTTGTATTTAATCGCATTGATAATAACCAGCACATAGAAGACACTAAATTATGTTTGATAACCTTACTAAAAAGTTTATTATTTTAATTCAAAAATGGAGAGGTTAGGATTTTAATTACAATTTTTACAGTACACTGTGTTTTATTCACTGTTTATTCCTATTCGGGGTAAGCTCTTATATTATCTTTTATCTTGAATACAGATCAGGTTCTAGACATGTGTTACTTAATAGTGTTCTCTTGGTTTCAATGATGATATCAAGTGTACTTAAATACATGTAACACATCTACTGTATGTCAACAGTTGACTACTCCAAGTGAATAAGCTCATGTACACTTGTGTTTAGGATGCAGATTACCCTGATGCACTAATTCTTTCTGAACACTACATGTACCTACCGGCTAATTGAGAGAGAGAAAAATGGGGTTTAACGTCCACTCGACATACACTAGGTCACTTCAGGACTAACATATGGTTCAATTTTATTTCAATAATTCTCTTGCGCGTCGGGGTCTTCAGAAGTGGGAAGAAACCGGAGGACCTGGAGAAAACCCACATGGTTGGACAGGCGACCCTACTCCTTATCACGTACAACCGGGGAATCGAAACCACGCCAGTTGACTCAATGACAGACCTTATTATGCAACACTCCCGAGCTAACCAGTCAGCCATCCAACCACCCCCTGGCTAATTTAAGTGATCAAATAATTCATATGTAAAAAAAAAACCTTACATTTTCTTTCTGTAGTAGGACAAACAAATGACTCTTTCATAGTTATGTTTTCTCATTATCATCAATGGTTGACAGTTTGGAATAAATAATCATATTTCCTGAAGATTTCTGGTAATAAAATTTTGTGTATCACATTTATTAAAAATCTGGAATAACCTTACAGTAAAATTACACCGATCACTCAATTTTGAGGAAGTAGCCAACTGGTAAAGCTCAAAAGAGATTGTGAGACAACAGAAGACAAATTTCTCCTCCTTTAAGCTATAATAACAAAAAAGGGGTTGGCATTCTGAACCTGATCTAAGCTCCAGAAGCTATGCTTACCATCCAAGTCTGCACTAATCAAAAAAACTTTTTAGTTTTTGTAAATAAAAGAGAGAACATGTGACAACAATGCTGATGAATGGAGGTGAAAAAGAAGCAATATGTTTGCTAAAGCAACAAGTTTGTTTAAATGGGTTTTAAAACAAATGTAAACAAATACTGTTTGATTACCATACTGGGGTTTGAGTACACAACACTTTTGAGAAAATTGCATGTATATGATAGTAGTTTACAAATAATCAAATCCATGTTATTGTTTGTGAATATTTACTAATTTAGTACTTTTCAATCAATTTAGCAGTTCTAGGTATCTTATTGTTTTAGCTCAATGTTTTCTAATATGGAGGGGAAACCCTGCCGTAATTCCAACTTCTAACTAACTCTCAACTTTTATTCATGTAAATGCTCAATTCTTATTTCTAGTTTTAATTTCTAATTTTTAACTAACAATTTATACATGTAACTTTATACCTTCTTTTTTTTATTCATGTAAATGCTAAATTCTTATTTCTAACTTTTAATTTCTAATTTTTACATTCCAATTTCTTACTCGTGTGTTATTTCTTGGTCATTTATCTATGATATAGCACGTTTCCATAAGTATTCTCTTATCATTTTCAAGCACAAAAAGAAACTTTTATACACGTAACTTCTTATTTTTATTCATGTAAATGCTAAATTCTTATTTTTAACTTTTAATTTCTACATTCCAATTTCTTACTCGTGTGTTATTTCTTGGTCATTCATCTATGATATAGCACATAACGTCGTTTCCGATAAGTATTCTCTTACCGTTTTCAAGCACAAAACGAAACATGATGAATCAAGCCTTACTTGCAACACTGCAGCTATATTTCTTTAAAAAATGACCAGAGCACAATACAGTCACACATTACTAGGATGAATGCATGTTAACTCGTCCACATGAAAAAGTCTAATTAAGTCATCCATAAATATCAAAATACATGTATGTTGGTTGGTCTTCCACATTATTGTGGTATAATTATCAATATATCTGGAGATAACACAGGTAAAATTTACTGTTCATCATGAAGTCATGTAGCATGTGGATCACACACTGCTGTATAGACCTATTATATATGCAAAGTTGATTGTTTATAAAAAAATAATGTCGGCATATATGTGTTTTATATTTGTATCTGTAATATTTTTGTATATTTGATAATATTAACATGCAATACCGGTATATGGTTATTAAAAGGCTATACCAAACAATAAAACAGTAGCTGCACTACACGTAATCCAACAATTAAGTTAGATGTAACATCTGAACAGCCAAAAGCTTGGCGCAAAAGTTGATAATTAAGCCTGGTGCACACTACACAACATTAGCAATTTCAATCGCCAATGATAAAAAATCAAAAATTCGCCTAGTGTGCGCACTCAGTCGGTAGCGATTTTTTGTCACCAGCGACCGTCGTGGTGATGGTTGCCAATATCAGACATGTTTGATATGATTGCCCAAGATGTCACTTCGTTGGCAACAAATCATGTACTGTGCTCACCTCGGCGACTTAAGCGACAACCAAGGAAATAACTTCACTTATTAAACCAATCATTTTTGGTTATTCTTCTCATGTGACATAACCACACACGAGGTTTCTCAGATTTTTTTTCTGTTGCATGTAGAAGTGGCTAGGATAATCTAATTTAGGCCTAACTAATTGAAACTAAGGTTGCAATTCCCACACTTAATAAATCGGGATGACGACTAAAATGCACTTAGAGGTGTCACGTGATGAAACGATATTTGTCGCCGAACTCGTCGCTTAAGTTGTCGCATAATGTGCACCAGGCTTTAGTTTACTTCTTTCAGCAGATGGCAAAATTCCCAATTCTAAGTTATCTACACTGCTAACACAACAAACTTATATATCCAGTCGATTTATTTCATATAAAATAGTTTTTTTCTATGTGCATTTATGAGATTTCCAAAAATCCATCACAGACAAGCAACTAAAAATCATTAAACAGGAGATGACCCTGTTGAACTCCGGCAAATTTAAATTCCAAACAAGATTCCACACAAAATAAATATCTATTTTTCATTTACTTTCAATAAAATTCATTTACTTTGTTATTGTATTGTCATAAAACATTTAAATTTTGTTCTATGTGCCAGACGGACATAGTGTCGAAAGCACTGCAACATTATTTAAATTTAAAATTATATTTCGTTACGAGTAAAAGTTTGAGATGTCATGTATAGGTTAATCTATAGGTTAATTGTTGAGTTTGGATCTAGGAGGTTCTGGTATTTGTAATCTAGTTTTACTGACAGCTATTACAATTGTTTGACAGTGAGTTTCATTGCTGTTCAATAAAGGCTCATTGAATAAGTTAGGACATGCATGTGGAATTTACTGACTGAAGCCTTTCAGCATGTAAGTATTGGGTCCGCTTTAGCCAGAGGTTACACATGTGAACGAAACCTCTTGGCCCCATGGAGTACACTACACTATGTATACGTTTCTTTGATGTTTACAATGTCTACTTATAAGTCATGTCACGAAATGACCATCTCACTGCGCATATCTGGATAATGATAATGACATGCGACATGTCTGAATTATAAAAGTAAATGATTTTTTGGTAAAATCCAAACTCGAAGTCGAAGTCAAAAGAACATTTGATGAACAAATTAATCAGCAATAAAAATACCCAATAGGAGAATGCATTGCTTTCGGCTAGTACAGAACTGTATGATTCACATCGATAAAAGGTTTCAACATAATAAACTCTAACCTGTGCAACGAGTATGTCATTTCTCTGAAAAAAAATCCAAAGAGGAGACCAGATTCTGAATGTTTACAGTCTATCCGAGAGATAAGACGATGACATCGCACCTGTTTTGATTGCCTGTTTTAGTTGTGGGAGGGATTTAACTCAACGCCCTCTATTACATTAGAGTAAAGTTCTCCTGAAGAGTCTTGATTGTCAAGACACTCTGGTGTAATGAATACTGACGTCATTGGGATACTGTTCAGGCAATAAATATGGGTCACTGGGTGAATACGAATACACACCATGAAATATACAATTGAGGCCAGCTGTAATTTAATACACATACAAATACACACCAGTAAAAAATAGGTTAGTAGTTCATCCAAATAAGTATCAACTAGTGGATTTGCACTCAAAATAGAAGGGAAAAATCCCAAATACTTAATATATGTATGAATATATCTGTGTATATGTATTCTCGAGGAAATACCCCAAGCTATAAAATATTATCTATTTAAAGAAGCCATGTCTCGCACTGCACATAAAAGATGAGGTTGTCTTTATCGCTGTCGATTTACAATAAATATCAAGCCTAAGTAAATTCTGAGATTATCCCCTGCCCTCAGAATCTGTTGTACGTTTTTAATTCTCTCATTTTTCCACATCCGCTCCCAATCATATTTATCAAATACACATTAAATTTCCCCAATGAAAGGGGGTAAAACAATCTACGCATGCAACCTCTGACGTCACTTGAGCAGACAGCCCTAAACGTCACCCTTATATTTTTGTCCTGTGCACACTCCATGGATGTTTATCGAGGAATCCACTATTTTTGTAGTAAGATTTGGAGTCTCTGCTTTCATACCAAAGTTGCCATACTTTTATTGGAAAACGTATCTTTTAAATGGAAATAATGCCAAGATTATACCGTACTATTTGTTCTATAAAATATTTGTGGCCGTTATTTCCTACAAGCTTGCAAATTCTGTAAACTACTATAGAATTTGATCCCATAAGAAATGTGCCACACCCTCTAAATTCTTTAAAATTTGTATATATTTGCACTTTAGGGGTCATCTTAGTGACCATTTTTAAGTAAATATTTCACTATTTTCTGTTGTGTAGGTTTGGGTTGTTTTATTCTAATGATGAATTTAGATTAAAAGGGCAATGGCCCATTGAATTTTGTAAATGTGATAAATTTGTAGAACTTTAATTATTAGGAAATGTATTGGATTCATTATCTGTACAATATATCACTGTCTGCACAATATATCACTGTCTATACACACCACCAGTTGACAAGTGTTTATTGAAGGACCAATTAAACCCACATTATGCAAGAGCTAAATCAGTCTATTGCAGGTCTTTCTTTAGGCCTGGGCCCTGTTTCTCGAAATCTTAACTAAAGATAAAATCCCAATTTTAGTAGATACTTCAATTTTGATTGGCTAAGCACCAAGATCAATCTAATATTATCCAATCAAATTACTAAAATTTGGATTTTATCTTAGTTAAAATTTCGTGAAACAGGCCCCTTGAAATGTTATCTAAATTATTAATTAGACATTAATTAACCTATCTAGACCATAATCAACTCTAGATGGCATCGCTAGCCTGCGATCTTTAGTGGATTATGAGCCGATTTACTGCATAACTTTCCTTCACGATTTAACGATTAAATGGATAATCGAGACTATGCTGGTTATCGTACTGACTTTAGTTAAGATGATCGAAGCTAGGCGGAAATTTCAATCGCTTAGTTCTCGGTTCATAGTGGATCAATTTGAATGTCGATTAGGGCCCGATGAAAATCGTCCGTTATAAACTATTGTCCGTTATACAGTGTCCGCTATAAAAGACTTTGAAAATAAGAAATTTCTATTACAAAAATCGGGACCAAACCGTTATATGCGATTGTCCGTTGTATGCGCGTCCCTTATATGCGGAGTCTACTGTAATTTAAATAACCCGTAATAATACTTCATATCCAAAACTATTCTCTATAAGTACAGAAATACAAATGGTCCAGTCATTTGTCGATATATTCATTATTAGCTATATATAATAATAACCATTTCTATACACAAAAAAACAACTTTTATCGTAACTCCATTTGTATGAAGGCCCAGTGTCAAACAAACAAAAATATTAATCCGTTTGAACGAGTTAGTATCTCGTTTGAACGAATAGTGTCTCGTTTGAACGAATTGGTATCTCGTTTGAACGAATTGGTATCTCGTTTGAACGAATTAATTATCTCGTTTGAACGAATTAATTATCTCGTTTGAACGAATTATCTCGTGTGAACGAATTAAGATTTCGATTGTACAGAAGCATGGAAGGGACATGCAGAAATTTTGTTTCAAGTAAAGATAATATGATTTAATACGCGTAAGTTCTTTACTATTTCTAGCGTTAGCGTCAGTAGAAGGAGCTACACTTGTGAAAAGGGGAATTAGTATAGAATACCTTGGAAATTATCCAATTTGTTTAATGTTAGCCTGAGTTAGCCACAACATTGTAGAGAAGTCATAACTAGAACAAACAAATCATCACACATCACTCCTGTCTTGAAATCCCTGCATTGGCTTCCAATTCATGCACGTATTGAATTTAAGATCTTGTGTTTGACTTACCAGTGTCAGTGGGGTACTGCACCCTTGTATCTTTCAGAAGTATTAACTATATACCAGCCTACCCGTACTTTGAGATCCCAACATCAAAACCTTTTATGCATTCCGTCATCAAAATTGAAACAATTTGGAGATAGAAGTTTCAGTGTTGCTGCACCCAAACTCTGGAATAGTTTGCCAATCAATATCCGTGACTGTAAAACTCTGTTCAGTTTTAAATCACATTTAAAAACTTACATGTTTAAACTATCTTATCCAGACTAATATAATTGATATGTTTTTACTCCTTTTTGAAAGCGCTTTGAGCATGCTTATGGATGGATTTGGCGCTCTAGAAATCTACATTATTATTATTATTATTATTGTTTTATGACATGTATATGCTTAAACAGGTATTATGCAAGAGCTAAATCTGCCTATTGCAGGTCTTTCTTTAGGCCTTAAACACTATTCATTAGACATTTATTAACATATTTAAAATGTGGATAACTTCCAACATATTCTATACTAATTCTCATTCTGATAAATGTAGTTCCCTCTACTGACGGTAACGCTAGAAATAGTAAAGAACTTTCGTATTAAATGACATTATCTTTACTTAAAACACAATTTCTGGGCATGAATATCAAATACAAGTGATCATACGTGGAGTTCTGATGCCGTTTGGCGAGAGATTAAACTGTCAATGTAATTGTAAAATACATTTTTTTATAAAGAAGTTAAACAATGTTAGACATTATAACCTAATCTTATCACAAACGTTGTTGTTGTTGTTTATTAAAGATTTAACGTCCAATACATGTAATGAAATCTGATATTATGGACAGGTTGATTTAATTAAATTATTTACACTTAATGGGTAAAAACATAAAATAAAAACCACCGTGTATACCAAAATTGACCTTAAAATTATCCATCGAAGAATTTATATTAAGATTTCATGTAAAATCAATTAAATGTTGTCTATACGCCAATCAATAAATAATACGGGGCTACTTTATTACAAAAAACATCGATGAACAAAGCTAATTGATTATTGGGTAAATAATAGTTCTACATTTAACTGATGAGTAAAACTTAATTATTCTGTAAAATTAACGTGTGTACGATGGACGATTAGTTATGGTGTAGATAAATGTTTGTAGAAAAGTTCCTCCGTAAATGTTTTCGTTCGTTCGTGGGGCATTACGCACACACGTTCCACCTAGAGTGATGTCTTTGATCTGGCCGGCGTAAAAATGATAATTACCATATCAGCATTCTTAATCCCACATCGAGGTGTAAATTAATTTATGACCCCATGTCTGTTGGATTGATTAATGACAGATCAATCTGTTTCACAGAGAATTACCAGTCTAGCCTAGCGAAAAATTCACTGCTGATCAGTGCGATGACAGATATTAACGACACTACATTTGCCATACACAAAGATAGTTAGACGACCCTTCTCAATCTGTTATTCGATTTAGATGGTTACCAACAAAATTTATGTGTAGTTAATTCTAACGTATATTGAGATACAGTTGGCTACTCTGATTACGGCTTGTCATTTACAAATTGCGTTTCAATCAGGTTTGGCTTTTATAGATTTTGCATGACCACATCTTTTTACTCCTGTACTCTTACTCGGAGAAATACTCCAATACTCTTCTGTCGGAAGAGAACCTTCTGTATATTATTTTCATCATTTGCTTGAAAACGTTGAGAGAACCCTCAATTTTAATTAAAATAGTAATTGTGTTCGATATTATGGTTTTGTGTTATTACGTATGTCAATTAATTGCTAAATTCCGCTCAAAGAAGAAAACAATATTCGGTAGTCAATTGTTTTATTTAATTAGGGGATTAAGGAATCAGTCAGGCGTTAATGAATACACATGTCGGCTGTATAGGTAAAATTAAGGAATATGCATTCGGTCACTGGCGTCTGAGGGAATTAATTGTGTTTGCAATAATTGGCAAAGTCGTTTTTACGGGAGGTCTCTTTCTGAGTGAAGATAGCCGAATTAATTTTAATCAGATTGGTGTGAACTTGCCGTAAAAATCCCATGGCTATACGTACCGAAAAAGAATGTCGGCCATCTTATGTGCACTTTTAAAGTAAAATACCAGTAATGCCAAGATTATGATGGATGTTTCCCATTTATAGGCATAGACCTTCAAGTTTAGTCAATATTTTCATAATGGTTATCTTGGCGATTCCATACTGCACACAGCAATGCATCTACTTCATACCTCGAGCCAACTGTAGACAGATCGACCTTACCACGCGACTCAACTGGTCGCCGACTGGTTTTCCGGCGACTGTCGCCGATCGTCGCACGATTTCCGTCGCCGAATCTAGTCGATCTGAGTCTAGCTACGACCGTCGTGCGACAGTTTTTCACGATCGGCGACTGAGTCGCAGGAGTTGAACATGTTCTACTTCTACGACGCGACCAGTCGCCGACTCGTCATCATCGATGTGTGCGTTTCTACGATCGGTTGTCGACTGTGCTATAAATTTTAGCCAATCAGAGCGGCGAATGAAAAATCAACATATGACGACCGAATATAAATCATATCAAATAGAATCATAAACAAAAATTTGAATCCCTCGAGGTAATTTAAATTGCTTTCTCACTATAATTTCGCTAATTAGATGGAGAGATTATGGAATAATTGGGCATATTTTGTATTTTTATGGGGAAAATTTGTGTGCGCGTACCTGCATTCTGTGTGGCGCCATTTTGAACGAGTCACATGATCTATTCATGAGGACGCCACAAGTCGGTGTGTCGATGTGAGCGCGCTCGCGTTCAATCGTACGACCGATAGCAACTGGTCGGCGATCATTGCTGAATCAGATCTGAGTGCAATCTACGATAGTCGCCGACAGTTGAGTCGCGTCGCAAGGTCGATCTGAGCCGGGCTTTAGTTTGGGATGGGCGATTCCAACACTGAGAGACTGACACAAATGAAATAAAATGGGTTCTAGCAGACTACTTTTCTGCTCGAACTGGGCAAATGATAACAGTCATACACCATGCAGTGTGGTATTTGGGAAATTTTGCCCAGACAGCTGTGCTATGGCCTACTCTTATTTCGATTTTCCAACTGTCAAGGTTTCTTTTATGTGCACACAGGACCTCAGTGTTTCGTCCAATCTAAACAACAATACGCTGTCCCTTGCTAGGCCCCTCCATCCTTCACCACTGACAAGGTAACACCACGCAAGAAAAACATGAACTTTCTCAGTCAACACTGGCATCGAATGCAGAAGCTCCGTAGGTTAGGTAGCCAATGTCTTACTCACTGAGCCTCTGCAGCTCCCTTGGCACAAATGGGATTCTGGTTTATAAACCAAGTGAAAACTAGAGCTTGGAGGGAAGTGAAACCTGACCAATCATTTATGATGGCCTTAAAATAGTTGATATTTCAACACTTTATTTATAATATTTATTAGAATTAAAGAATAAAATCAGATAGGAACAGTGCTTATTTGGGTTGAATATATCCAATGCCATAAATCCTTTTAAATAAATTGTAGTTTTTATAGTGTATGGCAGTAACAATAGAGGTTTACATCAACAACCAGAGAACATATAGTACTGATCCCTTCTATTCTATTATGCTAAAGTCCTTTCTGTTCTATTGCAACAGTCCCAAATAGATTTAACTATAATGCAAACTGAAGAAATGTAATCTGCAAATTAACTAATACATGACTTTTATACAGTATTTTGTATTATTGAAAAATGTATTCTGTATTTTAACACTGTGACACATATTGGTATTGTACAGCAATGGAAAGTGCAAATTGTGAAATTACCAGTGGTTGCTAGTCGAGATACGCCCACATTTTGCAAGAGATGGATAGAGAACAAGCTAAAAAAAAAAGTGATTTTTCGTACAATCAGGGGCCATAATCCAGAAAGTTATTGTCTAAAATGCACAAATATCAAATGGGACTGAGATCTTTGAGATCTTTGAGATATAAAGATAGATTTTAAGTTTCATCAAAATTGGATAAAAATTGTGAGCGCTAGAGGGTCCACAACCTCCGTATTACATACTTTTACACCATTTGCATACAAAGAGTGGAAATTTTGTCAGGCAGTTTCATTTCGATTTTCCCCGATTTTGGTCCGATTTTCACAAATTTGAAATTAGCCAACATTACGGTGTAACGGTGATATATTCGAACGTTTTTTTAAATCCGATAATAACTGTGACCTCTAGAGGGATCACAAGCTAAAAACACGATTTGTCGTACAATCAGGGGCCATAATTCAGGACATTACGATCCGATATGCTCCAAGATCTTTAGGTTATAAACATGCATTTCAAGTTTCATCAAAATCGGGTGAAAATTGTGACCTCTAGAGAGTCCACAAATTAAAAACGTGATTTTCGTACAATCAGGGGCCATAATCCACGAAGTTATGGTCAGATACATGCCAATATCAAAAGGAACCGAGATCTTTCGAATATAGACCTATATCAAGTTTCATCAAAATCGGATAAAAATTGTGACCTGGAGAGTGTCCACAAACAAATTGTGGACGGACGGACGGACGACATAATATGTCCACATGAAAATGTTGGCGTATAAAAACACTTCTGTTCATCTTTGTGTTCCAAAAAGTGTGATGGACAGGCGGACAGAGGGACAAACCCATTTCAATATTCTCCTCTCCTGCTTTTCTTCAAAAGGCGGGGGGGAAAAACAAGTAGTGAGATGTGAACCAGTGTTTGCACTTTGCAGGAATAAGAGAGAGAGAAATGGGGTTTAACGTCCACTCGACACAAACTAGGTCATTTCGGGACTAACATATGGTTTAATTTTATTTACATAATTCGCTTGCGAGTAGGGGTCTTTAGCAGTGGGAGGAAACCGGAGGACCCTGACATAACCCACGAGGTTGGACAGGCGACCCTACTCTTTGCCACGTACAACCGGGGATTCGAAACCACGCCAGTCGACTCAATGACAGACTTTATGATACAGCGCGCGCACGCTAACCATTCAGCCATCCAACCCCCCCGTTGCAGGAATAAACCAATGCAGTGTATATTTACACAATACAAGAGAAAACGAAACATTTATTCATTTCAAAATCATGTGCAGTCCAATAAGGATTCAAAATTAGGAGTGCATATAAGTCGCTGTTTTACTTGTCCCAATACTGCCATATGACCAGTCTCATCTGCTACTTTCACAGAGACCACATCCTATATAATAAAAAAATTAAAAAAAAAAGGTTTTTTTTAAATTCTCGTACAACAAACAGTACTACATCATCAATTATATGGGATATTAACTCCATAAACATCATAAAGATAATGTATTTATTATGCCTGTGAAAATAATTTATCTGAACCAGCAGTTGCCAGGCAAGATACGCCCACATTTTGCAAGAGATGGATAGAGAACAAGCTAAAAACAAAAGCGATTTTTCATACAATCAGGGGCCATAATCAAGAAAGTGATGGTCTGAAGTGCGCAAATATGGAAAGGAACTGAGATCTTTGGGACATAAACATACATTTTAAGTTTTATCAAAATTGGTCAAAAATTGTGATCTCTAAAGGGTCCACAACCTTCGTATTACATATTTTTACACAATTTGCGGACAAAGAGCAGCCATTTTGTTTCGTTTCGATTTTCCCACAGTTCAAATTCAACCTTTATTATGGTGGAATGGTGATATATTTTAATGGAAATTGATAATAGAAAATGTACATTTTTAATTTTATTAGATTTATCTGCTGCTTTCGACATGGTGGATCATTCTATTCTTTTAGGTAGACTTCATTTTAAATATGGCATTTGTGGCTCTGCATAAAATCTTGTAGAAAGCTATCTTGTGGGTAGAAAACAGTGTATTTTAGTTAATTGTAAATTGTTGTCCGAGTCTGTTTTGTCATCTGGGGTTCCTCAAGGTTCCGTTCTTGGTTCGATTTTATTAACCCTTTATAGGTCACCAGAAAATATGGTCTCAGCTTTCATTTGTATGCCGAAGATACTCAATTATATATTTCATTTACACCTAATTGTCCATCTTCTTTCAATTTATCAAAATTGCAACTTGAGAACTGTATTAGTGAAATTAGAAAATTGATGTCAAAGAACTTTCTAAAATTGAATGATGATAAAACCGAATATTTGTTATTAGGCTCAAGGCATCAATTAAGTAAATTTGCACATGATAATCCCCCCGTTGTAATTGGTAATTGTGATATATTTCCATCTTATTCTGTTCATAATATTGGCACAATCTTTGATACTTGTAAATTGTGCTATTTTAATATCAGAAATATAAGTAAAATACGCAAATTTGTAACTGTAGAGGCCACTAAGTCACTCGTTAATTCTCTGGTCACTTCTTGATTAGATAACTTTAATTCACTTTTAGTTGGTTTACCTTTAAAGCTTATAGATAAATTACAAAAAGTACAGAATACTGCAGCTAGACTTGTTACTTTAACTAAGAAATGCGACCACATAACTCCTGTTTTATATAATTTACACTGGTTACCTGTTAAATATCGAATTGATTTTAAGATTTTATTACTTATTTTTAAATGTTTAAATAATTTAGCTCCTGTTTACCTCTCAGATCTTTTAGAACTTTATACACCTGGCCGAACATTATGTACATCAGATAAACTACTTTTAAAGCCCAAAACTGTTCAACTAGTCTCTTATGGTCAGCGCTCTTTTAGTTATCAAGCACCTGTTTTATGGAATAATCTACCATTTAGTTTAAAATGTTGTACATCTCTATATTCTTTTAAAAATCAACTTAAAACACATTTATTTAATCTGGCTTTTAACGACTCTGTATACGATCGTTAACATGTCCATAATCTTGTTGTTTATTTATGATTATATTGTCACTTTGTAAAGTGACCCTGAACATGTTATATTAAAGGGAGCACTATAAATATAATAATAATATTTAACCAGTTTTTATAATCGGATAAAAAATTGTGACCTCTAGAGAATCCACAAGCTAAAAAAGACAATTTTTCGTACAATAAGGGGCCATAATCCAGTTACGGTCTGATATGTGCAAATACCGAAAGTTTCATCAAAATCTGATAACAATTGTGACATTGAGAGGGTCCACAACCTTGGTATGACATACTTATACACTATTTGCATACAAGTGGCCACCATTTTGTCAGGCAGTTTTGGTGCGATTTTCACGAAATTGGAACTCAACAGTCATTAGGATGCAACGGTGATATATTCACATGTTTTTTTAAATTGGATAAAAATTGTGACCTCTAGAGGAACCACAAGCTAAAAACGTGGTTTTTCGTACAATCAAGGGCCATAATTCAGGAAGTTACGATCCAATATGTGTGAATAACGAAAGGAACCAATATCTTTGGGTTATAAACAAGTATTTCAAGTTTCATCAAAATCGGAGCAAAATTGTGACCGCTAGAGTGTCCATAAGTTAAAAACATGATTTTTCGTAACTTCAGGGGCCATAATCAATGATACATGCCAATATCAAAAGGAACCGAGATCTTTGGGAGATAGACGACAGTATACGTCCGCATGAAAATGTGGGCGCATAAAAATTAGTTGGAAGTGAATAATGACTGATATAAATCTTATAAACTGTAAAAAGTCCATTGGTAATTTTAGGATATTTGTGTGCAGCATGTCACATTCATACTTTATTTTTTATTTCCTTTACCTGTAAAAAACCACTTGGGGTACCAATAGCAACATCCAATTTGACGTTTCCCAGAAGTAACTCAGCTTTTCCAGATTTTCTTATCTGAATTTTGCCAATATAGCCTTCCGAAAAATCAGAAAGGCAGCATGTGGATAGTTTATTTAGTAGACCATCCTGAAAGTGGAAAACAAGTTTAACTTTACCAAATTAGACTGTACAGATTATTTTTACAACAAACAACACAGATGACATGTTATACTATTACTTCTCATAACACACAGGTAACTTTTTAAAGTAAAGATTACTTCTCAACTGAATTTTTGCCATAGAAGTCTATTACACATTACATGTAAATTTTTCTTATTAAAAAAATACATATAACTACCTCTTCTTTTTTACCAGGATCTTTTGCATCTTCTGCCTTAACTTTGGATGGTTTACTACTCTCTTCTTCTCTTGCTGGAGGTAACCCTGGAAGTGTATCAGGCAACTGAAGGAAAATTAATTCACCATTCTCTGAAAATATAATCATGTACTTGAATAATAATTTTTACTTGTTGTAAATGTGAACTTAATGTAAAATATTTGTTGTGCAGACTAAATCTTATATAAAAAAAGGTTTTAAAACTAAACCATATGTATTTAGTGATATATTTAACATTTCTGTCAAAGATTTCCTGTGATCACAGAATTTAACAGCTTTTGAAAATTTTCTTCCTTATTTCACAACTCAAAAGATAGGTTGCCTGTCAATGAAACATATGCCCGCAGCAATTATTATACAAAACATGTAATATCATGAATTTAGCTGTTCAAGTTAACAAAAATCGCTGAAAATCAAACAGCTTCCAGGTCTCTGCGTATAAATCAATCGAGTCATAACTTTAGTTTATCTAGAGCGTCCACAAGATATTTCAAAGTGATCAAGTAATTATCAGAAATCGTTGAACATCAATAGGCTTCTTTGTCTTATGACCTTAAACATTGTGCATGTATTTTGATCTCTAGAGTGTTCACAAGATTTTTCAAAGTGATCAAGGGCCATAGCTCTGGCAGTAATTATTTGAAATCATTGAAAATCAATTGAATCGACCTCTTTGTCTCATCACCTTAATCAATCGAGTTATAACTTTATCCTCTAGAGCATCCACAAGCCATTGTGGACACCAGGTGGACGAACAATATACGACCACATTTCAATGTGGGTGGATAAAAATGTTCAATTTTTCTTCACTGCTTACCAGTTTTTCCGCATTTTGTAAAGAAATCTTCACAAGATATATCATCAGTGACAGTCTCCTGTACTTTCTTAACTTTGTTTGAATTAATGGCAGAACCTTTGTTTTTTTCCACATCAACCATTTCAATATCTTTCGAGTCTTCATCTGAAAATGGTTTTCAACAAGGATTTGAAACAAATGCAACAACTCTGCTTCTAGTAATTGATGGGAGATGTTCAGACTAGGTGTAGATGATTATCAGACGAATGTTTAATATCATTACATTAGTACCTTGGGTGAGTATGCTGAAGAACATCTTCTGCTTAGAACATGATAACTCTGATTCTAATAGATTGAGTGTGATGGAACTTGGTTGAGCGTATAGTTTCATTACCTCAATATCTTTACTGAGTTTGATAGAGAGTATTTTCTGCTCATGTTATGCTGAGTGATAAGTTATTTGATTACTTGATAAAAATATGTGTGCAATCATCAAAACGGAGTCAAGACATTCACCTAATGAACATCTACACCAAGTAGAAGCAGATCTTTTGTATACCAAAAGTAGACATACAGGGTACTATATAAGATAAGGGGAAGGACAGTAATCAATTAAAAGCTTCTTTAAATAAATAAATTTAAAAAATATACTTTGAGGATTAAAATGAAGTATTTTTGTTTTCTGATTGTCAAGACACTATATTTCCTTCAGCTGTTATACTTTATGGGTTTCATTTTCAGAAATGTTGTTCAATTAGTTTAAATTCACATCTTTTGAGAGTTGATTTTCATAGAAACATCACTGTGTAACAAAATAGCAGTTAATATTAAATTCCTCCATTTTGTTTAAGCCTAGCGACTGGTATATTCTTTAAGTACAGACATGTAGAAGGATTTTACAACATGTCACAAAGGTAACATTACAACTGGCCTTGAGATTTGATTGGTTTTCAAAGATAAAATAAATAGTGATCTATAGAAAGTCAGATGCAGATTACAGGGTCTATGACATTACGCTGAGCACATCTGAAGGAAAACCAAGCCGCTACACATACATAATAAATTTATAGAGCAATATGATAAATAGTGCAGATCATATAAACTTCGAAACTATAGGGTGATATTTCATACCAAACAGAATCTTATATTAGATTGCTGATCTATATACAAGACAGTTCTTCCTTGTCAGTGGTGCAGGATAGATATCCTGGTATGCAACAAAGTATGATGATCATTTGGATGGGATGGAAAACCAAGATCCCTTGTCACATTGGCGTGCACATAAAAGATAACAAGGCACACTGTATGGCGTATGCCCAGTGGGAGCAGAGCAGTAGGATGTTAAACCCCCTTTCCATTTCCATGTCATTTCATATATACAAGACTTACCTTGATCTATAGGTTCTGTTTTAATATCTGTTTGAATTTCTGTCTTAATCTCACTTTTGATTTTAGATGCCAATGGTAAAACAACCGGGGCCATATCTTCATCTTCCTTTGTCCCATCATCAATAAACTGAAAAATATTGTATCAGATTAACCATTTCAGACATTATATAACATTTAACATAGTTCAATACTGTGCCCAGCAATTTAATTCAACTTCAGTAAGAACAGAAAATCTAACACATGCATAGAGATAGAGAACAATCAGGGGCCATAATTCAGGAAGTTACGATCCAAAATGTGCAAATATCAAAAGGAAACCAAATTCTTTGGGTTATAAACTTACATTCAAGTTTTATCAAAATCAGAAGAAAATTGTGACCTCTAGAGGGTCGACAACATTCATATACCATATTGTTAAGCTATTTGAGTATGAGGGGCAGCCATTTTGTCTGTCAGTTTTGGTCCTATTTTTATGAAATTCGAATTCAACCATCCTTAGGGTGTAACAGTGATATATTCAAACGGTTTTTGAAATCGGATAAAAATTATAACCTCTGTAGGGTCAACAAGCTAAAAACGCGGTTTTCAGTACAATCAGGGGACATAATTCAGAAAGTTACGGTCCGATGTGTGCGAATATCGAAAGAAACCGGGATCTTTGGATTTTACACTTACATTTCAAGTTTCATCAAGATCAGAAGAAAATTGTGACCTCTAGAGAGTTCACAACCTTGATATATTATATTTTTACGCTATTTGAGTACGAGGAGCGGTCATTTTGTCTGTTAGTTTAGGTCCGATTTTTACGAAATTCAAACTCAACCATCCTTAGGGTGATATATTCAAACGTTTTTTTAAATTGGATAAAAATTATGACCTCTATAGGGTCAACAAGCTAAAAACGCAATTTTTGTACAATCAGGGGCCATAATCCATGAAGTTACGGTCCGAAATGTGCAAATATCAAAAGGAAACCAAATTCCTTGGGTTATAAACTTACATTTCAAGTTTCATCAAAATCAGAAGAAAATGGTGACCTCTAGAGTGTCGATAACATTCATATACCATATGATGATATATTCACACCTTTTTTAAAATCAGATAATATTTGACCTCTAGTGGGACCACAAGCTAAAAACGTGATTTTTCGTACAATCAGGGGCCATAATTCAGGAAATTACGATCCGATATGCGCGAATATTGAAAGGAACCAAGGTCTTTGGGTTATAAACATGCATTTCAAGTTTCATCAAAATCGGGTTAAAATTGTGACCTCTAGTTTCCACAAGCTAAAAACGTGATTTTTCGTACAATCAGGGGCCATAATCCATGAAGTGTTGGTCCAATACATGCCAATATCGAAAGGAACTGAGATCTTTGGGAGATAAACCTATATTTGACGTTTCGTTGAAATCGGATAAGAATTGTGACGAACGGACAGGGTCGATGACAATATACGTCCACATGAAAATGTGGGCATATAAAAACTTACATCATCACGTAATAAATCATCTAAAATTTTCTTTACAGCTCCTGGCTCTTTCTTTTCTCTCTTAACACTCATCTTAGATGAAGATGCTCGATCACCATCATTTCTACTTGAAGATGCTGAAATGGGTCATTCATTTATTAAAACATACACCTAATAGAAGAATTGATGTCTAGTTCATAATGAAAAATTGTTAGAAATCTTAGAAAATATTTCTTGAAAACCATGCAAATTTGAAAGTTTTCTGGACTTCAGTATGGGAAACAATGAATATTTCATATAAAGTGTCCACTAGAATTTGCAAAGCCATATGCAGTTACAACTCCCAAGATGAGATCACATTTTCAAACATATCTTTATTACACTCATTTAATAATCTTAAAGAATTCTGTACAAGTTTGAAATATTTCAAGAAAATAATTACATATATAAAACATGTTGATATATTGGATTGTAGACATTTCACATATAATAATTACCTCTGTGTCCAGGAAGCTTTTGCGCTGGGCCTTGTTCAAAAATTGAATGAGACTGAACTAGTGTATTTTCTCTAGTGCGGCCTCTGCCTCTCCCTCGTCCTCTTTCATTACTGCGATTTCTGGAATGTCCTGCTTGCTGTTTCACTTGTTTATTAGTTGTTGCTCTTAAATAGAGAGAATTTTGAACTACAGTATGTAATTTGTACTTAGAAGAATCATTGAAACATGATGGAAGCTTGTCTGGCCAAGTAATACATTCACAACCAAGTCTTTGAAATATTTGTCAACAAATCCCACAGGGTTAGTTTAAAAAGAAACAGACTTTTGAACTCTGTCCAAATCCTGAACAGTCAAGAATTGAAGAGAAAGATAAATTCTTTAGAAATTTACACACACTCTCAAATTTTGAAAATCAATATAGTAATGTAATTGTGTGATAGCTTTGCACCATACAATTGAAAGAATGACCAATCCCTGTGAATTTGAATATCTATTTTTATGTTTTCTTAGGATGGTTATTGTAAATTTTGTAAAATGATTTTTTGGACTGTCACTTACTCTTCCTTTGGTTTATCCCTTCTAGCCGGAATATTTGGTGTAAACACTTTCTTTGGAACACCACCAAGTGTTAAATCCCTTGGTCCTTTCAGAGATGGTAACCTAAAGAGAGAAATAATGTGACAATTGAAATATCTTTAAATTGTAACCATGGGCATAGAAGATACCAATTCCAAAGGATTTGTGTATAACTTTTAGCATATTGTAAAGTTTCATAATATATTGATGGATTGTCTGCATTTTTTTCAATTTTTCTGTTGAGCTACATGAGTATAAGAAAAATACTGATGCATCTTTCAAGAGCAGTGATGTGCACACAGGTAACCTATAATGGTCTATATGTAGGGCAGATTTTAATTTTCTGAAAATCAATATAAGATTAGGTACATTGTAGCTAGCCAATCGATGGCCAGCTTGAATTTTACTGGTCTCATATCAAGTTAATCAGAATAGCAGAATTAATTATGGTAGCTAATTTGTATTATTTTATTATTTTGAATGAAGATAGTCTATGGAAAGCAATCAGCAAAATTACCATTGGGGTAAGCGGGTCTTGAAGAATAGAAACATTACCTAGCAGCTTTTCCAGGTGTTGCACCCTTTCTACCAATTAAACCTTTAGGAAGATCTGGTTTATTATTGTCTGCCATAATTTTATTATCAATTCAGGATTCAGGTACAATATGCCATATATGGTATCATATCGGTTCTCTCTTGCATCTATCTTTTATGTAGATATTTCATCTGAAATGAAATAAAGATGTAATCTTGTATTATGGAAATACTTTTTACATTAAAAACAGTATAGGCCTAGTCCCTCATCAAAGTTCATGAAGAAAACAAATTGGTGTAATAGTATATAAAAGTGTCTCCACAGAAGATGTTTTGTTTTCTGATGTTATGCAGTACATTACATTTAAATAGGGTACTGTTACTAGGTAGAAAAATCTACCAGTATTTGTTCAGTAATTATATTACGCGCTCAATCATAATCAACTTATCTGTGTGATGGCTCTGGCTTAGTCGATCTGTTCTGATCAGAAATCAATAGTACCAACAGTATCGTACCTAAACATTAATTTAAACTTGGATCTTTTGTCACTTTCATCCTGAACAGTTCTGATACAGCTAGATACTAAGTAGTTTGTTCATACATAAAACCAATTTATATGGTTAGTTTCTTTCCATTTTGAGTAAATTAGCCTACTAGAAGCACAGTGGACGTTTATGATTTACTCGATTAAACATGCATTATGAAAGAGCTAAATCTGCCTATTGCAAGTCTTTCTTTAGGCCTGAAATGTTACATAAAGTTCTATTAATTAGACATTTCTTAAACATGCATTATGCAAGAGCTAAATCTGCCTATTGCAGGTCTTTCTTTAGGCCTGAAATGTTTTCTAAAGTATTAATTAGACATTAATTAACTGAGTAATTTGAATGAAATTTTCAAATTATTCATTTTACATCATCTACTTTCGAACTATTATAGCAAGAATGGCTAGTTCTTTATCTAAATCTTACATAATGTATCTTTAACATGACAAGACCATAATCAACTCTCGATGTCATCTGATGGGTCCGATTTTAAACAAATTTGAATCCGATCTGCGGCTCAACGGCTGTTAATGATTAACTGTAACCAACGGCTGCCAGGCAGGATATGCCCACATTTTGCAAGAGATGGATAGAGAACAAGCTAAAACCAACTTCAGTAAGAACACAAAATCTAACACATGCATAGAGATAGAGAACAAGCTAAAAACAAACAGGATTTTTTGTACAATCAGGGGCAATAATCCAGAAAGTTATGGTCTGAAATGCACAAATATCAAAAGGGACTGAGATCTTTGGGATATAGAGATATGGTTTAAGTTTCATTAAAATCGGATAAAAATTATGACCTCTAAGGGGTCCACAACCTTCGTATTACATACTTTTACACAATTTGCGTACAAAGAGCGGCCATTTTGCTGGGCAGTTTCATTTCAATTTTCCCGAAATTCGAATTCAACCTTCATTATGGTGGAATGGTGATATATTTAAACGTTTTTTAAAATCGGGAAAAAAATTGTGACCTCTAGAGAATCTGCAAGCTAAAAATGTGATTTTTCGAACAATCAGGGGTCATAATCCAGGAGGTTACGTTCGGATATGCGCGATTATCAAAAGGAACCAAGATATTAGAGTGTAACAGTGAAATATTCACACCTTTTTTAAAATCAGATAATATTTGACCTCTAATGAGACCACAAGCTAAAAATGCGATTTTTCATACAATCAGGGGCCAAAATTAAGGAAGTTCTGATCTGATCTGCGCGAATATCAAAAGGAACCAAGACCTTTGGGATATAAACATGCACTTCAAGTTTCATCAAAATTGTGACCTCTAGTAGGGACCACAAGCTAAAAATGTGATTTTGCGTACAATCAGGGACCATAATTCAGGAAATTATGATCCGATATGCACGAATATCGAAAGGAACCAAGGTCTTTAGGTTATAAACATCCATTTCAAGTTTCATCAAAATCAGGTTAAAATTGTGCTCTCTAGAGTGTCCACAAGCTAAAAACATGATTTTTCGTACAATCAGGGGCCATAATCCATGAAGTTCTGGTCTGATACATGCCAATATCGAAATGAAACAAGATCTTTGGGAGATAGACCTATATTTTAAGTTTTGTCAAAATCGGATAAAAATTGTGACTTGTAGAATGTCCACAAACAAATTGTAGATGGACGGACAGGGGCGACGGCATCATACATCCACATGAAAATGTGGGCGTATAAAAATGGATAATAGAGACTTTGTTTATTATCGTAACAACAATAACTATCATACAAGGACAATCAAGGCTACCGATTGAAACGAGGTTTTCTCGGCTTAGAGTGAAGTAATTTGATATTTTCAGCATATTCCCTTTACATTATCTATTTTGTTTTAACTTATTATAGCGAGAACTGTCTGCTCTTTACCTAATCTTCCATAATGCATTTGTTGTTTATAATGCATGTTATGTAGGCTTACTGACTGAGGGTTTTGTCCGTGGATTTGTCTTGTGTAGTTGTTAAATAGGTGCAGTGATGGCCCTCTAGAAATGGTTCCATTACTGATGTCTTCCGCCTTACTCCAGCCACAGTAGTGGCTCATCCTACGGAGTTCCTTTGCGCAGGTTTTTTAGTCAAATGACTACAAAAAGTTTACTAGCCTAAAGCCCCCTTAATTTACACATAAACTGACCCCAAACTGTACTGCACATAGCTTAACATATGATAAACCAATTCCCATTGAAATAAAGGTGAAGTCTTACCGCATAATTATATGATGAAACCCAACTGTTACGCGAATTTGGCGAGATTTCATCAGGCTGGTGTCATGGCGGCTTACATTAAAAGAAATGTCGCTTTGAAAATGTAGAACGCATAATTACCACAAAGAAAAACTGTTCAATAACTATTTTAGTGATTCAGTCTTCACTATTTGTGATAGAATTACTTATTTCAATACAAACTGTAATGATATGTGTTGACAATTGTGCGTTTGAACCTATTTGTACTTGAGTAAGGAGTCTTTAGACTGTATAAATTGTAGTTTAACGCTACGACATTTGTAGGTAATGGCTCTCCTGCATTAGAATGACTAATACTGTACTAGTAAATAATGCCAGATCCATACTTTTATTGTTTGATGTACCGGTTATGTACCCATATTTTGTCATAAAAATAGTAGGCCGTAGGCTTCTCATACGACAAAATAAATCAAATTCATACTGACGATAAGCCGTAAGCATTTGGGAACACTGAAGTGAAATATTTGTACGCTTATTTAAAAGTAATAAATTACCAAAACCATGTTATTTGATCAAATTACCGGTAGAATATAACGGTGTCATTAACACCGCACTCTGCTCGAAATGGAAAATGAACCTTCCGACTACTTCCACTTTTTGTGCAATAGAGTTAACAGTAGTTTGATTGGTTCAATATAAAAAGGAAAGATAACTGACAACTGTGCTACACTGTAGGCCTGGTTATTAAGACCGTCTTTTTAAAGGTCTTCGATGCATATATAAATTATTAATTAGACATTTATTAACACAAGACCAGACCATAAACAAGTCTTGAAGCCATTAGATGTTCGAGATTTTAACTAGATTAGAACGGTTCGGCCATTTAATGGTTTACCGTAATTAAAAATGGAGAAGTGAAGCCAAGACTCGAATGACCAGTACCGTGGTTACGATAAACAATCAATGCACATACATACATATTGTCAAAACTACAAACAGTTATAACTTGGCTCAGAATAAAGGAGGCTAATTTGAATGAAATTTTCAACATTCATTTTGCATTATCTATTTTTATATAAAAACGAACCAATCTGTTTCACAGGTTTGTAACCGCATTCGGAATGGTAAATATTTTATACTCATTTACACTAAAAAAAATATGAAATATCTTCTATCCAGATATAGTTCACTTCAAGTTATTTATTTTTCTATTACTTCGAAAGAATGTTCTAGATTTGTACGAGGAATAAATTATTGCAAGCTCATTAACCCGCACCGATGTAATTGTAATTCCTCTCAGTCTCAGTAGCTAGCGAATATATTACTGGGTACACAGTGCTGCTGATCAGTGTGAGAACAAACAGCCACTCAAGAAGATTTTCTAAATCCTAAATCTTACAATTACATAATGAAATGGTGTTTCAGGGCGCCTTATACAGCGCGAATATTCACTGCTATCATGCAGTGTTAGGGCCCCTTTATGGCTATATATTGAGCTCAAAATAAATATAATTAATTACTAAAACCCTATTTATTGTTCTGGCATTTGCCATAAATTTCAGATATTGTCCGTTCATAATTAATATTATTGTCAAGTGGTTAACGTTGACTTCCATAACAAGTTTTTATCTATTGTGATCCAAGGGAGACAACTAATATTTTAAATCTACACCGGTTATGCTCAGCCAATTTTATTCAATGTTAAAGGAGGTAATAAATCTCTATTCTTTGACACCTAGAAATGGACATAAATGGAAATGATATGGGGTTTAACTTCCTACTATTCTGCCCCAACTGGACTATTGAAGCCGGGCATACGACATACAGTGTGCTATGGGGGAAATTTTTCCTGGACAGTGGCACTACGGCCTACTCTTGTATCAAATTTCATCTGTCATGGGATTTTTTTACGTGCACGCCAATGTGTAAACGGGACCTGGTTTTTCTGTCCAATCCGAACAACTAAACAGCTGTCTTTGTCAGGCCATCTATCCTGCACCACTGATAAGGGAAAACCACGCTGGAAAATCCCAATGAACTTTCTCGGCCATCACTGGGAGCAAACCTGCGACCTCACTTGGTTAACACTGGGAGCAAACCCGCGAACTCACTTGGTTCTCAGGATACAGATTGGTTGCAATGTATACGAACTGATTTACATTCAATTATTTGTTTTTACTGTAATTGGCGTAATTTGGCGTTTGGTTATTCCAGTCTACACCGGTTGTAATATCCTGTAGGATATTTTTAGCCTCGTTCATGAAGTCGCTTCATTACAAATGGCGCTCGAAACATTCTGATACGCGATAATTTTCATTTTGTCGTAAATATTGGATATCAGAAGCCCAACTTTTCACAGTAAGATAACAACATCAATGTTGATTTAAATTGACCAAAAAGTTGTGTTTCCAATGTCGAAGACTGTGGATGATTGAGTTAAAGACTTGCCTCCTTTAAATCTTATAACTGCAAAGTGCCCAACATGTCAAAATAATCTGATAGTGGAAGGTCGCTTCAGAGGTCATACGAGCGGCTTTTTACCCTATGATGTCAGATATTTAATTACGTGTAACCAATCAGCGTTGATGTTTCTAGTGGGTTGCCCACAGTTCACTGTAACAGACTGTATCATTGACTAATCCCTCACATCATCCAGAACACAAGTTATATAACAACTCTCTCAGATCCTATTGTAGTACAGACAAGTAAAACAAAATTTTGAACAATAAAAAATTAAATGAAATAAGATCTGTGTCCAAAAACTACCCTGAACATTCATCAAAACATATAAAAAACAAATGAGATATTTCATCACTATTTATTCTAGAAAATTCAACAACCATTGTAGATTATATCCATTTTACTATGTAAAAATTTTTCTTCCCTGAAATAGAATATAAAAGATGAAACTGGATGAAAATCAATAAAATTGTGTAAAAACATAAAATGAAATATAATCAATTGTTTAATAAAAAACTGAAGATAACCCACGCCAACAACTATACTGATGTCCAAAAGAAAGTATACACTCTAAAAGTATGACTAAGTTTTGTTTAGATTAAAAACATCTGATAAAACATTACTGAGTTTGTCTCTTGCCTCCAAACTTAACATTTCTAACCAAAATAAAAATGTAAAACAAATTGACATTCTACCCAAATACCGTATACCATGGAAAAACGACTTTGGTTGATGCAGCACAAAATGCACAGTGTATACTTTCTTTTGGACATTAGTATATATTGCAATACAGATCAACCACAATATGTATCATAATACAAAGCAGGCGCAGATTTAGAGGTGGGGGCCCTCATGAGACCAACTAAGTGCCCCCATGAGACAAGGTCCCCTCAGACCCAGTACAAATTACATATCAGTTACATAAATATTGTATGTAGCTGTCTGAAATTTTTTCGCGCCTATGGCGCTCGATTCCATTATATCATCCTTCAAACCTCTACCGGCCCCACCTTCAGGTTGCTCAGTGTTATATAGTCACTTCTCTACAGTTGACAAAAATCAATAACAATCATAATATGACATGGACTTTATGTCAACTTGAAACAAACTGATTTTCGACGAGACAACAATCGGCGAACAACTATATAGGCAATACGATCTATGTCCTACTAGGGTGTTCAGACAGTGTTATAGCCAGCATTTTGTTGACATTCATTGTGGGGTGGGATTGTGAATGGCGCCCTAGATTTGGAACTCCCCCCCCCCATTCAAAGTTTCTAGATCAGCTACTGATATAAAGTTTGGCGTATCAATAATTTTATTGTAGTTTCATTTTCTTTGGAAATGGACTTTTGATGGTCATTTTCATTCCCTATCAATTTCTCAAATTTAATTCATGTAAGAGCCAAATCTGCCTATTGCAGGTCTTTATTTAGACATTTATTCAAACGACAAGCCTATAATCAACTCTCAGATAGCCAAGATTTAAATGGATTGAAACACGATGGCCATTTAATAATTTAATTTAATGATAAGTTACCAGGCAATGAAACATTCACCCAAAGCAGCTAATTCGTCCTAGCGGTCGGGTCGACAAGGTTTGTCACATAATTATTCTTCTGTAGGTAATTGGGAGCATTCACAAGACAATTTCATACAGATCAGATCATAATTTTTGTCATTGAGGGTTCACAAGGTTCTACAAACTGAAACAAGGGCCTTAACTCTGGAAGTAATTTACAGAAAATTTTGAAATTTGACAGGCTTTTTCTTTTTACTAATTTAAATAATGCATATAACTTTCATACAGATAGGATGATAACTTTTGTCATTTGAATGAGGCACGAAAATATTCTGCAGTTTGTACTTTCAGAAATAAGCGCAAAATAATAAAAAAAAATAGGGAAGTCACAAAACATGAAACAAAAACTCTTTCAGAATAGCCTGAGAATTACAACTAACCTATTCTTATGAGTGTTAGTTTGTTAGGTAAAATATCAGTTCCATGTTTTAACAGACTGGATTCTGTTACTCTTCTGTGATTAATATAAACACCACCATTCTTTATAATTCTGACTGCATCAGCTGTAAAGTAAATAAATTTAAAAATCTATATTATGGTTAATTTTTTAAAAATTATGTTAATAAAACTTGTTTAATTCCCTGACCTGTGTAATGTTTACTCCCTCAGATGAATGTCAAACGAGATAGTTTTGGAAAGTGATACTGGAGTAAAACGTTCCTCCTTTAACAACCTTGTCCAACCTCACATTTTCCAAAACTTTTTATTGAATACAAGACTGTACCTTCCACACGGAAACATTTTATTTTCATACACATATCTTTAACTGTCATATCGTCTTGTAATGGTAGTTCAGTAACTAAAGATACAGGTGCATACTTCAATTCATCCTCACTTAGCTGAGATAATTTTTCCACAGAATTCTGAAATAAGGCCTCTGTCCATATCTTGGCCATTTGCAGTCCTGTGGCTATGAATAAAAAACAAAAGGATAAACATGAAATGCAAGTATCAACAAGCCAACAGTGAGACTGGGCCCTTATTCACGAAAACTTAAACTAAGATACAATCAAAATTTTAAGAAATACTGCAATTCGATTGGCTGACCAGCAAAATCAATTTGCATATATCCAATTTGCATATTACTCAGTCATTAAAATTGCAGTATTTCTTAAAATTTCGATTGTATCTTAGTTTAAGTTTTCGTGAATAAGGGCCCTGATGTCCCTCGCCGAAATCCCAAAATAAATAGATGACACATTTTTATTTATCGCACATTTTTTTTTTTTTAAAAGTATCAAGCAATCAAATTGATTATCAACTATACACTAAGTTTCGTCACTCCCTATCAGATAGAATCAAAGTTATCTTGTCCTAAAGCATTGACCAATGAAATTGCTTAGCTCTGCTTAGCTTTAGCTCGAAATGTTAATCATTGAACTCAGTCAAGACATTCACCTAATGAACATCTACATCAGGTTTAAACATTCTACCTCAATTAAAAGCAGAGTTGTTATGTTCCAAAGTCTTGACTAATCAAATTGCTTATCTCTCCTAAGCAGAAAATTCTCATCATCGAACTTAGTCAAGGTAATGATATAATGAATCTATACTTGGAGTTTCATCACTCTCATTTAATTATAACGAAAGTTATTGTGCCCCAAACCATCAACCTATCAGATTGCTTATCTCTGCTTACCATAAGCAGACATTGTTTATCATTGAACTAGATCAAGGCATTCACCTAATGAATGCCTACACCAAGTTTGAACATTCTACCTCAATTAGAAGGAGAGTTACTGTGTTCCAAGGTCTCGGCCAATCAAATTGCTTATCGCTCTGCTTACCTTGAGCAAAAAGTGCTCATTATGGAACTTATGATGTGTTAAAACTATACACCAAGTGTCCTCACTCTCACTAATTAGACCTTAAGTTATCATGTCCCAAAGCATCAAACCAATCAAATTGTTTATCTCTGCTTAGCCTAAGCAGAAAATTCTCATCTTCGAATTCCATCAAGGCAATCACCTAATAAACACCTACGCCAAGTTTGAACAATCTAGCTCAATTAGAAGGAGAGTTATTGTGTCCCAAAAAGTTGGACGGACGGACGGACGGACCCCTGCTTTCTTCGAAAGGCGGGGGACAATAATCTAAAAAGTTTAAATGCAGAATTTAGCCATGGTGTACGATGGCTGGCCGAAAAGTTCTAAGCCTATCTTTGAAAGAACTGTACAAAGTCAATAGTTTCCATTTATTTTTCTACATAGTTCCCTCGAGGTGTACACAATTTTGCCAAAGATGTTGCAAGACCTAGATTCCGGTCAGGAAGAAAATTTCTTCAGGCACCCTAAAAAAGTCATTCACAGCTGACATGATGTCATCATTACTAGGAAAATGGCGACCGGCTAGTTCCTTTTTATATGCCCACATTTTCATGTGGATGTATATTGTCGTCACCCCTGTCCATCCACAATTTGTTTGTGGACACTCTACAGGTCACAATTTTTATCCAAGTTTAAAGAAACTTGAAATGTAGGTTTATCTCCAAAAGATCAAGCTATGTTCTGTATTCTTAGACTGTAGTAATGAAATTTAAGTCACAAAATGGGCTGTGCACTGGAGGAACTGTTTTAAAGGTTTTTATCACATAAGAATTGTGACCTGTAGAGTGTCCACAAACAAATTATGTGCATATAAAAAGATGGGGATATGATTCTCAAGTCTGTGTGTACTGTTCACTAAATTAAGGCTTGGATAATGTTATATCAACTTTATTTTCAGTTTTAAAATTATAAATTTGGGAGCACATTAGCAAAAGTTTTGAACATATATATGAAGCCTAATTAAGTAATTTCTAGATTACTATATGCTTACCACCATGAACTAATAAGGTAACTTGTTCTGCTAATTTTTTCTGAGCTGGCCTTTGATCAGGTGTATTCTACAAGTATAAATACAAAAAATTCCACTAGTCTTGCATGTTAGTGGTTACAATTTATCTGTATACCAGTAAGAATAACCAGCGGTTGCCAGACAAGATACACCCACATTTTGCTTTTGCCAGAGATGGACAGAGAACAAGCTAAAAACAAATCCAGAAAGTTATGGTCTGAAGTGCACAATATCTAAAGGGACTGAGATCTTTGGGACATACACATATATTTTAAGTTTCATCAAAATCGGATAAATATTGTGGAATGTAGAGGGTCCACAACCTTTATATTACATACTTTTACACAATTTGCGTACAAAGAGTGGTCATTTTGTTGGGCGGTTTTGTTTCGATTTACCCAAAATTCAAATTCAACCTTCATTATGGTGGAATGGTGATATATTTTTAGAGAATCTACAATCAGGGGCCATAATCCATGAAGTTATGATCCGATACATGCCAAAATCGAAAGGAACCGAGATCTTTGGGAGATAGACCTACATGTATATTTCAAGTTTCTTCAAAATCGGAATAAAGTTGTGACCTGTAGAGTGTCCACAAACAAATTGTGGACGTCCGGATGGACAGGGGGGACGGCATAATACGTCCACATGAAAATCAATGGGGGCAGATAGCAGTTAGTAAGTTGAATCTGTGATAATAGGGTTGTAGGTTTGTCCTTGACAGGGAGTCAAAACCTTGTGTTTCAGCCTGTCAATACCAATTGGATAACGCAAGGTAAACTTAATGTAGCCAAAAAATTTGAAAGCCCAAAAATGAGACTGTTGCATAGAAAGACTTCTAAAGGGGGGGGGGGGCATAAACATCACGCTAAGTTCTGCATCCTTAGACTGTGGTAATGAAATTTAAGTCACAAAATGGACTGTGCGCTGGGGGAATTGTTTTAAAAATACTAATACTATAAACATTGAAATTATTATTCAATAAAGAGCAAAATAAAAATATATTTACTTCTTGTATTTTCAATATATTCATAATATCATCATCAGATAAAAAAGTAAATAGTTTGAGATATTTCTCTACTTCATCATCTGACACATTTAAAAAATACTGGAAGAAAAATAGACACATTAAAAAAATCTGAGAAATTAATGGGACGAATAATCATAACAACAGATTATTAATATGATAAAAGCTGAGAGAATTGCATAATAAACATTAAAAAAAAAAAATCGGAAAGATCTTTAAATTTACTCCACTGTACTTGGGATTTGCAAAAAGATACTGACAAATTGGTATATTATTAAATTAGCGATAAATTGGAATTATATTTAAATTAGATCAGTCTGAAAATGATGAATTATACAATGAAACCTAACCTAACTGACCACTATGGTACATCTGACAAAATATTGCTGAATTAAGACAGGTTTTCAGTTAAAATCTAATGAATTTTGCAATTTATTCCCGTGCAATTTCATTTGTTGGGGTTTTTTTTCAGTTAATCCAGGATTTAGTGTTTATATTCCCTTTGATAAACAGATTATATAATTAAGAAATACCTGATATAGTTCATATTGTGATGTTTTTAAAGGATCTAACCACACAGCATTACCAGCTGTTTTACCTAGTTTATTACCAGCTGTTGTAGTTACTAGTGGAACGGTCAGTCCTACAATGTACATCATCTAATTAATGTCTTACATTGAAAGAATATAATTGTTATTTCATTGTACCAATATTTTGCGTGCCAGGTAAATCATTTTGTTAGCAAAGACATCACAAGAAAGGATTAGTTTATAATACGAAAAATACTTTGGTGAATATATAGTTAATTTCTTTTGTTTTTATATGTATTTTTATGTTAGCAAAGTACATGTCTTGTTATAAATAGGAATAATCTGAGATTAATCTAAAACAACTTTCTCCCAAACTGTAAAGTAAACTCAGTTTTAATTTCAGATACCAATATCACTGGTCATTTGAAAGGACAGGTTCTCATTTGAAAGGTAAGAGGAGACAAAATTTTATGATCTGCATGCACCTATAAAACATAATACAGTGTTTCAGATTCTATCCGATAACAATTTTTCCCTGTGCCAATATTAAAGTAAATAGATTATAACTTGTCTGTGGTCAGCCAGCTAAATCTTTTGATTCATATGAAAGAAAAACATAAAACTGATCAAAAACACAAATGAAGGAATGATGTTTACTTATGAAAGGGTAAATTACCAAAAACTCTGTCATCTATCTGTTTTTCTATAAAATCATGGCCAGCTAGTATATTTCCTAACTGATCTGTTCCTCCTATCTAAAAATATCAATATTCACTCAATAAAAGAGTTATACATTATGTAAAACTTTATATATATAAAAGTTTCAGTATGATAAATATTCAATTAGATATCATAGCTGCTACATTGAGAAATTGATTTAACAAATTACAAGTATGGTCAAATTCATCAAAACTTGTCATCAAATAAAAAAACCAAAACCTGTACTTACTTGAATCCTACAATTATATTTTTGATAGAGTTGAAACCAATCAAAAGACTGAAATATTTGATAAGTAAATTCTGTAAAACTCATTCCTTCTTCACTGCTCAGACGACTTTGAACACTACAAATAATTAGTAAGTAATAATATAAATAAAACTGATATCGAAACATCATGCTTATACAATAACCCAGCGAATGTTTCCAATAAAAATAGTGTTCTGTTAAATTTTAAAATGTTCATAAAGGAATCCAGGTAAAACATGCTCTAAATTACCAGTGCTTTTTACCTGTGTTTTGATAACATTGGTCCCATTCTAAACTTTCTTCCTACAATTGACAAGAAATCTACAACATTCTTATCTTTGTACCAATGTATATTATTTTCTATCCTAGAAAATAAAATAAAAATTGTAAAAAACTGACAAAGAATAAAAGTAATCACTGTCTGACCTGAATGTGTTTATTGTTAAGAGTAACTGGGTAATAAATTGTATCACATACCGGTAATTATGGAAAATTGCTATGAATAGACTTCTTCGTCTCATGACCTTTTAAACAGTGTATATAAATTCAAAGTCAATCGGATATTAACTTTGACCTCTAGTGTGTCCACAAGATTTTTTGAAGTGATCAAGGGCCATAACTCTGGCAGTAATTATCGAAAATCGCTGAAAATGAATAGACTTCTTCGTCTCATGGCCTTAAACACTGTATATAAATTTAAAGTCAATCGGAAATTAACTTTAGCCTCTAGAGCGTCAACAACTTGTGGACGCCGGACTGCCGGACGGACGGGGAGACAACAATATACGAACACATTTCAATGTGGGCGTATAAAAAACGACAATGAAAAAAACTAGTACAATTTTACCTGACATTATGTAGAGATTTGTGTGTGTTCTCCCAAAGAAGGGTCTTATGATTGTTAAATATTCTTTGTAAATTTTCACCTATTTTTTCTACATTTCTCTCTACATCATGTATATCCAAAGGTATTCTATCTTTTGTCTTACCACTGGGATCTCCAACCTGAGCTGTCGCTCCACCAACCTAAAATAAACATTAAAAGTATGTGTAGGATTTATATGAATATCAAACATATTTCTTTAGGAATAAAAACACACCTTTTGATAAGTTGAAACATGTTTCATGTGGACATGTTAAAATGGATGGCTTCCAATTACAATCACGTAGTTAAATAGATCTCCAATTGCTTACTGGTACTCTTTTCCTACTTTTGTCAGTTAGTCAAGTTGATGCTTTTATTATTATGTGGTGTGTAGTATCAGTTTTATGCTTGGTTCAGTATGTATTTCACATACCACAAACTCTTACTACTGATATTATAAGACATACTGAGTTAAAAAATGCACCTGTTCCTAAAACAAGACAACAGTGAAACTGGAATTTCTCGCCTCAATGCCAAAGTAAATAGACGATACATCTTTTTGTAAAGCATCAAACAAAATAAAATGCTTAACTACACTTAGCTAATGCTAGTAATCGAACTCAGTTATGGTTTTGATGTAGTTTTATCACTTTCCCATAATCCATAGTGTCCAAAAGCTTTGACCAACCAAGTTGCTTATTTCTGCTTAGCCTTGTCGGAAAATGTTAATCAACGGACTCGGTAAAGATATTAACCTAATAAACCTCTACACCAAGTTATAACTTTCTACCTCAACTAGTGAGAGAGAGAGAAAGAGAGACTCAATACAAAGTAGATCATTTCGGGACTAACATATGGTTCAATTTTATTTCAATAGTTCGCCTGTGTGTAGGTGTCTTTAGCAGTGGGTTGAAACTGGAGGGCCCAGGGAAAACCCATGAGGTTAGACAGGCGACCCTACTCCTTGTCATGTTGAAACAATGAATGGCAATCACAGCACATGACTAAATGACAAACCTTTGTGATTTCATGCGCATGCGTTAAACCACTAGACCAGGGTTATTGTGTTAAAAGTCTTGATCGATCATACTGCTTTTTAATACTAGGCCTAAACAAAAGATAGGTTGCCAGGCAACAAAACATACGCCCACAGCAGCTAAATCGTCCGGGCAGTCAACAAGTGTTGTCGCATATTTTTACTTCTTTCGGTAATGAAACATTTATAATACACTCATGAAGTAATTATCAGAAAACCATTAGAATTTGTTTGGTTTTTAATATCATGGATTTAGCTGTTCAAGTCATAAAAATTAATTGAAAATCAATATACTTGTTCGTCTCAAGCTCTTAAACTCTGTGTATCAATCTGAAGTCAATCGGATGATAACTTTAGCCTCTAGAGCGTCACAAGATTTTTCAAAGTGATCAAGGGCCATAACTGTGACAGTAATTATCGAAAATCACTGAAAATGAATAGACTTCTTCGTCTCATGACCTTAAACACTGTGTATAAATTTGAAGTCAATCGGATATTAACTTTGGCCTGTAGAGTGTCCACAAGATTTTTTTAAAGTGATCAAGGGCCATAACTTTAGCCTCTAGAGCGTCCACAAGCAATTGTGGACGCCGGACGGACGGGGGCGACGATAATATACGACCACATTTAAATGTGGGCGTATAAAAATTGTGACCTCTAAAGGGACCACAAGCTAAAAACACTATATTTTGTACAATCAAGGGCCATAATTCAGGAAGTTACGATCCGATATGCACGAATATCGAAAGCAACCATGATTTTTGGGTTATTAACATGCATTTCAGGTTTCATCAAAATCAAATGAAAATTGTGACCTAGAGGGTCCACAACCTAGATATGCGATATGTTTACACTATTTGTGTGCAAGCCGCAAGGGGACAGCAATTTTGTCCCACAGTTTTGGTCCAAAGTTGCGACTAATGAAATTGCTTGTCAATCGGCTCAGACTAAGCAGAGATGCTCATCATCAACGAGTTTGAAGGACAGGCAGACAGACAGGCTAACTCATTTTAATAGTATGTCCTTTAACGAGACAAAGTATATTCATGTTCCAGTATTTTGTTTCTTCTTCAACATCAGAAGTTAATATCATGGATGAAAGATTGGAGAGCATACTCACCAAGGCAATAACATTGTGTCCATACCGTTGACCATGTATGAGAGCTATAATAGCCAATAGATTTCCAATATGTAAACTGTCAGCAGTGGGATCAAAACCGCAATATATACATTGAGGTGCGGAAAGTCTTTTTGACAGTTCATTTAAACTGAAATATAAGACCAGTATTAATATTTGTATGATGTCACCACTGTTCATGTATAATACTATATTGTTTAATTTAAAGTTTATGAATACACTATTCTGTTCAGTGCATCAGTGTCATGAAAATTGTGGTGGGGGGGTAGTCTGGACTGCAAATAAGATTTGTGGTTATTTAGGTGTCCAGGAAATTGGCTGGTTAAGTGACGTCAACCGTCTGGTACCCATAATTGAATTCACAAAAAATCCTTCCCCTCACAGAAGAATGGCCAAGCAGTTTTCATATTAGTACAATGTTTTTTAATCTGATGACCAATCCAGTAAATAGTACATCATTGGTTTCAGTGGACATTCTCCATGGGCATTTCCTGCACCTTTAAAGGAACAAAGTAGACTCTGATACCTTAGAGATCATTGCGCCGTGTTATGGGGATATCTTAACATTGGTTTTTAACGACAGATACTGTAGACTACTTAATTACTGGACTTGTTTATGAAAATCAGCAAGCTTGCATATTTACAGGATTATCAAAATTACATGTACAGTTAAATGTAGTAATTACTTGGATCATGATTTTGCTACTTTGAACATTCTCGCCAAAATATGACTTTTGTTAAAGATTAAGTGACAAGTTGATTGACTTCTTAGTCGACGAGTAATAATCAACCTTTTGACTAGATTTTACAAGCCATAGACTGACATCAAGGGGACTAAAAGAAGAAACCGCTAAAATTTTTTCAGGATTAAGATAAAATAAAATCACGGAGCCCGGTAGGTGAATAACATTGTAATTGGCTTGATCATTTAATTACTTAAACATGCATTATGCAAGAGCTAAATCTGCCTATTTCAGGTCTTTCTTTAGGCCTGAAATGTTATCTAAATTATTAATTAGACATTAATTAACCTATCCAGGCCATAATCAACTCTAGATGGCTGCGCTAGCCGGCGATCTTTAGTGGATTGTAAGCCGATTTACTGCATAACTTTCCTTCTCATTAAACGATTAAATGGATAATCGAGACTATGCTGTTTATCGTACTGACTTTAGTAATGATGACCGATGCTTATAGGAATTTCAGTCGCTTAGTTCTCGGTTCATAGTGGATCAATTTGAATGAAATTTTCACCACATTGCCTTCTACCTTATCTAGTTTTTAACTATTATAGTGAGAACTGCCAACTCGTTACCGAATCTCCCATAATGTATCTTTAAATTCCTACCTATTATAAAAGATAATTAACATTAATAATTTATACCTCTCAGTAGTCAATATACATTTTTTTTAAAATTCTGACAAACCTGTCTAACACATATGGGGTTGAAATGTTCACAAGCAATTGTGGACGACCAATGTGACAATATACTGCGACATTTTAATTTGGCCATAAAAAGATAAGTACTGGTATTATAAAATATAGTATGAAATCCTTACATACCTTTTCTCAGGGTAGATGTGTTGAAAGATACCTCGTCCTTGAAGATCAAGTAAATTTGGAGGAGTTAAAGAATTGCTGTTGCGTCTTAAAAATGTTTTACACCTATAAAGACATGGGCAAAAATCATGAAAATTGGCAGCCAAGCCGGTGGGTTTGTGATTTTTTGTACAATCAGGGGCCATAATGCAAGAAGTTATGGTCTGATATGCGCGAATATCAAAAGGAACCAAGATCTTTGTGATATAAACATAACTTTAAAGTTTCATCAAAATCAGATAAAACTTGTGGTCTCTATAGAGTCCACAACCTTGATTTTTACACTATTTGGCCGATTCTTACGAAATTCGAACTCATCCATCATTAGGGTGTAGCAGTGATATTTTCACAGGTTTTTTTAAATCAGATAAAGATAGGTTGCCAGGCAACGAAACCTATGCCCACAGCAGCTAAATCATTGGGGCAGTCAACAGAGTTGTCACATATTTTTACTTTTTTCGGTAATGAAACATTTATCATACACTAAAATCTGATTAAGAGTCGCATATTTTTACATTTTTCGGTAATGAAACATTTATAATACACTAAAATCTGATTAAGAGTAACAACTCATTCAGTAATTATCAGAAAATCATTAGAATTTGTTTGCTTTTTATATAGTTCTGCCCTATGCTAATGTTTAGTATACGAAACATTTAATATCATGGATTAAACTGTTCAAGTTATCAAAATTCATTGAAAATCAATTTACTTGATGTCTCAAGGCCTTAAACTCTGTGTATTAATCTGAAGTCAATCGGATGATAACTTTAGCCTCTAGAGCATCCACAAGATATTTTGAAGTGATCAAGGGCCATAATTTTGGCAGTTATTATTGGAAATTGCTGAAAATCAATAGGCTTCTTCGTCTCATGCACTTAAACACTGTGTATAAATTTAAAGTCAATCGGATATTAACTTTGGCCTCTAGAGTGTCCACAAGATATTAACTTTAGTCTCTAGAGCGTCCACAAGCAATTGTGGAAGCCGAACGGACGGGGGCAACGATAATATACGACCACATTTAAATGTGGGCGTATAAAAATTGTGACCTCTAAAGGGACCACAAGCTAAAAACACTATATTTTGTACAATCAAGGGCCATAATTCAGGAAGTTACGATCCGATATGCACGAATATCGAAAGCAACCATGATTTTTGGGTTATTAACATGCATTTCAGGTTTCATCAAAATCAAATGAAAATTGTGACCTAGAGGGTCCACAACCTAGATATGCGATATGTTTACACTATTTGTGTGCAAGCCGCAAGGGGACAGCAATTTTGTCCCACAGTTTTGGTCCAATTTTCACGAAAATTCAAACTCAACCGACATTATGGTGTAACGGTGATATATTTGAACGTTTTTTTTTAAATCGGATAATAATTGTGACCTCTAGAGGGACCACAATCTAAAAGCCTGATTTTTCGTACAATCAGAGGCCATAATTCAGGAAGTTAGGATCTGATATGCGTGAACATCGAAAGCAACCAAGATCTTTAGGTTATAAACATGCATCTAAAGTTTCATCAAAATCAGATGAAAATTGTGACCCCTAGACCCTAGAGTGTCCACAATCAGGGGCCATAATCCATGAAGTTATGGTCCGATACATGCCAATATCGAAAGGAACCAAGATCTTTGAGAGATAGACCTATATTTCAAGTTTTGTCAAATTCGGATAAAAATTGGGACAGACAGGGGTGACAGCATAACCCGTCCACATTAAAATGTGGGCGTATAAAAAGGATGATTCATAGAATGTTGTCGTTGATTCCCATATCAATAATTGCTTTCTTTTCTAAACGCACACAATTATATGGGTCTGTAGTATTAATGCAAAGAGGATTTTGGTGAAGTTCTTGATACATTTTCACCAAGAAAATAGTGAAATTTGTTTGTCCTCCGGCCCTCACTCTACTGTCTACAGGTTAGGCCTACAGTACGCCTATATTAATGGATATACTTTTCAATTGTTGGTCAAACCCAGTACAAAGAGGGGGCTCTATTTTGACGTTGATTCAAAAAAATTTTACTTATTTCGAACTTATTTATTTTGTAGGACCTCTAGGCTATAGATTTAATCATCGATCGGATAGTTTTCAGATTTTTAACGAAGCCTTCAACTGCGATCAAAAGGATGCATTTTTGGCATTTGGCCGTTTTGTAAATTTGGAAAAATGAAGCCAAAGGCCACTGATCATCTCAAACTTGGGCTGCCTGTCTACAGTTAGGTATAAGTAGATGGATCGCTGCGTGCAGTGTATGGCCACTATAATTATAAAAACTATTCTATTACTAGCCTATCAGTTCATTAACAACATGTCAATTTACCGGTATTCAATCCCATTATTATCTTGGAGTTTTTTTAATGTCTGTTACCCCGATACAGAGGCCTTTCAAAAAAATGAGTTGACATTATTGAATTTACTAGTAGTTACCTGTTGATACTGTTTTTCGTCAATGTCAAAAGTTTTAATTGAGACTTCATGGAGGCTGACATTTTGAAATATGGAAAACAAGATCACAGACTTGTTTTCGTATTACAATGAAATAACAAACGATCCATAAAACTAATTGGAGGCACGATATATTATTGAAATAAATATCCCCAGACATCACTCATACATAATAACTTCTTAAGAATAAGAATAATGGGTTTAATTTCATGATAAGGTAGGGGGTTTAAATCAGGGGAGGTAACTCTACAAAAATGTAACATCCTTTGGACACTCCAATGATCCTAATATTTATAACCACAAACTGCCCAACACATGACAATCTTCTGATCAAATATTGAAGGGGGCAAATCATTAAAAATTTTCGAAGGCCTGGTCATAGGAATTTATAGGTTGTGACTTCATTTTAGTAGGTGATTTCCCTTATTCATGTCTGTTTACTTTTGCCTAAAAATCATGAATATTCACCAAAACCTGATCTTGACCAAAAAGTAAAAAATACTGACTTAAAAACAAAAATACTGACATAAAAAAAGAGGGGGAGAAAGAATTGCTATATAGGCCTGTAAAAAGACAGGCTACAATTGAAATCCAGATTGGTGTAACCATTAACCATTATTGATAATAATATTGTTTTATTACACAACTGCATGATATACATTTGTAGGGTAAAGTGAACACTAAACAATACAAATACAATCCACATAATAACATAAAGATAGGTTGCCAGGCAATGAAACATACGCCCACAGCAGCTAAATCGTCCGGGCAGTCAACTAAGTTGTCGCATATTTTTACTTTTTCAGTAATGAAACATTTATAATACACTAAAATCAGTAACAACTCATTAACTAATTATCAGAAAAATCTTTAGAATTTGTTTGGTTTTTATAAATTTCTGCCCCATGCTAACGTTTAGTATACAAAATATTTAATATCATGGATTTAGTTGTTCAAGTTATCAAAATTCATTGAAAATCAATATAGGCTACTTGTTCGTTTCAAGATCTTAAAATCTGTGTATCAATCTGAAGTCAATCGGATGATAACATAAGCCTCTAGAGCGTCACAAGATTTTTCAAAGTGATCAAGGCCCATAACTTTGGCAGTAATTATCGGAAATCTTTGAAAATCAATAGGATTTTTCGTCAAATGACCTCAAACATTACGTAAAAATTTAAAGTCTGGCAGTAATTATCCGAAATCGCTGAAAATCAATAGGCTTCCCCGTCTCATGACCTTAAACACTCTGTATAAATTTAAAGTCAATCGGATATTAAATTTTGCCTCTAGAGCCTCCACAAGATTTGTTGAAGTGATCAAGGCCATAACTCTGGCAGTAATTATCAGAAATCGCTGAAAATCAATATGCTTCTTCGTCTCATGACCTTAAACACTGTGTATAAATTTAAAGTCAATCGGATATTAACTTTACCCTCTAGAGCCTCCACAAGATTTTTTTCGAAGTGATCAAAGGCCATAACTCTGGCAGTAATTATCGGAAATTGCTGGAAATCAATAGGCTTCTTCGTCTCATGACCTTAAACACTGTGTATAAATTTAAAGTCAATCGGATATTAACTTTTTCCTCTAGGGACCGACGGATGGACCGACCGACGGGGGCGACGACAATATACGACCACATTCAATGTGGGCATATAAAAACTGATGTTAGAACAGACAAAACCATTCAAAGTATATAATAATATTAATATAGTTATCATAAATACAAACGCTGAGATATGCATTTATCATCATTCATTATATGTTATGATCTGCATTGTACAATAATAGAGCGGTGGCTTAAAAGCTTTTCCTGGAAATTTTTTAGTAAAGCTATGAAGTAAAACGCTTGTTTCAACATCCACTTGTTTCATCATCCACTTCTCGACTGATACAATTTTTACAGGTTCTCTCATCCCTGGTGATGAAGAATTGTTACGTCTATCCCTTTCTACCTTATGTGTACAGAGTCTAAATTGGCTCAGTGCTAGGTACTTATGTAGCATGTGGTAGATCTCTCATCATAATTTTTCGTAACTATATAGTAACACAAAATGGCTTTAGATTTTGTTGTAATTATAGTTATCGGTAGAAACCACTATCCTGTGTATATTATATCATAATACCCAGAGGTTAGGCAAGCGACCCTACTCCTCCTCACATACAAGCCTGTGATCAAAACCACTTACTTGACTCAATGACAGACCTTAATGATCTAAAGTTCATGCAGTAGACCATTCGTCCACCCAAACACCCCATTAAAGAAATAATTTTTTTTGGATATTCATAAAGTAAAGAACATCAACCACATTAATTATATTATAATTATATATTTTCCTAATTTATTCTTAATAAGGGGTGCACTGAGTGAATGCAGTAATAATTTTAATTTTTTTGCAAATCAATAACACAAGATATATAAAATTCAACATTAAAATTATAATCAAAATAACCAAATAACCAATAAAAGATTTACCTCCATTTTGTATTTGAAACCTATTTTATATTTTTTTAGTATTTTCTAAATTTCTTGTAACTTGGCAGAGGATTTTAACCCAAATCCTTTCAATTCATTCAGAATTAAATCAGGGAATTGTGGAAGCAGTACTACACATCTAGTAGACCTTTAACTATATTACAAAACATGCAAATGTAATTTCAGCATTCGTGTACTTTATGTGTTATCTCCCATAATGGAAAGGCAGAGTAATAATGTAACAAAAACATAACATTCGAAATAACCTAATAATAATATAGGAGGTTGATCACTCACACCCCAAACCTAGATATATTAAAATGAACTTTTATTCATTTATGATGATCATTTTTTTTTTACGCACAGGAAGTATATGCACGTTTTTCTATTCATGAGAAATATCACCATGGGTGGGTGTGTTTAAAAAGCATATTTCTTACTTTTATATGAAAGTATGATATAACCAGGTTAAATAAAATTAAAGACTCACAATAAATAAATATCTTTTAAACAGTAGGGCGTTTTCTACAACAAATGTTTTTCCCATACTTCAACACTCTTTAATCAATAAGTTTAAAATCACAAAAATTTATATTTTATCCAGTATATAAAATACATACCGGTAGTTGTAGACTAGAAAAGACAATACATGTACTTCTGAATTCATTTCCAGACACCTATTCCAATGTTAATAAATTTATATAAAACTTAATTATACATTTTTGTTAAAAAAAAAATAACATACATTTATGCCAGTTATTAACAAGAACAAATATTTACAATATTCACCAACTTCTTTTATAATAACATTATTTTTATAATCCAACAAGACATTGCTTTAATTGGTAACTTAATCCAATTTCAACCCTCTTTCCTTTCAGAATGATATTGGGTGATAAATCAATTTCTCATACTCATCTTTTTTTTTGTTATATCAAATTGGTGAGCACTTTTTGAGAAAGCTAAATTCCCTTGTATTTGATATAAAAAAAAATGGAAAAGATGTACTATTTATTTTCTTAATTCTGTTTTTTGGTGGCATCATCATAACTAGGAGGTGGCTGTTGATATCCATTTTGCATGTTTTGTGCTGGCATGTAGACATTCTGTGGGTTTGCTGGATTGTAATATGCACTGGCTGCAGCTTCTCTTTCTTTAGCATTTCCTGAAAAACAAAATAGTACGTTTTTTATAGCCTTCTATAGAATATACTTCAAGACCTGACTAGGGCATGGATTGCCTTGTGTATAACCCACCAAAGTCTTAGATGTAGAGTTTTGAAGTGAATTTCTCCAAGTAAATTTGAGAAAATAAATTCTCATAAACTTTGATGCAAATGCTGATAGTGTTAATAAGTACATGTACCTGTATTATTTGCTCCAGCATATGGTGGTGGATAAACTGCAGCATTGGGATCAACACCTGGATATGGTGGGGGAGCTTCTGTCATATATACATATTCCGCTTTAAGGAAATTAAAGGATAAATAATCAATTGATTACTAACTAAATTTTAACATAACTGAATTTTACATTTTATTTGTATCCAGTTACAGAGTATGTTGAGATATAATCAATGCAACATGGATTAATTTATATTTGCGATGTCAGTTTTCTTTAAGGAATTTTTGTAAAAAATTTGTTACGATTTACACATATTCTATTTACATGAATGTATAATGGTAGACAAAGATTTTTAAAAACTGCAAAAAGGAAAACAAAATAATGCTGAGGTTCTTACGTGGTGGGGCTGTTGGGAATGTCTGATATGGTACCCAGTCATAGAACTGTGTGTGGGGTGCCTCGTAAGCTGGTGGAGGAGCCTGATAAATAGGACCAGTTGGTGGGCTGTATGGTGGTGGTTGTGGTGGTCTATTTCTAGAAGCTGTAAAAACAGAAAGATAACATGATGCTGTACTTAATAAAAGCAAACAATTAATTCAGTCTCAGATTTAGTACTGTATACAACCACTCATGCTTGTAAGTGGTGCAGTGAACAATTGCTAATTCTTGGAAAAAAATGATTATAAAAATCGCATTTCTGGCAAGGTTGATCCAGCAAACCATACAAATTTGTAATTGTATTTTGTATTACCATTATTAATAAGAAGACAAATTTTATTTGTTTTCCAATCCTTAAATTTTTGGTAATGTATACATGTTTACTGATATGTTTATTATATAAAGATTGTAGCCCTACCAAGCTGGGCAGCTTTTAGCATACACTGTCCAAATTCAATTGCTCCACCATGATTAAAATGCATCTTAAATTTCGCTTCCCCATTCCAGTTACCTGTAGTTTAAACAAAAGTTTGTAAAATGATTACTACACTTTATAAAGTGATACTGGGGTATGCATTTTTTTAGTTCAATTATTCAGTAGTGAAATAGTCCAGATGATGATAAAAGTGGTATCTTCTGATATTTAGTTGCTCTTTACATAATATCAGAACCAACAGCAACATGTTTCCAATAAACATGATCCGGAATGACGTCAAATGGGTTTTTCCCAATACAAAGTCATGTGACAGGGTACAGATACTGACATTTGCCATTGCTATTCTATTATGGTCACTTTCAATTTTAGACTAACCACTAACAAAAACCAGCGAACAGTGAGGCTATTGTCCCCTGCCAAATTGATAAGGTAATTAGATGACACACATTTTTTAATTGCATATTTGTCTTTTTACAAAGCATCAATCATTTTCGAAAAGTTTCGCCATTCTCACTCAATTAGAATCTAAGTTGTTGAGCTCCAATAATCAAATTGCTCGTCATCAAACTTGGTCAAGGTATTCAAACTTAGTCAAGGTATTGATGTAATGATATACGCCAAGTTTCACTTTTCTCACTCAATTAGAATCAAAGTTGTCGAGCTCCGAAGTCTAAACCAATAAAATTGCTCATCACTGAACTTAGTCAAGGTATTGATGTACTGAAACTGTACTCTGATGTAATGAAACTATACACCAAGTTTCACAACTCTCACTTAACTGAAATCATGTCCTAAAACAAAGACGCAGAAAATGTGCATAATCAAACTTAGTCAAGGTACTGATGTAATGAAACTATAGAAAATATGCATTATCAAACTTAGTCAAGGTATTGATGTAATTACCCGGTATGTACACCAAATTTCACCACTCAGACTTAATTAGAAGGGAAATTATCATGTCGCAAAGCATCAACCAATCAAATTGCGCATCTCTGGTTAGCCTAAGCAGAAAATACTCATCATCGAACTCAGTCAAGGCATTCACCTAATAAATACCAACACCAAGTTTGAAAATTGTAGCTCAATTAGTAGCAGAGTTATTGTGTCCCATAAAGTGTGACAGATGGACATACCCATTTTAATAGTTCCCTGCTTTCCTTAAAAGGTGGAGGACAATTAGAAACTATGCCGACTAAATGATATTCAAGAAAAATTTGCAGCAATGATAGCAGATATGAACATAAAGATTGTCTGATCGGTGTTACATTTTTAAAAGTTTCTGCAGAAGCCATTAGTTAACAATGAACGATGTTAACACTGATATGAGAGCCGCGACCTCATAATCACCTTCTTGTAATTACGATACAATGGCACCATTATGTTTGTTCAAAAGGTGGATAGACAATTTGTAAAACATCAGCATATTTGTCTCGCACATTTAAACAAATAAAAATGTCCATATAGTCCTTATCTAAAAATGATTAAAAAAGTTATTAAATACAGTTATGCATCTCATCAAACAGGGGTCTATTCGGCATTAACATAGTTTTTAAATCGCGAAAATTCACAATCCCAAAGAGAATTACACAATAAATATAGCAGAAACAGGATCATTATTTGCACCTTCTGGACATTTTTCTTTAAATGCGTGTGACTATGGTTAAGATTTTGAACTCACCTCCTTGTTCAGCAATTATTCTACCTTTAATAAAATTGGCACCAAAAATTGGTTGCTCTAATTCTACTTCTCGTAGGTTCAAAAATGGGAAAGAAAATGACTGAAGAACATCTTTCCCATCTGTGCTTGTAAATATCATCTATAATTATAACATAAAAATATTGTGCCATATAATATATATAAGCTCATACTGTAATGCTTGGAGAATAATTAACAATAATTTATTCAATTTAACAATATAATTATACCCCAGTCTTTAAAGATCCTTAATGTTTAGTAAATTTCTATGTAAATTGCCTTACTCTGTGAGTTGTTAAATAAATTCTGCCCTTCTTCTTTCCCTTAAAATGTGGTGTGTTTGGTCCTTCAAATGTCATTTCAATGGCATTGTAAAATATAAGTATCCTGCAAAATAATATCAAAATCTGTACACAAAATGACATTCACTTAAACATACATTATGCAAGAGCTAAATCTGATTATTGCAAGTCTTTATTTAGGCTTCCGATGTCATAGAAATTATAAATTAGATCTTCATTTACACAACAAGCACAAAATCAACCCTGTAGACCCACGGATGGTTTGGATTCGCTTGGATTTAAACAGGATTTCATTGATTGATTAAATTTTTAAATCGCGTCGTAAGCTGAGATTAACCGTTACATTGACGTCATACTCCGGGAAATTTTAGATCGAGGCTGAATGATAGAGAGTACGAAGCGAGGCCGCTAGTGAGCGAGGCCGCATATGTCGGTCAATTTGATTGAAAGTTTGATATATACGGGCTTGATATTATGTTTATTTGTGGTTAAAATGAGAGTTTGGATGTCGGTATTATACGCTCTTTTGTCACTTGCGTTTACAGAAAAATTATGGAAATTGATAAACATCGCAGCTAACATCACCCCAGTTGAATTGCAGCTCATGCAGCCCCATTGGATCAATGTTTCCTATTTCAATTTGTCTGCTTCGGGAGTACACGCAGGCTAACAAGATTGAAGAAGTCGGCTATAATTATGCCTCATTGATTTGGTCCATTCCTTTAAAACTTTCGCTTCTTATCTATATAATAAAAGTCCTATTTTTAATTTGTAGTAAAAATAAATGTGATACGAACTGATTTGGTCCATTCCTTTAAAACTTTCGCTTCTTATCTATATAATAAAAGTCCTATTTTTAATTTGTAGTAAAAATAAATGTGATACGAACTGAAAACGTTACTTGATAATCGAGATTATGTAGGTGGAGTTAACGCCTGTCAATCAAGCGGCCTGCGTTCTCAAAGACGGTGAAGAGGGATTTGACTCCTATTTCTAGTCAAAAATTACAATGGTGATAACTTTGTTCAGAATAAAGTAATTTGACTGAAATTTTCAATATATTCTTCTTTTATCATCTATTTTTGAACTGTTGTTATAGCAAGAATGGCCAACTCTCTATTAAAATCTCCCATAATGTATCTTTAATATAATTATTTTGCAATGGAAATTAAATATTGGTATTAGGGTAGGTCTGATTAAATTAACAAATCAAATCTTCCCAATTCAACACTTTATCTCTAATTGTCGTTTATGGATCAGAGAGAGAGAAATGGGCTTTAACGTCCACTTGACACAAACTAGGTAATTTTGGGACTAACATATGGTTAAATTTTATTTCAATAATTCGCTTGCGCACAGGGTAGGGGTCTTTAGCAGTGGGAGGAAACCGGAGGACCAGAGAAAACCCACGAGGTTGGACAGGCGACCTTTATGGATCAGCCATTTTAATTACTTCTGCAACTCTAGTGATAGATCTTTCGCAGTCGGTGCTCCGAAGTTATGGAATTATCTCAAAACCAAACTTTTTAATCAAATACACAACTGATTGAATACGGTTCTAGCTGTGTTTGTGTCAGATTTTTACCATGTGTACTAAATAATGTTTTCCGTTTATGTCTTTTTTTATGGTTTAATGTGTTGTGATTGTTGTAATTTTATATAAGTTGTACTTATGTAAAGCGCCCGAGAGCAGCTCTGAGTTGAATTGTTGGCGCTATATAAATCAATTATTATTAGTATTATTAACGGTGAGGAATAGTAAAATCGATATTGTCAGAATACCTGATTTATTTTAAAATAAACATTTAGAAAGAGCTCTGTCACTAGTTTTTCTAATGGAATGCACCCAATTTGTGCATCATCCTTCTACCCCTACCTGATATGTAAGGGTCCAATTTTTACGCAGGCACAGTGGTCATGTTGATGTTTTTAGAAAGTTGACTATATCATATAGAATGTTTGAAATTTACAAGAGAATAATGGATGGTATCAAACTTCTTGGCATTAATAATTTAATATAAGGTCTGATGAAGAAAGCAAAGTTGTGACAATTCCATGGAGGTATGTCAATTCCAGGTGTGTCACTATTGACTAAGTTTTAGGGGTGCCAGTTAACTCGTCCCCATGCAAACTCGTCCACAGATAAGTCGTCCCCAAGGTATTGGCTATGTTGTTCACAACTATACCGTAGTTGACTCGTACACACGTTAACTGTGGTTTTGAACAAATATGTTTTACTCATTGGTTGTTTTAAAATTGTTTTATTTACCCAATAATCAACAAACTTGATTGGCCAATCTTGCTAAGATTACTTCATCAATGTTTTTGTAATAAAGTAGCCCCATATTGTTTGTTGATTGGCATTATGAATTTAGACATAATGAATACAAATCGAAGATTAGGCGCACCATATTGTCCATTAATGTTTAAGACAACATTTAATTGACTTGATATGAAATCTGAATATAAATTATTTGATGGATAAATGTTGTGCCAAGATTAAATTATGATGTCTAATATCGTTTATCTTCTATAAGCTTAGAGATGGAACATTACTGTCTACTAGCTAGGATACCTATTCGACATATTGCATTTTCAACAAAAATGCCCATGGGTGGACGAGTCAACCAAAGCCAATTGGATGACTCAACCAAAGCCGTGTGGATGACTCGACGAATGTATTTTTATTTTTTTGTACGACGTAACTGGACTTTATTTCGTGTGGTTAAGTAACTCAGTAACTGGCATTCAGTTTTACTTTTTTAGCCATTTTAATTAAACATGGATTGAAGAAATGGCAAGCAATTTTCTTGTCGGAGTGTCACTTGGAACAGATAGTAACATTTAAGGGCCCTGCTGTTTTGCACCGACTTTAATAATACGGAAAATCCATAAAAAAAAAATAGCGTAGTCCTACAAAATCAAACAAATGAATTCAATAAGTCACAATAAGTGTTATAAAAAAGATTTAGATAATGTACCTCTCCCCTGAATAAATTAATACTCCACTGTTTTGTGCATGAGAAGTGTTCAGAGACATTTTGGAAGATAATATAAATTGCGCAATAACAATAACATTTGACAATGACAGACGAATTGACGAATTCTTTTCTAGAAAACAAGACAGGAAGTCAACAAACTGTGACGTAGCTTCATAAAATTCTATTGTGTGGACTAGGATCAACCATGGATCAACGAAATCAAATGGCTTCGACGATAGTTCGAAACTGATCCGCAGAAAACTTTCACTCGGACCAACTAGGATTTGCACCGACCAGTTTGGAAAAGTCTGCACCAAAACTCAACCGGCATTACTTGGGTAGTTTCGGGTTGCCTGACTAGATACCAGACCTGTACACCACATATAGGCCCTACTTTCAAATGGCAGAAAACGTTAATAAATATAGCATATTGCGAACGGAGATCACAGGGCATTATTGGGCTTACGGGGTCACGCGATGTAACTACACTTGATGGTCCACGGCGAACAGGCCGGTCCAGGGTGGTTTCCCCAGTCTCTCCCCCCCCCCCCAAAGAATATTTTCGAAAATGATAGTTTTATATGAACATTATAAAAATTTGAAGGAAGGAATACGACTTTATAGCGTAGGCCTACCTATAATAATTTATGAGAAAAACGAAAAGTTGGGAATCAAGGTTATAGTGCGATTATCACGCCTGGCGCGGGCTTGAATCAATCTCATCCCCGTTGGGTCTGGCCTGTAAGATTTCCTACGATCGTGTGTGTGTGAGTTAGTTTTATTTAACGTCCGCTTCCACCGAGGTGATATCGCAGACAATTTCCTACGATCTCCAGCTTATTGTCATTATGGCACCCAACAGATCACGCCGTTTTGGGCGCCCCATCAATCAAGCTGTGGTGTTACTCGTGTGATTCATTATGGGGAGTCTCACCCATAAATCCAAGTGACATTGATTGGGCACCCACACATCTTCAATAGAAGGCTTAATCTCGCCTTACGTACATCTTATCAAGCTAGATGTTTTAAAACTCGATCGCGGTCGTTGCTTCAGGAGAGAAGGAGAGAGAGAGAGATATGGAGAAATGGGGTTTAACGTCCACTCGACACAAACTAGGTCATTTCGGGACTAACATATGGTTTAATTTTATTTCTATAATTCGCTTGCGCGTAGGGGTCTTTAGCAGTGGGAGGAAACCGGAGGACCCGGAGAAAACCCACGAGGTTGGACAGGCGACCCTACTCCTTGTAACGTACAACCGGGGATTCGAAACCACGCCAGTCGACTCAATGACAGACTAAGTATGATACAGCGCGCGCACGCTATAACCATTCCGCTATCCAACCCCCCGTTGCTTCAGGAACATTGCACCCACAAAGCCTTACGTACGGCGCCCATACTATTTTGGGCACGTTGGTCGTTGCGGCTTCGTATCACGTCCAATGTGCAACACGGGACCTCGGTTTTACGTCCCATCCGAACGACTAGACAGCTGTCCTTGTCAGGCATCAGTTGGAATTCGATATAAGAGTAGGCCGTAGTGCCGCTGCCCGGGAAAAATTTCCCTCGTAGCACACTGTATGGCGTATGCCTGTGTTCATTAACCCAGTTCTGAGCAGAACAGTAGGACGTTAAAACCCCATTTCATTTCATTTCTCAAAGTAGATAGTTCTGTGTGCAGAATGACAATCGCATTAGTCTTCAACGTGGGGAAGAATACAATTGCATTAAAGCAAATATTAAATATGAGGAATATGCTTCTTGGGGAATCCGCAATGTGAATTTAATGTGTGGAAACATGTCAACTCCAAAATAACTCAAATTTCGTTAGATTTGTTGGATGTGGATAAGTTTTAGAAAAATCTATATTTTAGTATAGTTTTCATCTAGAACGGTCTTGGGTCTGCATCATTTTTATTCAGTCATATTGGGAATCAAAGTAATTGTTAACGTTAAACTTAGTGTATTAAATTAGTCTATCATCCGGCCAGGAGGGGTTGTGATACAGAAAAAAGAACACCACTAGGTATAACGCATGGTGTTCGTATCCTATGCTAGCTGATTATAAGACGCGAACAAAAAGAAAAGTAGGGATTACTGGAGAGAAGAGAAAATACAAGTTATCTATTTTTTTAGCTCCCAGGGAGGTATGTAAATTTTTTTTCAAGGTTTTCTTAAAATAAAGCCCACAAAATCTAATTAGAGTCAAAAACCCAATTAATGTTTGTAATTTTCAAGCATCTGAAGTATTCTTTGATCTAACAGTGTAGCGCATAGTCCAGGTTTACCAGTTCTACACAAAATACTCAAATTACTTACTTTATTTATACAAGAAACTACATTTCTAAGAATGAGTCCATGGCGTGTATATATAGTTGATGGTACATCCGCACGCATTTGTCAGTGTGTATAACAGGACTATAGGTGAATGTATTTATTATAATGAACACAGTGCGTTCATGTTTTAATATTTTTTTTTTTTTTTAAAAATGATTTAATATCAATTATTCCGGAAAAAACCTTCGATAGCACAAGGGTTATTTAGTAACATTCTTTTCTCATAAGTACGGAATCACGCAAACATAATGTTATTTTATGTAGACTGTGTTACTACAACGGTGCCAAGACCAATCTATAAATAGGCGAAACAGTAAATGAAAATAACAGATACGCTAATTACGCCTACAGTTCTACACTATTAGAGTTATTGCTGTTGACAAGGAAGAGAAACAGCTTGAGAAAATCTCTACAAACAGCTGAATAAGTTAAGGTAAGATGAAGTTGTTTTTTTTTTATCACTGATGAACATTATTATCCAAATATGCCTCATAGCAATCGAATTATGGTATTATAATTATGGTGTCGTATTAAACCATTGAAAGGAATGTCATGGATTAATGTTTTAGAACTTTTTGAATATAAAGCATTTCTGTTACTGTTTACATCTAAAAAATTGCCCGATGAAAAACTGTTAATCTATGAATGCAAAACATTAATATGATTTAAAGCCGATATCTGAATGTTTACCGAAAAGCTCGCACGGAATATATATGATAAGTGGGTGTTATTTCTTTTGGTGATAAATGTGTTCACACATTATAATATCTTAATTTCGTGTATTGCAGAAAACCAGCCTGTGTAAATAATTCCTGGAATAAGTGTAATTGGAACAGCGCTTCTCTCCTCGTATGGAAATTGGAGTAGCATATTTTATGGTAGGCAGAAAATAAATAAACCATTCATAACAATCCGCAGTTTTATGTAACTGTTCAGAATGGAGGAACATAAAGATACGCCGACTCCACCTAAAGATCCAATGTCACCAAAAGAGCTACCACCACAGACCCCACCAACGAGTCCATTAACTCGACAGGATAGTATTTCTGGGCCTTCTGGTCTAGGGCCTATAGGTATAGGCTTCGATTGGGGAATGCAGTATGTTGATAGAGAAATGCTTGCTCTACGAAAAAAGAAGCTAAAACTACAAGTTGAAAACCTAAAACTACAGAATCAGAAATTGGAAATGGAAATATATACATTACAGCTGAAGGAGGGATGATTATCAAATAACTTCCAAGCACAATTATATTTATATAGATTACTGCGCCTCGTGTTTAATGAACAATTATTATGTTATAAAATACTGACCATAAAATCATTGCTATTTATATCGGGTATAATCTACTAAAATCAAGATTATTAATTTCAGCAAGTATTTGTGTTACTTATGTATATATTTTTGACAAAAAGATACTTGATACCAAGATCTAATAGGAGACTTATTGGTCTAGGCTATAAATAAAAGAGCAGAATGCAAAAGATCTTTAGCAATTTCATTCTTGCAGTAATTTAGGTTGTATTCGTGTTAAGTTGTGGAATCATCGTGTTCTGGTATACAGCTGTGTTAACTTATTTTATGTGAAAAGGAATTTGTGTGCGATATTCCACGGTATGATAGATCTTCACAACGACTGCCATTGAATATAATCATCATTAAATAATAGAATGTAAAAAACAAAACAAAACGATTTGCTTGCGGAAATAACATCCCAGATAATGCTTTATGTAGTGTGTCTCTTTTTTATGATTGGTTATTTACAAAAATCCTGCTAGGATTACTGCAATCTTGTTATTATGTTGAATTTGGATGGCTCTCTTCAGCGAGCGGCTGAATCATTTTTCGCCTCACTTCAAGAAAAAGTTGCCCGTATACTGTATAAATTATGTCATCGTTGATCTCTCGACCTCGTTGAGATATCTGATTGAATGTTGACACACTTCTGTATATAATCAAGTTTGCGTTTCGTGGGATTTCATTGATTATTTTTTTCGGAAAGTATGGTCATTGTTGAAAATTCAGTTTCCCAAACTGTTTTTGGTTAAATTTTGTGGGAATTTGTATATTGTTTTATATAGTAGAGTTACAGACAAATTTAGTGACAATTCAGTTTTACAGAATTTATTCCATCAATACGAAATTGGATTATATATGCACATATTATGTATTTATGGCATTGGGCTCTTATAGATGCACGCATTGTAAAATTTGTATGGCCCGGTAGGGGGCATTAATTGCTTCAATAATACTCTTAGAATCTTTGTTGTATTTCATATTTCTTTAATCATTGTATACCCCCCCCCCCTCACACACACACACGAAACCTTGTGAATGGGATAAAAAATACTGTTAAAATTTGATGGGGATTATTCCTTGTGACACAAAGAAAAATCGTAGTAAAATAGTTATCACTATACACAGAGAAGAAATTTGAATATAGTACTAATAATAGCCCGGTGGCTCAAAGGGGGGGGGGGGGAGAGGAGAATTTTGCTACAGCAGTTTTGCTACAGCAGTTTTTTGCGTAGATTTTGATTCTGGGTGGCAATTAGGTGTTTGAGGGTGCTTTTACGTGGTACTGGGGTGGGATGTGTCCAGTGTCTTAAGGATACATCATTATACAAGAGCTAAATTTGCACGTTGCAGGTCTTTAATTTAGACCTTAAATGTTATATAAATTATTAATTGGATATGTATTAACATTAAACATGACATGACCATAATCACCTTCCGATGCCATCAGATGCCCAAGATTTTAACTAGATTAGAACGGTTCGGCCATTTAATGATTTAATTTAAAAATTGAGACGCGAGTCTAAGTCTCGAATATACCAGTACCGTGGTTGCGATAATGCACACATATTGTCAAAACTACAAACAACGATAACTTGGCTCAGTTTAAAGTAATTTTAGTGATACTTTCAATATATTCATTTTGCATTATCTGTTTTTGAACTATTATAGGAAGAACATCCAGCTGTCCATCTAACTCTTATATAATGTATCTTTAAATGTGATAATGTTGATGATCATTTTATAGCACTCTACATCTCTTAATTGATATACAGGACCCTCTTGGATGTCTAAAATTGGTGATAAAGTTGATATGTTGATATCAATTATGATCATTCGTAAAACATTAATTTCTTGCACTAAATAAGCGTATAAAATGTCCAAGTGGGCGTCCTTTTCGCTTTGCGGGTAAGGTGCAGTAGCGAAAATTGGCGTGGAATTGGAGGAGGGGGAGGGGGGTTGATATTGATTTCTGGCACTGTGGATCTCTAACGTAGTATGTAAGGTTGGCCTTGGACAACCGTTTTGCTTTGCTGGATTGGCGGGGGAAGGGGCGTCGCGAAATGTGAGCAATGCCGGAAATTGGTGCAGGGAAATGTGATAATGTTGATATCAATGGGCTATCCATACACTTCTTTACACGTGTAGAGTGCTAGAAATCAATGTTTTACTATATAAGATGATCATCATTGATATCAACATCATCACATGCCCCTCCAATTTTGGTCATTGACGCCCCCACCCCTCACACGCATGCCACCCCACGAAGCAAACCCGTTAGGGCATTATCCAAGGGCATCCTATAGAGATTCGCAGTGCAAGAAAATCAATATCTGGTGTAGCTTCCGCCAGTCTGAATCCCCTATATACCCCCCCCCCCCACACACACACACTCCCTTATTGACGGAATGATACGTTAATCTTCAAGATTAAAACTTTCCGCAATACAAAAACAATGGCTGATTTCCCAAACATGCTTTTTTATGACGCAGGGGAATCATGCTTTCCTGGTATGTGTGAAGAACAAAATACGTTACATTTTTTATTTCACTTTCGCACGTAAATTTTTTTTTTCTTTATATATTTAGCTTTAAAGCCCAAATAAATACAAGACATTGCCGCAGAGTTTCTTTTGGACGTTTCTATTGCTTGGTGGGAATGTTCATTGGGGCATAAGAAGAAATTTAAAATTCAACAATTTCGACCGCAAATCTCAGATTTTTCTTTCCATTTACGTTCAAACTCATGAATTGTTGTAAATACAAGAAGTTAAAGGTGCATCTGAGAATAAAGCAATTTGGAAATGGTACACCGGTAAACGTCAATCTACACGTATGTTCCAAAATAAATACAGAATGATATGGGTAAGTTTCCAAAATGAAAGTTGGAACTCGGCCACTTTTATAGATTTATACGTAGCATAAATATCCACTCTTTTGATAATCATTCGCCTCATTGGGCAAAAAATCGGGATGGTTACACAACCGACCCTATTTTTTGACCATATATTAACCCTTTTTTCCTATTTCCTGTAATGAGGTCTTTGCGTGATTTCCAAGACAAATCCCAACACTAAAATTGAGGTATTTACAATAGTCGATCCAGCATTATTTTCCAATACCTTACTCGGAAATCTGTGATATCAATAATGTGGAAGCGGACGTTAAGAGAACAGAACAGAGGTTAGTTTATGGCGGATATTTTATAATACGTACATTTTTCGAGTGTGAAGTAGTCAGTATTGGCGATTGATTCATTAGTCTTTCTATTCAAAGCTGGATTTCAGTAAATTATTGATACTTTTGGCGCAATCACGCGAATCTTTCGAATCCTCACCCGAAATCTGACCTGGAAAGCTGTGAGAGCTCACCCCTTTCACCTTTCTAATTTTTGGGTACATTTTCTCGCGTTGTGTTCACGTTTGCCGGCGACCTTGTGCATTTTCTGGTCACCGTACGGTCGCAGCAGCGCTGTAAGGACGCCATCCCGGTCTGACTGGAGCATAAATAGTTAAGAGTTTTGTTGTATACTGTGTGTGTCGTGATTGATCTCAGATAACCAGGAGAGATAGGTTATTAAGCGGTACAAAGAAACCCTGCTTTTAATTAACATTTCGAGTGGTATGCTTTGAGTGGTAATGTAGGTTGCCGGGCCGCTACTTTGGTTACTTATTTAAAAACATAAATTATTGAAAAATCTTGATTAAACATGCATTATGCTAGAGCTAAATCTGCCTATTGCAGGTATTTCTTTAGGCCTGAAATGTTTTCTAAAGTATTAATTAGACATTAATTAACTGATCCAGGTCTTAATCAACTCTCGATGGCATCAGATTTCTCCGATATTAAATACATTAGAATGGTTCAGCGATACTTTGATTTAATCAAATATGGAGGACCGAGACTTAGCTTCGATCAACCAGTACGGTGGTTGAAATTATTGCACACGTCTGTCAAACCTTCAAAGGCTAATATCTTCGCTTGCAATAGAGTAATTTGAATGAAATTTTCAAATTATTCATGTTACACCATCTACTTTCGAACTATTATAGCAAGAATGGCTAGTTCTTTATCTAAATCTTACATAATGTATCTTTAATTATTAATTCGGTTAGTTCTGTCCAACCTTGTTCCACAAACACGACGAAATCTTTTTATAAAAATAAAGATTTTACGACCGGCCAGCAACTATATAAACCGCCAATTCGTGTATTATTTTTGTATACACGATGAACCTTTGAAAAGCATCAACAGAACACAGTTTCGGTTATGTGCAGCAAACCTTTTGAATTTTTGCTATGAAGCAAATTCTAATATGGACATCGAATACCAAGGGTGGATCTAGTGGGGGAGCACCCCACCCCACCCTCCATCTGGATCCATCTCCATCTGGTCGGCGCCCGCGTTGGCCGACTCAATTATGTACAAGTCACAGATCGTAATGTACAATGACAGCTTTGATTACCCCCGTTGTGCGCTTCGCGTTTTTGGCGATAGCATTCACCGCTAACGTACGTTTTACTTCTTTATAAATATATATAGGATCATCTTCAAAAGAGACTTGAGCATGCTGTAAAACTGGCGGTCGTTGCTTCAGGAACAAAATATAGGTTGGACCCGACCAAGAAATAATGGAATGGTGCACCGGTATCAAGAAATCCTATTAATTTACAGAATATGGCATGTTTAAATTTACACCAAAAATCCTTTCGTTTAGTTAGAAAGTCACAGCAATATACCTTCCTGGTAGTGGTGAACAGATGGTACATAGCCAGACTGACCCATTCCCGCACTTATTTCTACACTCGCTGAATAGTTGCGAACGTTTTGCCTCACCATAAGGAAGACAAAATTACGGTCTGGAATTTCAATAAATATAACATATCGTCCTTGTTTGTTATAATATATTGTCAGTAAAATAGTTTGCTGAATAATAATTCACAACACTGGGTACGCTGGCTTAGACCTGTTTAAGTTACCAGGTATATAGCTCCACGTCCAATATTTAGATATTAGACCCGTTTAAAAGTTACCAGGTATATAGCTCCACGTCCAATATTTAGATATTAATAGTTTAATAAATAATGAACCATAATAATCAATCTGTTTCACAGCGAAATTTCACTGCTGATCAGGGTGCATAAAAATGTGAAGAAATGTTATAAAAGATCTGGGTATTTGAGAAATAACATTGCAGAACAATGTAGGTTGAGCTACGACGTGGTAGCCTATTCGCGCTTCCAACTTAAACTACTTTCACACGCTAGCGGCGAGGTTTTTGACACAATTGAGATTTTAGTACCAAATTTGATGTCCCAGCTACGAAGACTTCCCCTTATTAAGTGCTTAAACATTGGTTTATCGGATGTGAACTGCAACGGGGAAAGGGTGGTGTTATTATTTCTACGGTATCCCGATCCTGTTAAAATGTAACACCAATAATAGTTTTGTAATACATGTTAAATTGTTAAAACGACAAATAAGTCATGAAATTCTAATATTTTAATTTTTTGCAAAATAACATAGGCAGTTTGAAGCATGTAAACATGGACTAGAGTTTAGAATAGTCTTCGTTTAATTAATAATGATATCGTCATATTAAATTACTACTTTGGGATTAGCAATGAGAATCATTTTCATATTTAACACAGGTGATTAATTATATTTGTAATGATTGTCCCCCGTCCGTCTATCTGTCCGTCACACTTTTTGGGACACAATAACTCTCCATCAAATTGAGCTAGAATGTTCAAACTTGGAGGTGTTTATTAGATTGATGCCGTGATGGAGTATGAAGATGAGCATTTTCTGCTTAGGGTAAGCAGAGATAAGCAATTTGATTGGTTGATGCTTTGGAACACAATAACTTTGGTTCTAATTAAGTGAGAGTGATCAAACTTCGTGTGTAGTTTCATTACATCAATACCTTGACTAAGTTCGATAATGAACATTTTCTGCTCTGGGTATGCAGAGCGATAAGCAATTTGATTGGTCGAACTTCTACTTGAGCAACCAATGTTCACTTTTGGTGTAGGTATTTATTCCACCCTGCACGTTTCAAGTCAGTAGCTTGAAGCGTATATATGGTATTAGTGTCAGTGGCTTGTGGCACGAAGTAACAGTATATTGTCGCATACATAATATATTATGTCAACGCTTGGGCGACATAATATATTGTGTTGACGCTCCAAGCGTGTTAGCATATTAGACCTGTAGACTCAGTGGAATGTACGCGTCATCAGAGCGGATCCAGGGGTTGGACCATGGGGACCGGTCCACCCCCTTAACAATAGAAAGTGTCCCTGTAAATAAAAGAGGGCATCCTTATCAGAAAAAGGGCACCTGTGATGTCAGAATTTCAAAAAAGGGCACTTTTCTTTCGGATTAGGGTTAGGGTTAGGGTTAGGACACAGAAAAGAGAGAAAAAACAGAAAAGAAAAAAACAATCGAAACTTACCGATTCCATGATGGAAAATACCGCCAAAATATGTCTCCAAAGCATTCATTGGTTATCAAAGCGCCAATTAAATCTATCGTTGCAAGTTCATGCCTAGTCACCTCCATCCTAGTCCCAAGCGTTGACATAATATATTATATCGCCCAAGCGTTGACATAATATATTATGTATGCGACAATATACTGTTACTTCGTGCCACAGGCCACTGACACTAATACCATATATACGCTTCAAGCTACTGACTTGAAACGTATCGCCTGTTTATTCAATCTGTTTCGCAGAGAATTACGAAAGATCTTCTAATATCTCTGTAAAAGATGACTGTCTTCAACACGCGGCGTCAATCATTGGCTCAATGGCGCGTGCATCATTGTTTAGCCTACATAAGACGTAACTGCTTCGGGCAGAATGGTGCCTTTTACTCATTTTAATACCCATTTACACTAAATAGGAAATATTTTTTACCTACAAATAGGAAAAAAGTTAATATTGGGGACTCATTAAGTCGCATCGATGTCATCCTTATCAGTGACTGTAGCGGCCTAGAGAATATTCACTTCTGATCAGTGGGGTATTTATTAGGTGAATGCCTTGATGGAGTTCGAAGATGAGAATTTTCTGCTAAGGGTAAGCAGAGATAAGCAATTTGATTGGTTGATGCCTTGGGACACGATAACTTTGGTTCTAATTAAGTCTTAGTGAGAGTGATGAAACTTGGTGTATAGTTTCATCACATCAGTACCTTGAATAAGTGCGATAATGGACATTTTCTGCTGAGGGAAAGCAGAGTGATGAAACTTAGTGTATAGTTGATAATCAGTTTGATTGCTCGATACATTTGAAAAAGATAAACGTGCAATTAATTAATACGTGTCAACTATTTATATCGAGATTTCGGCGGGGAACATCAGCCTCACTGGTGGCTTGTTTATTCTTCAGATTGGAAATTGGTCAATTATACAGCGATTAGCCATGCTACTAACAGTACAGAATGTTTTACAGAAATTTTTATCTGCAGTGTATGTTCTGGCAGGTGGTATGAAAATATATCCACCAACTGATACAATGAAGATAGACATGGTAGGATTTAAGCTTCTGATAATTTTGATTGATAGATCATTATACATCTCTGATGTAAAGTTTTCTATTGCTGAACTCCGTGATTCTCTTAAACGAGCTCGAGATACTGCAACTGGTCCGGATGAAATTCACTACCGGATTTTAAAACATTTACCTTTTTCTACCCTCTTAATACTATTAGATCTTTATAACCGGATTTGGGTTGATGGGAATTTCCGTCCTTCGTGGCATGAAGCCATAATAATTCCGATCCCTAAACCGAGTAATTCTACCAATTATCGTCCGATAGCTTTAACTAGCTGCATTTTCAAAACCATGGTGAGATTGATCAATCGAAGGCTTGTTTGGTAGCTAGAGTCCAACAACCTCATTACAGACCTCCAATGTGGATTTCGGTCCCAAAGGAGCACTCTTGATCATCTCGTTTGTCAGGGATGCTTTCATCCAGAAACAACATTTGGTTGCTATATTTTTTGATCTGGAGAAAGCATATGATAGCACACGGAAACATGGTATCATGCGCGACCTGCATAACCTTGGTCTGTGGGTCGCTTACATTCTTCATTAAAAACTTCTTAGAAGATAGGTCGTTTGCGGTACGTTTGGGATCAATATTCTCTGACCCCACACTTTTTTTCCATCATAATAAAAACGATACCGACGTGCCTTAAACGCGGGGTCGACGGCTCTCTTTATGTTGATGACTTTCAGATGTGTTACGGATAAACAAGTATGCAGACAATCGAACGTCAGTTGCAGCTTTGCTTGAATTCTATTCAACAATGGGCAGCTGACCATGGATTTCGATTTTCGAAATCCAAGACTGTGTGCATGCACTTCTGTCAAAGAAGAGGTTTACATACTGACACGGAGCTTACACTGGATGGTAGTCCCATTCCAGTTGTAGATGAAACGAAATTCTTGGGTTTGATATTTGATAAGAAATTATCATTTATCTCTCATATTAAAACCCTCTGAAATGTCTGAAAGCCCTCAATATATTGAGAGTCTTATCAAACACTGACTGGGGAGAAGACCGTAAGGTCTTGCTTAGATTATATCGAGCACTGATAAGATCTAAACTCGATTATGGGTGTATTGTGTATGGGTCTGCCCGCGAGTCTTATCTCAAAGAGCTTGACACCATTCACAACCAAGGACTTAGAATCAGTTTAGGAGCATTTTGAACATCTCCAGTGCAGAGTTTATACGTCGAGGCGCACGAGCCCTCATTGCACGACAGACGTGATAAACTTGCACAGCAGTATGCTACAAAAATTGCATCTCTGCCTCATCATATTTCTTTTAACACCATATTTAGACCCTATCATGAACATCTATATTTACCGAAGATTAATGTTATTCCATCATTCGGTATTCGCATTCAACCCCTTTTGTCTCAGGCTGGTATCAGTCAAAACAGTATTGTGAATACCCCTTTCTTTGAGACACCAAGATCGATCTCGATCATACAAAAAACAAAAAGAAAGTTACTAGTTCCACAGTGTTTCAGTCTCTCTTCAGAGAGTTATGGTCTAAATAAATATGGTGATTATGCTCCATCCAAAGATGGCGATCGGGTAGCTTCGGCTACTGTCACGCCATCTGAGACCATTTCTGTTCCTCGTCCTCCTGCTGCTTCCATATTTACTGTTGAACTCCAGGCCATCTTTCAGACTTTGGAGTTCATTAAATCCTCATCATCTTTAAACACATTATATTTACTGATTCTTTGTCCTCTTTACAGGCAATAACTAATAAGCAGCTTGTACGCCCTTGTACTATCAAACGAGTTTAACAGCAAGGACACCGTCCTTTGCTGGCTCCCCAGTCATGTTGATATTAAAGGGAATGATCAAGCAGACTTAGCTGCCAAGTCTGCTTTAGATCTTCCCATATCACAATTTCTTTTACCTTTCACCGGTTTCAGATCGTCCATTAACTTTTTAATATATGACCGCTGGCAACGGCACCGAACATAAATTGGCAACCTATTCGGCTAGCGAGCAATTCGACCGATCTAGCTGGCAACCTGTTCGTTGGCAACCTATTCAGAATTAAGACAACAGTCGCCCAAACTCATCTATTTTTACCAACCAATAAAATCCAACGTTACGTCGATCAAATGAAAGTAGAATAATATATTATTTTTTATCCATTCCTTTAGCTCAGAATAGAGGTGTAATTTCGCATTATCGTACAAAATTCTAGACATCCAACCAAATATATTCCGAAAGGTAATTAAATAGGCTTTCCAAATATTATCAGTAAAAGTTGGCACAGTCATATTAAAGGGGTGCACTGTCTTCCTAAACATGACGAATTTTTTAAAAAAATTTAAAGGGAAAAACTGTTAATAACCCGTGTCAAAATTCGGACCATCGTACAAAATTCCGATGATCCAACTAAATATATTCTAAAAGGTAATTGGATAAGCTTTCTAAATGTCATTAGTAAAAGTTGTCACAATCATATTAAAGGGGTGCGCTCTCATCCTAAACTTCGCCAATTTTCTATATGTAAAAATAGACCGGTATTTTTTTCGAAGTCCAAATTCGGACCATCGTACAAAATTCTGAGCAACCAGCTATATATATTCTGAAAGGTAATTGGATAAGCTTTCTAAATGTTATTAGTAAAAGTTGACACAATCATATTAAAGGGGCGCGCTCTCAACCTGAACATCACCAATTTTTTAATATTTTAAAGTGAAAGAACGGTAATATTCCGAGTCAAAATTCGGACCATCGTACAAAATTCTGAGCAACCAGCTATATATATTCTGAAAGGTAATTGAATAAGCTTTCCAAATATTATTAGTAAAAGTTGGCACAATCATATTAAAGGGGCGCGCTCTCAACCTGAACATAGCCATTTTTTCAATATTCTATATGTAAAGATAGACCGGTATTTTTTTCGAAGTCCAAACTCTAACCATTGTACAAAATTTTGAGCATCCAGCTATATATATTCTGAAAGGCAATTGGATAAGTTTTCAAATATTATTAGTAAAAGTTGGCACAATCATATTAAAGGGACGCGCTCTCAACCTGAACATAGCCAATTTTTCAATATTTTAATGTGAAAGAACGGTAATATTCCGAGTCGAAATTCGGACCATCATACAAAATTCTGAGCATCCAGCTATATATATTCTGAAAGGTAATTGGATAAGCTTTCCAGATATTATTAGTAAAAGTTGGCACAATCATATTAAAGGGGCGCGCTCTCAACCTGAACATAGCCAATTTTTCAATATTCTATATGTAAAGATAGACCGGTATTTTTTTCGAAGTCCAAATTCGGACCATCGTACAAAATTCTGAGCATCCAGCTATATATATTCTGAAAGGTAATTGGATAAGCTTTCCAAATATTATTAGTAAAAGTTGGCACAATCATATTAAAGGGACGCGCTCTCAACCTGAACATAGTCAATTTTTCAATATTTTAATGTGAAAGAACGGTAATATTCCGAGTCAAAATTCGGACCATCGTACAAAATTCTGAGCAACCAGCTATATATATTCTGAAAGGTAATTGGATAAGCTTTCCAAATATTATTAGTAAAAGTTGGCACAATCATATTAAAGGGACGCGCTCTCAACCTGAACATAGCCAATTTTTCAATATTTTAATGTGAAAGAAAGGTAATATTCCGAGTCAAAATTCGGACCATCGTACAAAATTCTGAGCAACCAGCTATATATATTCTGAAAGGTAATTGAAAAAGCTTTCCAGCTATTATTAGTAAAAGTTGGCACAATCATATTAAAGGGGCGCTCTCAACCTGAACATAGTCAATTTTTCAATATTTTAAAGTGAAAGAACGGTAATATTCCGAGTCAAAATTCGGACCATCGTACAAAATTCTGAGCAACCAGCTATATATATTCTGAAAGGTAATTGGATAAGCTTTCCAAATATTATTAGTAAAAGTTGGCACAATCATATTAAAGGGGCGCGCTCTCAACCTGAACATAGCCAATTTTTCAATATTCTATATGTAAAGATAGACCGGTATTTTTTTCGAAGTCCAAATTCGAACCATCGTACAAAATTCTGAGCATCCAGCTATATATATTCTAAAAGGCAATTGGATAAGTTTTCAAATATTATTAGTAAAAGTTGGCACAATCATATTAAAGGGACGCGCTCTCAACCTGAACATAGCCAATTTTTCAATATTTTAATGTGAAAGAACGGTAATATTCCGAGTCGAAATTCGGACCATCGTAAAATATTCTGAGCATCCAGCTATATATATTCTGAACGGTAATTGGATAAGCTTTCCAAATATTATTAGTAAAAGTTGGCACAGTCATATTAAAGGGGCGCGCTCTCAATCTGAACATAGCCAATTTTTCAATTTTTTAAAGTGAAAGAAAGGTAATATTACGAGTCAAAATTCGGACCATCGTACAAAATTCTGAGCAACCGGCTATATATATTCTGAAAGGTAATTGAATACGCTTTCCAAATAGTATTAGTAAAAGTTGGCACAATCATATTAAAGGGGCGCGCTCTCAACCTGAACATAGCCAATTTTTCAATATTTTAAAGTGAAAGAACGGTAATATTCCGAGTCGAAAGAAAGGTAATATTCCGAGTCAAAATTCGGACCATCGTACAAAATTCTGAGCAACCAGCTATATATATTCTGAAAGGTAATTGAATAAGCTTTCCAAATATTATTAGTAAAAGTTGGCACAATCATATTAAAGGGGCGCGCTCTCAACCTGAACATAGCCATTTTTTCAATATTTTAAATGAAAGAAAGGTAATATTCCAAGTCAAAATTCGGACCATCGTACAAAATTGTGCCAACTTTTACTAATAACATTTAGAAAGCTCATTCAATTACTTTTCAGAATATATATAGCTGGTTGCTCAGAATTTTGTACGATGGTCCGAATTTGGACTTCGAAAAAAATACCGGTCTATTTTTACATATAGAAAATTGGCTATGTTTAGGATGAGAGCGCACCCCTTTAATATGATTGTGCCAACTTTTACTAATGACATTTACTAATGACATTCAATTACCTTTTAGAATATATTTAGTTTGATCATCAGAATTTTGTAAGATGGTCCGAATTTTGACACGGGTTATTAACAGTTTTTCCCTTTAAAATTTTAAAAAAAATTGGTCATGTTTAGGAAGAGAGTGCACCCCTTTAATATGACTGTGCCAACTTTTACTGATAATATTTGGAAAACCTATTTAATTACCTTTCGGAATATATTTAGTTGGATGTCTAGAATTTTGTACGATAATGCGAAATTACACCTCTATTCTGAGCTAAAGGAATGGATAAAAAATAATATATTATTCTACTTTCATTTGATAGACGTAACGTTGGATTTTATTGGTTGGTAAAAATAGATGAGTTTGGGCGACTGTTGTCTTAATTCTGCTGAATAGGTTGCCAACGAACAGGTTGCCAGCTGGATCGGTCGAATAGCTCGCTAGCCGAATAGGTTGCCAATTTGTGTTCGGTCTATAGAACCAACAGGAGGGATGAAGTTGTTTTGTGTCGCTCTCGCATTTGTCATACTTTTTTAACTCATATTTTCATTTTAGAGCGAGAGCCTCAACCAGAATGTGAACATTGTCATGTTCTTTTGACAGTTAAGCACATTTTGATTGAGTGCAAGCATTTCAAGGATATTAGATCGAATTTTTACCGTTGTCAGGCATTACCTCACCTGTTTGCCCAACCGGGTTTATATGGTAAAGCATTAGACTTTTTAAAAGAGACTGGATTTTATCATAAATTTTAATTGTATATATATATATATATATATATATATATATATATATATATATCATTTCATTTTTGTATTTAATATTTATATGCATAAAAGTTGTTTTTTATTTTTAATTTTATTAACTGTGATATTGTTTTTATAGGCCCACATTTTCATGTGGACATGTTATACCGTCGTCCCTGTCCGTCCGGACGTCCACAATTTTGATTATTTATGCATATAATGTTTTTTCTGTGATATAATTTAGCTTGTCTCGTAATATTCACCATATGTTTGGAGCAATATAGCCCGGTTGGAGCTGACGTGTCATAAAACCATATTTCATTTCATTTCATCTCTAATGTTCATAAAGTATAATAATATAGTAACGATATACTATGATTCTACTATGTAAAATTTCACTCTTCATGGGCCATATCTATGGGTTTATTTTTTTAAAATGAATCCCAATCCGTGGCCACGATTCATGTTGTTTACATTAATGCAAGAAATATGGGATTTATTGCAGAAAGGGGCGAAACTCTTACTTGACTTGGCCAAAGATACTGTATAATCAGCCACAGAAATATCAAACTCCCGGTTACACATGGGCAATGGAACTTTTTGTCAAATATTGACAACTCTCCCAGATCCCCCGTAAGTTGAAAACTAGGAGGTTCTGGGTGACCGAGGCTAATATGAACTAAAAACGTATTCGAAGTAATTAATCTATCAAATATTTGCTTCAGATCCCTCTCAAAATATTGTATTCGCGAGAAAATACCCCAAGATATGAAAAAATCTAGAAGCCATGTTTGTCATGTAACTTGATTGAGGGAGGGTTCATTTCAGAATGTATTTGTCGTTACTTCTTGGATTTTATTCTGCCAACTTCTTTCTCTGTCGTTTTATTGCAGAGGCTGATGTACCTTTTAACCCTTCAATGTTCCCAAAACCGCCAAACCATTCGATCAAGGATGATCAAGAAATAACAATCGCTCCCTAAGTCAAGTTGGCAAACAATAAGCCGTCGGACTGACAGTTAGTGATACCTTGACATTTTTGCCTAATGCTTGCCTACGGTATTTTGCTGGTAGGATCGGGCGTCTCAACTTTCCATTTATACAAAATTTGCCATATTTTGTATTTGACATAACTGCCCAATAAATACTTTCGTGGGGATGTATCTTTAACTCAATATAATCCATAATATTCGATTTTAAAAATACGAATTCAGTCTAAGTCTGGTAATGAAGGCCTCTCGCCACTCTCTCCACAAACCATGGTTAAAACGCGCCGTGTCTCAAAATCTTGACGATTTTCTTATACACTTACATTTCAGTGTTATCGTATTATGCCGTCACCCATGTCCATCCGTCGATTCGGCAACAATATTGACTTGTAAACGCGATAGAGGCTACAGTTTTTAACCTATTCTTCTCTAATTTGATGTGAAGCATGGTCCCAAGAGGAAGAACTCTGTCGATATTCAGCGTTCCGCAACCTTCGTACTAATGTAATGTCCTTTTCCGCGAAAACCCATTGAACTCGATAGCGGGGTCATGAGAGTGTGAACCCTATTGATAATCAGCGTTCTGCGACATCCGATTCCGGCGTTATGCCCGTTTACCCAAAAAACCTTGTGAACGTGATAGATGCTATAGGTTATTTAAATTTGCTATAAAGCACTGTGGCCATGATATAATGAAACCTAGCGATATTCAGCATTCCGCAGATATCCCATGTTGCCAAAAAACCTTGTGAACGTGATAGGCCATAGTTTTAAACGGGCCTTTTTAAATTTTGGTGGGAAACATTGTTGTCATGAGAGGACAAACATTATCGATAATCAGCATTTCGCGACCTTCCGGTCCCGAGTAATGCCGCCCATTGTCGATAGAGGCAACACTTTTTAACGGAATTAAAGGACAGAGATCAGCAGATGTCATGAAGGCATCCTTTTCTAATTTGGTCGTAATCCACGTTTTACTTTCGGATAAGCTGCTGTCGAGACATGGCTGCTGTGCTGGCGTATTTCCACGCTTTGCTTGGTTGTCTTTTTAATATATGAATGACGAAGCGTAAAAATGCTGGCGAAGTTAATTAATAAAAAGGTGCTTCTTATGATGACTAACGGTGTTGTTTCTGTTTTAATTTTTACAGAATAAAACTTTTAAGAAATTTGCCGAAGTTTGTCCCATGGTGTTAGTTGGATATCAACCTTCTGTGGTTTCATACAGAGTATCACTGGGTTGGGTGGAACTACTTTTAGGGATAGGCCTGCTACTTGGACCGAAACCTGTTCAGAAGGTCAGCTGCGGTGTCTTACTTATAATTATGGCGGGAGCTGTTCAAACTATGATATCGTTAAAAGAATACACCCAGGTTGTAGTTCCAGGAAGTTTATTCATCGCTCTACTGTATTACTACAAGTGCCTATCTACTCCGGAAAACAAGAAAATCCAGTAAAACTATGATTTGATTCGTTTTAGGAACTAACAATGATCAAGAAGAGTACTGACCTTATATGCATTGGGTTATATAAGTTTACTTTTAAAAATATATATGCTCTTTGTGTGATTATGTGCCATATATGTAGTTATATTGAGATAGACACTCATTTCATCATGGTCAATAGTTGCCATTAATTGTAAAATATATATTCCAAAATTTATAAATCACTGTAATTTGAAATCGGGTTAAAGCGTTTGTACATAAAACATGCAGGGTGTCAATATATGGACATTTTCAACCTTTTTCGGATGGGACGGGGCTTTGGCTAGAATCCGCTACTGCTTAAAAGTAGAAAATGTCAGCAACATTTTGACACATGTGCAGACCTCTGTGTTTGTATTATGTTAGATTTTTAACATCACCGGTGTGATTTCGGGGAAATTATGCCTTGATAGCGGTATTTTAGCCTACTCCAAATCGAATTCCAACGAGAACAGGGTGGACCTGCGTTTATCGTCATGCACAACTGATAAGAGGAAATCAAGCAGTGAAATTCCGTGGAATAACACGGGTATGGAACCTGGGACCTCCGGTTAGTGAACCAGCGTCACACCCATTGAGCCACCGTGGCTTCCGGAAAATAAAAGACTAGTAGTCTAGGCGTAGTCTACCACTAGCTGCATGCCTTTCGCCACATCATTGATTTGATGTGCCGATTATCCACGAGGGTGGTGGCGGCTTCATGACGTTCATATATTTCTTCATTCAGATCTTTGTATTAACAGTGTCGATGCTAAATTTCTAAACCATATGGGCAGCATTTCTTATTGGGCCTAGACGCAATTCTTTTGAATAAAATATGTCATAAGTAATGGTAACTGTACAACCAAGATTATAAAACCAACAAGAAAAGAATAATGTCGGCGTTGTTAATTGTGGTGACACATAAACTCTTGGTCTTTTACACGTAGGCCTACATGGGCTTTTAGTCTGGTTGCAAGGGCAGGTCATAATGAATCCAGACAGATTGATGAACACATAATCGATTATATCTCAATCGGTTTTATCTTCGGACGTAAATGTGTTTCAGAAATAAAGATTTTCATCTCAAGAAAACAAATCAACACATAAATTTAATCAAATCGACACTTTCATTTTGACAAAGAGAATCATGTATATGTGTAAACGGAATATAAATCGATGTAAACATTCGAATATAATTGCATGACTCATATTAATTTACATGTATATGAGCGTTAGCCTTTAGCAAATTACCGTTATCAATCAGTGTTTTGACTAACCATACCACAAATTGAAAATAGATATAGATATGAGTGTAACCCATGTACTTATGTAAATATATCAAACACCTGAACGAGTCTCCGCTCCTTAAACAGAAAAAAATAAGTTTGATTGTTGTGATATATTTTATTAGTATCATGACATACGTTATTCACATCAAAATCAATAACTTGATTGACAGTTCAACAAAAAGGCCTTATTGTGTAAATACTGTGTGACGTTTGCTTTTTACACAATAGATACCCCTCGCAACAACACCCCGTAAAAGGCATTTGTTAAAAGGATCCTTGTTGACGGTACGTTGCGAAGTGAGTTGTATTTAATTGGAAGGAAATACTGTACTGTGGTTGTCAGTTTGACTATAAAGACAATAACCCAATCTGAAACTGATTTCCCATTCAATATGATGTAAGTATATATTATCTTCTTGTGGTATTTTACCCGAAATTTTTGGGAATCATGTATACTACTCCAATCATAAAGACATGCGCAATGAATGACATACGTCTGCATGATGGAGATCTGATATAAGACAAAATATCAAATAAACAAAATGAAATGGTGTTTAATCACCTACTTTTCTGCACCAAACGGGATAATGAAGATGGGCATACGTCAGTGTGCTATCAGAGAAATTTTGCCAGGACGGCGGAGTTTCCCCATATTCTTCATCGAATTATTCACAATGCCAGGCCTTAATGACCGAGCCACCCCTTATATAAAATAAAAAAAACCGTAGACATTATTTCTGAACGATGATGACTATTAGCTTTTAATTCAATATTATTATATCTGAATGATATTTTTATATCCGAATTATTCTACATGTATTTCGAAATCATATTTAAAGGAGCTAAATCACTAATATTTGGGACCTAAAAATTGACACAAATGGGTCGCAACGCATATAATAATGTAATATGAATGTATATAAACTGATTTACATTTAATCGTTACCGTTTTTACTCTAATTCCGAATCAGTTATATTCGGCGAAATACACCAGAAGTCTCAACCGAACGGCGGTCTCTAGCGTCTAGTTATTGCAGTCTATTTATTTATTGGGCATGCTCTCCAGATAAGAATATGACGTCACCGTTTGACATGACTTGTGGAAGATCTCTAGCCTCGTTCTTCGAGTCCCTTGTTACAAATGGTGCAAAACGCATTATGGTACACGATTCGTGTACCAATGGTAAACTGTTTATTTTGTCTTAAATATTGGATATCAGAAGCCCATCATTTCCCGGTAAGATCACAACATCAATGTTGATTTAAATTGACAAAAAATTCGTGTTTTCAATGTCGAAGATTTTGGATGATATTGAGTTAGAGACTTAGCTACTTTAAATAGTCTATATACTGTTGGCAGAGTGAGTGAGGTGTTAATGCTTCCCCTTTGGAAATTAATATATTGTAATGCTAGATAAAGCCTGGATTCCGGTGTATTGATTTTACCCACCACACATACCTGCCCTTGACTATTAAAAACCAACCGGAAAAGGGCAATTTATCCTTATTTTTTAGTAAATATTTCTTTGGTGTTTCGTTTAGTTAGTTTTATTTTCAACGCGTGTGGAAAATATCCAATAGGCCGATAACTCTTAAGAATGATTGAACCACTTGCACGCCCATGACAGTCCCCAAAAGTACCACTGTTTTAGTAATCAGGTTAGGTAAATTTGTTGACAAATTTTTATTGGTTAATTCGGGCAAAATAGTTACAGCCCCATGCACTCCACCCCCACCCGATAAAAGTTTCGTAACCATGTGCACAAGATAGCTTTGTTATTTATATTTCGCAAACTAGTTAAAATTGCAGATTTCTAAAGTATTAAAATCTAGTAATGTATAAATTTGGATTTAAAGCAGAAGTAAAACCTTATAACATTCGAATTATTTTCTTTTCATCGTTGAACAATAAAATTACAGTAGGTCTATAACACAGAGCCACTGGCCTGATTTTACTCTTAACAAAAAAACATTTTCTTAACATTCAATTATAGTTAAAAGGGAGCAAAACGGGTCAATTGATTCATAAGTATAAATGTGTATAATAAATACTTGAATTGTGTTTATAGAAAGAATGATCTTATCACGACGACTTGAATACAGATTACCTAGCAATGAACATAATACAATATTATTCTACATGTACATTTCAATACAAAGCACTCAAGCAGAAGTTCGCCATTTTAAAATATATGTACAACACATAATTTTATATAATATGTACAACACATAATTTTATATATGCGTGCCTATGTGTTTATTATTTTAGATCTTATATTCAAAATTATTAGATTAATTTCTCAGCTAGATCGTCTCTGAAATATAGGAATTTGTAATCTGAAAAAAAATATATGTCTTTCTTATTTCAGGATTTTCTGATGTAAGTAACCCGTCAACAAAACAAGTGAATTCCGGGGAACATATTTTAGTTATACTCTGTTACAAACTCTTTTTAAAGTTCACTTTTCCAATCAAAACAACCAAACATGCTTGGTTATTATAGCAGTTCGCCATATTTATCAAATATGGTCACATACCATAGTGCCCCAACGACCCATTACACATACCAAAACGTGGGCACATCTGTGGAGTACCACACTCGACCAACTGGTGTACAGTATGCGATTTCACCAGCAGAAGTGGAATACTCGCGAGAACCAGTTGCAGTAGTCTATGCCACCACGCCTAGATCAGTCACCTACCGACAAGACCCAGTTGCTGTCACCTACCAGACGACGCCACACTACACGACCTTCGCCGGACCACCAACCACAGTGACCTATCACTCTGCACCTGGAGCTGTAGCTTACCAATCATTCATATAGCTGGATTAAGCAAATTTCGATATCCTGAAAACAAACTTAAGGAGGGGGGGGGGGCATATGCCCGGGGCGACACTTCTTGGGAGGGGGCGGGGGTGGACAAATTATCTAAGTGCATACTGGCTTCCCCGTAATCTATGTAAACCAGTTCATATTTCAGCAAATAGAGAGGGTAGAATTATGATTTTTCCAAGACAAATTATAGGGTTTTTCGATCAAATGGAGAGTGGAAGGATAAATAAACATAAACCTTTTACACAGAAGTTGATTTAATAAATAGTTATTTAGATAAAGTGTTAAAAGTATAGAAATTGTATTTTAAAATTTCTTTAGCCATAAAAAATCAACTGAGCACAGGCACTGTACAAAGCAGTTACAGTATGCCATGATAGGGTGGGGCGCTTCACTGAAACTTTTGTCCTGGGGCGCCACATAGACTTATGAGGGTCCTGCTTTCATTACTTTCATCTAGATTAGTTTGTCATTTAGTCCAGACCTAATGGAGAACAGAACATAAGATTGTTTTTTAATACATTTAAAGTGATTATATTGTTGAATTTGTAGCTAAAGTTAACGAAATATTTTAGATGTATTCGTTGTATTAAAATTTCTCCATGGTTATCAGCAAAGATCACACTTAAAAAAGGCCATATATTATTTAAGATAATAATACTAATGATAATAGTAGCATAAGTTTAGTCACATTTACTTTCTGTCAAAAATGATATCAAAAGCAAAATGGTCCAAATGTCAATGTATAATTGTGTTGTGTATAAATGGCGCGGGGTCCAAACCGAAAACACTTGTTGGCGATATAACCCAAGGTGGAAGCGGACGTTAAGCCTTAAGAACGAACGAACAAACCGATGGCAGACAGTGCCGGATTGTGACATAGGCTATAGGGCCTGCAACCCACGGGCCAGCTAGTGGGCCTCTAGAAATTAAGAGAAATTTCATTATGGATGCTGAATCAAAATATAAGTATTCTAAATTATTTTTAAAGAGGTTTTAATATGCTGTGTATGTATATGTATATATATATATATATATATATATATAAATTTCTGAAGTCTTCGTTGAACTGGTTGTTAACTGGATATTAATCAATCACGTCAAACCATCGGCTATTTTATAGAAAATAAGACGCTCGTGTTCGCAGTGCTTACAATTACAACTATTAAACTCAAGATTTTATATATAAGAGGCCGTGTGTGTGTTGTTAACTTTGTTAATATTTAGAGTTTTTACTTATATTTTGTATATTATTTTCTTTTAAATGTATATAGTATACCATATTATATGAGTTTTGCTACATTTAAAGTGTTGAATATAAGTATGATGCGAGAGATACTTCGGCGCAATCACTATTAACTGCAGTAGAGTTACCTGAATACGAGTCTACCAGATTAATGCATGTATGCTTATCTTTGGTCGCAACCAATGAAAAGCACCAGTATATTGTTAGACAAACAAATGTATTTCAGTAATTTAGTAGTAGTGTTCATACTTGACAGTTGTGAATATGACATTAAAGCAATCTGTGATATTAATACCAGTCTGTGTACGTTATTCCTAGAAAAGGGTTAATACCTAGTTGTTGTATCTTCTTCAGAATAAAGTGTATCCTGCACAATCAGACATCTCGTTATTTTGAAAATGGAATACGGGTATGTTTAAGACAGAAATGCAAGTTCTTAAATCCAGCTCGTCAATCTTAATCAATAGAATTCACAGCGTGTCGTGTAAATTCTGTTGAGTGGGCTATTAGTTGAATTTTGTTTTGTTGTTATTTTAAAGTGACAGCAGGATCAGGAAATACACATGGACATCTTTATTGTCTGTTCAAGATTCCTTGCTTACCAAACAAAGAATTCCGATAGATAGTTTGGGAAATATATATCATTACAGTGTCATGTTCTGTATTTACGAAAAGGTTGCGGGAGACTGACACATTTTTAAATATTACTTACACTGATATTGTTATCCAATATTGCCAAAAGGTTGTACTCGCAATTACCGCGTACTCACCCACAGCACAGTATTGGTATAGCCGATCTCTTCTGGTTCTATTTTCTACATAAAGTTACGTCGTAATTTTGTCCTGACTGGGGGTACTGTAACGTTAAATATACTATTCAAAAAAAGTAGGGGATATTTGATTTTGGGGGCATAATACTAAAATATGCAAATGACTACGAAAAAAGTCACTATAGAACCTAACAGAAGAAACATTTCCAGTTACATGTGACGTCCAAACGCACCAATAGCTACCGCATGGAATGCAGGTGATGCTTGGGATCATCATGGGGGTCCAACCCAAGATTTGCACGACTCTGACTTTGAATGTTACAGTCATTGTGGCATTGAATTCCAGGGTGGAAACATCAGTTTAATTGTTTTAGTGACCAGAAAACAAATTTTGATATGCGTCGGCTTACCCAAAATGAAAGGTTACGTGCCCTTGGCATGCTACAGATCGGCACAACACAGGCGGTTGTGGCGCGGACGATGAATGTTTCTCAGTCTGTCATAAGCAGGCTATGGTCCAGATACCGTGATACACAATCTGTACAGGACAGACCACGCTCAGGTCGACCAAGGGCGACAACTCAAGCCCAGGATCGATTTATCCGTACCTTGGCCTTGAGAAATCGTGTCATCACAGCAAATCAGATCAGCGCTCGTCTTCAAACAGACATTGGTGTGAGAGTGAGTGGCCAGACGATTCGGAATCGACTGCATAGGGGTCACCTTCGCGCCCGACGTCCTCGCGTGATCCCTTGTTTGAGAGATCATCACATTCAGGCAAGACGTCGTTGGTGTAGGGATCGTCAACACTGGGATAATCGACGCTGGAGCAATGTGATGTTTTCAGACGAGTCAAGGTTCACTGTTGATTTTTTGGACAGACGTAGGAGGGTGTGGCGTCGTCGAAACGAGCGCTTCCAAGACGTTAACGTCATCAGACATGATCGATTTGGGGGTGGTTCTGTTATGGTGTGGGGAGGCATCACTGTTGCTGGAAGAACGGCTTTACATGTTGTTGCAGGGCGTGTTACAGGCCAGTACTACCGGGACAACATCTTGGCAGTCCATGTTGTGCCGTTCGCACGACGTCATGGCCGCCGTTTCATCTTCCAGGATGACAACGCAAGATGTCACAGGGCCAGGATCGTTACAGGTTACCTCCAACAACAGAACATCACCACATTACCTTGGCCAGCACTGAGTCCCGACCTCTCCCCCATCGAGCATGTCTGGGACATGCTTGGACAGAGGTTACGTCAACGTCAACAACGTCCTGCCAATGTCCAAGAACTTGCTGCTGCGTTGCAACAGGAATGGGACAATCTGGACCAAAATGACCTTAGACGTCTCATAGGAGTATGCCACGTCGGATCAATGCTTGTTTGGCAAACACAGGAGGATTTACCCGTTACTGACTTGGTTGTGATGCTGTGGTAACTTTGCTGTTTGACCCCGGGTATCATTTTACCCTTATAATGGTCAGTCTGTGCCTTACTTAGTCTAACGATCATTTGGAATAAATCGATGAATGTGAACTTCATTTCATTTTGTCATTTGTTTCTTCGTCAGTTTCATTAGGTGACTTTAATAACACTTAAAAATCAAATATCCCCTACTTTTTTTGAATAGTATATTACACAATATTGAGCAAAAGTTTTACCCTCAAGTACCGTTCTGATAAAAAGCTTTTCGTTCCCGTGAAAAATATATTGGTACCATTTCAGTTGTCACCCTGTACGTTGGTCAACAATTGACTTGTGAACTTGATATAGATATTTTTCAAATTTCATGCCCGGCGGAGTGGGGGGGGGGGCTAAAGCACCAATAATTTGGCCGCAAGTACTCTTTTCTCCAGGTTATTGCACGCAAGTAACTATTCAATAAAACACAGAGGCTTGATTTTAACATGGCAGTGAGTAGAAGTGAGACTTTCAGAGGAAGAAAACCCTGCTATATGCTATATACTGATCTCTGGGTTAAGAGACCTACGGTTACAAGTCCATCTTACGTCCGTTGTATCTATGACATATTAGGTAATTAGAAAGACGTCGGGATAGAGTTTTATTTATATACTCTTTCCTTGTGTCCCTTATCCATCAAATAATTCACTTCTATCAGTTATGACCAGTTAAAACAAGCGGTTGTCAAGCAAGATATGCCCATATTTTGGAAGAAATCGATGGGGAAGAGGTAAAAGCAATAGGGCTTATCCTCTCATACAAGATCTTTTGATCCTTAATATATTTAAGATTCAACAGAATGGGACAACAATGTTATCCCCCCCCCCCCGGAGGGCCTATATAATCCGTACATATTTCCAATTTTGCCTGAAAAGCAGGGCTACAGCTCTAGAATGTAAGGTCTGATGCTAAAAAAGTCGAACTCATCCCAGAACTTTTGATCCTTAACACACAGTTTAAGTTTCAACATGAAAGGTCCGCAAACTTCATTCACGTAAAAGGCAAGTTTCATCTAAATCGAGTATATAATTGTGACCTCTAGATGGTCCACAACCTGGGTATACATGCTTTTATTATATACTATTTTCGTAAAGGGGAGTGGCTATTTGACGGGAAAGTTTTGGTCCGATTTTGAGGACACAATTATGGTGTAACGGTGATATATTTGAACAGTTTTGAAAATAAGATACAAATTGTGACCTCTAGAGGGTCCATAAGCTAAAACGAGATATTTCGTACAATTAGGGGGTAATAATCCAGAAAGTTACTGTCCAATACGCGTCAATATCGAAAGGAACCCAGATCTTTAGGATGTAAATATATATTTTAAGTTTTATCAAAATTGGATAAAAAATTTGAACCGCTGGATGGTCTACAACCTGGGTATTACGGTCAGATCTAAATATTAAAGCCACCGGCAGATTTCGTCAAGGTCACAAGATGTTATCAGGGCTGGGGCACGTGATTGTTGCCGGGCATGTGGCTTCGGGGAAGGGCTAGATCTTGGATTAGGATTGGCGCTATCACTGTTTACATCTCGCGACCTTGGAGAAATATGTAGGTGGCCTTAATATTTAGATCTATCCTGGGTATTACATGCGTTTAGGGGAGGGACCACTTTGTGGGGCAGCTCGGTCCGATTTTCAGGAAATGTGAACTCAACCGTAATTATGGTATAACGGTGATATATTCGAACGCCTTTTAAATCGGATAAAAATTGTAACCTCTAATCCAAGAAGTTACAATCCGATATGCGCGAATATGGAAAGGAACCAAACATGCATTTCAAGTTTCATCAAAATGGGATGAAAATTGTGACCGCTAGAGTGTAGTGTCCGTAAGCTAAAAACAAGATTTTTCGTACAATCGGAGGCCACAATCCATGAAGTTACAACCCGATACATGCCAATTTCGAAAGTAACAAAACTGAGATCTTTGGGACATAGACCTATATTTCAAGTTTCGTCAATATCGGATAAAAATTGTGACCTGATATAATTGAACGGTTTTTACTATCAAATAAAAACTGTTATTGCTACAGGGTCCACAAACTAAAATGTGATTGTTCGTACAAACAGGGGTCACAATCCAGGAAGTGACGGTCCTGTATGCGCCAATATCGAAAGGAACCGAGATCTTTCGGTAATAAACATACATTGTGCGTTTCATCAAAATCGGATAAAAATTGTGACCTCTACAGTGTCCACAACTTTGGTATTATTATGCATTTTTTTGGGGGTCAAGTTCAGCATCACAGGATTAAACCACCATAGGTTCTGTCTTTATGTTACTGGAGTTAAAACAGAAATAAAATTTCGCTTCATTTCTGGGTAATTTTATTAGCTAGAAATCGCTCAGAAAGCGTCTCCGACGATCTAGACCCCCGAGAGCTTCCGGGGACTAAGCGGCCCTTGATCTCTCGCCTAAAGACCTAGGGTGGTAGCCCCCCCCCCCCCAAATCAAGAATTGCTTCCGCCGGCCCTGAATTTGGTGAATGATTGGGGTCCTGTGTTGAACTCAATCAGTCTCAGCATTCTGCGAACTTCAGTTCCGGTGTTAAGCCCAATTTCCGCTAAACTTGGGAACGTTTTTTTTATGGATTGTTTTTTTCTTCTTCTAATTTTGTGTGAAGCATTAGGGCTGTGAAGCATTGGGATCGGAGAAGATGAACCCTGTTAATTTTCAGCATTTTGGGACTTCCTGTTCAAGAGATTTATTACGTGTCCGGAAAAGCAGTGAACACAATAGAGATCAGTGACAAACGGGACACTACCCTGGAAAATTCCGGGAATTTTTGTGTACGTAAAAGAACCCATGGCAGTTGGAAACGCCGTCGTCCAGGGGTAATTTTCCTCATGAAACACTGCATGGCGTATGCCCGTTAATCTCATTTCATTTGATTTCCATTTATTTGGCATGCACTGCTAGGCTGTCTTTATTTGTTCATCTGTTCATCTGAAATATTCGGTGTTTCCATTCATCGGTGAGAAATCATAGTAACTAATATCAACCTGACTTTATCGTGTCGTTGAGAACGTGAAACAGAAATGGAAAGTTCATAAACTGTTCTAATGTAACCATTTGTAGTCAACATGCCGTGATTTTCTTTCTTGAAAATATTGCAACGCAGGGCCTATTTCAAGGTTTTATTGGCGAAGCACGGTTTCCAATGTTTTAGGGTTCCGTGAAAATTTCCAGAATTTGACTTCTGATAACACGCTTACACTTTTATACCCAAAATATAACAGAATTAACATATTTAGATTTATACCCAAAATATAACAGAATTAACATATTTAGATTTATAACCGTGGGTCAGTATTATTAACAGCCCAAAGAAACATCCAAAGTCGATCCAAAGGGAAACGAACCTTCACTGTCACCTGCATAGGACAATGTTCTCTATGTATCGAAAGTAATCGATGATCATAATGCTAGCTAAGTTTCCCCATACCATCTTGCCAGATTCACCGGGCTATATATAAATAGCATTTTTTCAAAGCACGGATTATTTACCCAGAGGCACGTTCGTACATGTAGGCACGTTAAAATGGGCCCTGTTGCGAGGACTTTGGTTTGAACCTAGCTCACTTGTCAAAATCCGGTATATCTGTCTCTGAAAATACCGTGTAAAATAAACATAATCTACAAAATGTTATCTTCAACAAGCAACATAATCTCGATTTTTTTTCTTTCTTGTACAATTAAATTATTAGTCATTATAGAGAAATTTATTTATTTGGGATAACACGTCCCAAGGAAATGGAGAACACCAGGTACACAAAACATGTTTTTGGCACAAGGGCAGACTTCTACACTCTGTTTGCTTACAAAACACGATTTTCCCTTTATACCAAGCGGTTTACAGCTGACTCTATATCTAGGCATTGGTCCTACTGCGGTTTCTGGAGTATATGTCAAACTCTGAAACGATTAAGGGTAGGCTTTATGTTTATGTCATAAACAAGCGATTGCCATGCAAGATACGCCCACATTTTGCAAGAGATGGAGCGAGAAGAAGCTAAAAAAAACGAAGCGATATTTCTTACGATATTGGGCCATAATCCAGGAAGTTACGGTCCGATATGCGTGAATATCTACAGGAACTGGGATCTTCAGGATAAAATTTTTTTTTAAGTTGCATCAAAATCGGATAAAAATTGTGACCTCTACGAAATTCGAACTCAACCATCATTATGCTGTAACGGTGATATATTTAAATGATTTTTTTAAAATCGGATAAAAATGGTGACCCTCAACTAAACAACTTCCAGAAATATGGAAAACTTCACATGACACGGTCGCTTTCAAAGGGAAGGGTGATCCACAATTACCAGAAAATTACCTCCCCATTTCATTAACGTGAACAATTTGTAAGATTTAAAAAAAATATCCTAAAACACCTGTACAACTTTATTAAACAATATGATTTATTATCTAAACATCAGTCAGGGTTTCAAGAAAGTGATTCAACAATAAACCACCTTCTTGATATATATATACTCTTAAAAAAAGTAGGGGATATTTAGAAACAATACAAAACTACGGAAATGCACTGCTGTTTTTATTAGAGCCAGAGGTAACCAGTGTATGTTAATAACAGGCCAATTGCCTACACATGAACGTAAACAGTTCGTATGGGCGGCTTATCCGACGGCCGCATTTCACTCGCAAAGAGATACACCGTCAAATGTGAAAATGGACGTTTTGTTTTTCATGCTTTGTCTTAATAATGAGTAATTGCTCCACCAATCCTCAGACATTCAGCAGTTCGTCGTGGTATGCTCCTAATCAACCATCCAATCACGATTTGGGACAATCTGACCCACTTCTCTTGCAGTGCCACGGTCAATTCTTGTAGTGTTGTCGGTTGACGTTGACATCGACAAACACGTCTCCCGATCAAATTAAACGTAACACACTAAAGCAAAGATATGCTAAACAGTTAATCTTATGCAAGAAACCTATAGGAAAGCAAACATGGATAGATAAACCAGCACGCGGCAGTTTTCATCAACTCTTCCTTGAAGTGTCAAATTTGACAATGAACCCCTCCCAGGTGTATGGCGCTATAACGTGTCGCATGTGCAGCTCAGTGGTTCTGTTGGGGCGACAAGTTCTTCATCTGTGAACATACACTCAAAGCATGTCAAATGTCCATGACTATTTATCATATCGCAACCTGCATAGGTATTTGCATTTCAATATCCCCTACTTTTTTTGAAGAGTAAGCTTATATAATACTCTGGCACATGGGAATTATGTATAAGCTGCGAAAGTATAGTATTAGTCTAAATGTATGTGATTGGATATACAACTATTTAACAGATCGTATACAATGTGTTGTCCTTGAAGGCTTTCAATCACCTTTTTTGTCAGTTGAATCCGGGGTTCCCCAGGGATCAATACTTGGCCTTTTTCTATTTTTAATTGATATAAATGATATTTCAGACAATCTATAATGTACGATTATTTGCTGAAGATTATTTGCTGAAGATACGTCTCTATTTGCAATTATAAATGATAACCTATTGGAAACTGCTAATTCAATTAATAGTGATCTGAAGCTAATATCAACCTGTACAAATAGATGGCAAATAAAATTTAACCCAAATAAAACGAAAAACTTAATATTCACACGTAAAAAAATAATCATCCTAATCTTATATTTGAAAATAAAATTATTGATAAAGTTACTTCACACTGCCACCTGGGGCCAACTTTTCATCTAAACGGAACATGGGCAGAACATATTTCTAAAATTCACAAAAAAAAGCTTGTAATAGACTCATCATACTAGCCAATTAAAATTCAAATTAAATAGATCTGCCTTATGTACGATATACGTCCTGTTATGGAGTCCTGTTATGGAGTACGGAGATAGTATATGGGATAATTGTAGTACTAAAGATCCAACTAGAAACAGGAAGAATCATAACTGGTCTGCACCGAAATTCCGATAGAAAATATATTTATATTATTTCCACAAGAAACTGTATATGCTCGGTTTTACAATGTTTATATTATATGGTTTAGTATTTTTTGTTTCCCTGGGAAAGAACTTATATAGGCTTTTCCTGTTGTTCAATCCTTTTCAAATGAATAAAATAAATATTGTTTAAACAAGCTAAGAAACCCGTGATTTTTCGTACAATCTGGGGCCATAATCCAGGAAGTTACGATCTGATATGCACCAACAGTGACAGGAACGGAGATCTTTGGGACATAAACATATATTTTAAGTTTCATCAAAATCTGATAAAAATTGTGACTTTTAGAGGGGCCACAACCTTGGTATTACCTACTTTTACACTATTTGCGTACAAGGAGCGAACATTTTGTCAGGCAGTTTCAGTCTGATTTTCACGAAATTCGAACTCTACCACTATTAGGGTGTAACGGCGATATATTTAAACGTATTTTTAAAATCAGATAAAAATTGTGACCTCTAGAGGGTCCACAAGCTAAAAACGTGATTTTTCATACAATCCGGGGCCATAATCCAGGAAGTTACGGTCCGATATGTGCGAATATAGAAAGGAACCAAGATCTTTGGGATATAAACATATATTTTAAGTTTCATCAAAATCAGATCAAATTTGTGTCTTCTACAGGGTCCACAACCTTGGTATTACTTACTTATTTACACTATTTGTGTACAAGGAGCAGCCATTTTGTCAGGAAGACTTGGTACGATTTTCAAGAAATTCGAACCCAACCATCATTAGGGTGTAACGGTGACAAATTTAAACGTTTCTTAAAATCGGATAAAAGTTTTGACTTCTAGAGAGAGGTTCAACAAGCTAAAACCGTGATTTTTCGTACAATCAGAGGCCATAATCCAGAAGTTACGGTTTGATATGCGTGAATAGCAAAAGAACCAGGATCTTTGGGATATAAACATTTATTTTAAGTTTCATCAAAATCGGATCAAAATTGTGACAGAGGGTCCACAACCTCGATATTACATACTTTAACACTATTTGAGTACAAGAATCGGCTATTTTGTCCAGCAGTTTCGGTCCGATTTTCACGAAATTCGAACTCAATCATCATTATGGTGTAATGGTGATATATTAGAACATTTTTTTTTGATATCGGATAACAATTGTGATGTCAACTAAACAACTTCCAGACATATGGAAAACTTCACATGTCACGTTCTAGAGGCACTCGGCAAATCTCGGCAGATTCCGTTACTCTACATCTAGATGTAGGGTACTGGGATCTGCCGACGTTTGCCGAATGGGTCTAGAGGGTCCACAAGCTATAAATGCAATTTTTCGTACAATCAGGGGCCATAATCCAGGAAGTTACGGTCAGATATGCGCGAATATCGAAAGGAACCGAGAGATTTGGGTTTAAAAAAATACATTTCAGTTTTCATTATAAATCGGATAAAAATTGTGTCCAAAAGCTAAAAACGTTATTTTTCGTACAATCAGGGGCCATAATCCATGAAGTTACAATCCGATACATGCCAATATCGAAAGGAACCAAGATCTTTTGGAAATAAACCTATATTTCAAGTTTCGTCAAAATCTGATAAGAAATTGTGACCTGTGGCGTGTCCACAATTTGTTTGTGGACAGCCGGATGTCCAGACGGACGGACACAGGGGTGACCACAACATACGTCCACATGAAAATGTGGGCATATAAAAATGAAAATGTTCTCAAGTATCAAATAAATACCAATATTAGCTCAGTCTCCATATACATTAAGATAATCTCGATGAATGTACTACAAGTAATTGTTGACAGATTTGATATTTTATTTTGCATTTCATTCTATTAACAGGGGTTTTTGGCTAATACTTCTGTTGGAAATGAAATGGGGTTTAACGTCCTACTGTTCTGCACTGGCTTGGCTAATGAACACAGCACAGAATCGCTCTGAAGATTTTAAAATGGTTGAGATATTTAAAAAGACATTCTCATTAGTCCCACATCTCCAGCCTGCTCCTCTCACTTAATGACCCAACCTAAAGGTTTTATTTTGTAATAAATAGCATACCTCTTTGACACAACACTTGTCACTACCACAGGAATTATGATGATTCGGATCACAATTATCAACAAAATCTGTCAGTTCTCCATTTACTGTTTTCAACTCTCCATGTGACATCCAGACATACTAGAAACAAAATGAAGTCTCATGTTGGCTTTAGCCCAGACATAATATTTAATTTTCTTTATGGTTATGTTAGGAAAGTCAGAAAAACTAATTTCTTTGCATATCTTGGAAGTTGTAACATCAGAAAACAGGAATACATAATGGTTATAGATGAACCAAATAACATTATTGTAAAAAACAATTTTATTCTGTACACATAATTAACAATATTAAATACAAATGTACAACAAAGGTCTTACCTGTAACAGTAAGATTGAGACAGAAATAAGTCCGCATTTAACAAGTTTTAACATGTTGAGTTTAATCTATTTGTACAGATAATCCTGATTTGGAAGGTGTCCTGGGTGTTAAATATCATCAATACTTTATCTTAAGACACCTGTCACCTCTCACAGAGATATAACTCATAATCATATTTTCCTTCAAAGGAATTGTTGGCTTATATCCCTTACACACACACATATATACATATTTATAGTTAAATTAATTTCGTTTCCATAAAAGTACTTAGAATTTATACTATCTCAAGGTCTGATATTTTGATGTTAATTTCAGCCAATATGACACATATTTCTACAAAGACAAATCAGGTGTAAGTAAAACCCATTTCTAAATATAACAATAAACTAGCGGTTACCATGCAAGATATGGCCACATTTTGCAAGAGATGGACAAAGAACAAGCTAAAAAAAAAGTCATTTTTCGTAGAATCAGGGGCCATAATCCATGTTACGGTTCGACATGCAACAAAATCCAAAGGAACCAAGATCTTTGGGACATAAACATATATTAAGTCTCATCAAAATCAAATAAAAATTGTGACCTCTAGAGTGTTCACAAGCTAAAAACGCATAAACATAAACTTGAGAGTTATGGTCCGATATGCACTAATATTGAAGGGAACCACGATCTTTGGGTTATAACCATACATCAAAATCAGATAAAAATCGTGATCTCTAGAGGCTCCATAACCTTGGTATTACATACTTTTATTGCCTACAGGGAGCAGCCATTTTGTCGGGCAGTTTCAGTCTGATTTTCACGAAATTCAAATTCAACCATCATTACAGTGTAATGGTGATATATTTGAACTGTTTTTAAAGTCAAATTAAAATTGTGAAGCTAAAGACATGATTTTTCGTACTATCAGGGGTTATAATCCAGGAAGTGACAGTCTGATATGTCCAATATTGAAAGGAACCGAGATCTTTGGGTTATAAACACATATTTTAAGTTTCATCAAAATCGGATAAAATTTTTGACCTCTAGAGTGTCCACAAGCTAAAAACATGAAGTTACGATCCGATACATGCCAATATTGAAAGGAACCAAGATCTTTAGGCTATAAACCTATATTTCAAGTTACGTCAAAATCAAATAAAACGTTAGAGTGTCCACAAACAAAATGTGAACGGACACACGGCTGGACAAGGGCAACAACATAATACGTCCACATGAAAATGTGGGTGTATAAAAACATTCAATTTCAACACCTTGGCTATGCAATATGATAACTGAATTGAATTTAAAATAAGAATGAAAAGATTAATACCAGTTGGTTGAATTTCAGTTTTTAAAGTACATTCCTTTTCAACAGATGAATTTTAGCATTGACCTGTACCTCACACAAAATACCGGTGCAGGTATTTCTACATATCAATAAACGTTTCTTAATACACAAAAACAATCTTGTATTGAATAAAATTAACATACGAAATGATCATTATAGGGTGATTTGGCCCCTTGCTCTTCTGCTAAAAATTCAAAATGTTCTTGAAGGTGTAAAATCACATATTATTAATGCAAACTTTGTAGAATGTATTGAACTTTCTACTTGATTGTAAACTGAGAAACCAGTTGATTAGATGTTATTCTAGTCTGTTGTTGTGGTGATTGTCCTCCAACATAAACTTTTATCACACCTATAACAAACATAATATAAAAGTATAACTCAAAATATAATTTATTTTTATGTTTTCAGCATACACAATTTAATTAATTAGTTATACTAAGATAAGCTTAGATATTATACAAATTCAAGATCATCAGCATAAGAAAATATTAATTTTACTAACCTGGTTCTACTACAAAACCTTTATTATCAATCCACACAGCCATTTGATCTGATTTTATAGGTAGAACAATACGTACAGGTTCATTACGTGTTAATTGAACACGTTTAAATCCAACTAATTGATATCTAGGTGTTTCTACTGTAGCATTTAACCATGATATATACACTTGACAGACCTGTCAGATAAATTATATTTTCAACCTAAAATACACTCATTGATGCATACATTATACCCACATTCTACATGCTCATGATCAGCCAAAATGGGTGACCCCAGACAGAACCAAATAGATTCCACAGATTGCCAACAAACAGCCACTGAACACTAATGATCAACATATGTTGACATGTAGATTGACATGCAGAATGTGGGCATACTGTACTCAAAGTTTATTTAAAATTATCCTTAATAAAATGTCAACCCTCATTGGCAGAGCAAGCAGTATATATTTATTTTGTACTCAACATGGTTTTAATTTCCTGAATTAAACAGGACTGAACTCTGTCTGCCGGAAGTACCTAACATACAGATCACAATATTTTGAAATCAAAATATGTCTAATAAAATAGATTCATGGTAATAAATGTTAAAAGATCTATGTACCTCATCACCGTCATATTTTCCATTATCTACTATGGTAAATGATGCTGTTACATTTTGACCTGCCTCTATAGTGGCAGGATCAATGACTAGATTACTGTATAAAAAGGATGAGTAAGACAGACCATAGCCAAATGGATATAATGGTTTGCCAGTAAAATAACGATAAGTTTTCTCTGTCATGGTATAATCTGTCATATCAGGTACCTGTAAATAAACAAGCAAACAAATATTTTATATGGTAATAGTATATAACACCCCAAGTCTAGTTTTAATAATAGTTCTATTTATTAATCTTCTTTTGGCTCAATTACAAAGAGTTGATTGTTACTTGTTGATCAAGAAGTCAATCAACATTGCAGCTACTCTTTCACAGTCATACCGTATGTGAGAATTGGACATGTGGCAAATGAAGCCATGTTCTTTTTACGATCCAAATAAATTATATATTGAATAGTAGTTTTTATAATTCTGTAAACATACAAGCTTGCTGATGATTAATCGTCCACGTCTAGTAAGTAGCCTACCGATATGCCAAATTATTTTTTACATATCAGTACATCAGACATGATATTAACTGTCATCTCTGAAAGTATTTGAGCTGCAAATTGACCTGGAGAAGCCATCTAGCATTTCACCTAAAGAACCAGCGGGTGCCAGGCAGGATACACCCACATTTTGCAAGAGATGGATAGAGAACAAGCTAAAAACAAAAAGATTTTTTGTACAACCAGGGGCCATAATCCACAAAGTTATGGTCTTAAATGTGCAAATATCAAAAGGGACTGAGATTTTTTGTACAATCAGGGGCCATAATCCACAAAGTTATGGTCTTAAATGCGCAAATATCAAAAGGGACTGAGATTTTTTGTACAATCAGGGGCCATAATCCACAAAGTTATGGTCTTAAATGTGCAAATATCAAAAGGGACTGAGATTTTTGGAATATAAAGATATTTTTTAAGTATCATCAAAATTGGTCCATAACCTTTGTATAACATACTTATACACAATTTGCGTACAAAGAGCGGCCATTTTGTCAGGCAATTTCATTCCATTTTCCCGAAATTCCAATTCAACCTTCATTATGGTGGAATGGTGATATATCTAAACGGTTTTTAAAATCGGAAAAAAAATTGTGACCTCGGTGCACAAGCTAAAAATGCGATTTTTCGACCAATCAGGACGCATAATACAGGAAGTTATGTTCGGATATGTATGATAATCAACAGGATAAAAACATATTTAAAGTTTCAACCAAATCGGATAAAAACTGTGGTCTCTAGAGGGTCCACAGCCTTGATATACCATTGTGGGTGTATAAAAATGTTTCCCACAGTTACATAATGAAATCTTTTATTCTGCAATGTACATAAAACATAATGTTTAGTCAGAAATCATACCTATAGTTTTACTCAAAATAAATTTATACCTGTGACATATTAGAATACCATGTATATGGTAATCTAGCAGCAGGATTAGCTTTAACAGATTCTAGTGTTAAAACTTTATATAAGGCAGTTCCTGTAGCTTGAGCTGGGAAGAAACATTGAAATATGGCGGCTACTTTAGATGATTTATCTGCTATTGATATATCTATAGGTCCACCAGTAAATAATAATAATATGACAGGACCACTTGCTGAAAATATTTTTAAAAATGTTGTGATATATGTGTACACTGTTTAAAAAAGTAATTTTTAATAATTTGCCAAAGAAGGAGAGATGTTTTTAATCAAATCAAGCAGTTCCTAAATAGAAAACTTCACAGATTTAACTCCGCCTCCATTTAGATGTTTAATTTAAAAGCTTTGTCTGGACTTGCAAATTTTAAAGGCATCTTATAAATGAAATTTAATCTAAGTAGATGCTAGATATACAATAGAAAATATACTTACAATACTGAATAACATCTTGTAATAATTGTTTTTGTTTTCCTGGTAAATATATATCTCTTCTATCAACATTTTCTGTTTCAATAACCTGACCTATATTATAATAATCATATATTTACTCATAATATATGTTTCTAACATAAGTAAACATGTTATTGCATTTTCCAAAAATCTAGAATTATAAAAAACACACATGTGCAGTTTTAATAATTGAATAAACATATCAATATTCTTTTAAAGCACCAATTGATATAGCGTGATATTAAACTTTATTGTGGATATAGGAATTTCTCCAAAAATCTATTTATTTACAGTTTACCTGTTCCAAGACAAATAACAGTAACATCAACAGATTTTATAGCTGATAATACACTGTCTTTCTCATATTCTTTACATTCTGTATCCTTACAACCATCTGCATGATTGGTATGATCTGCCAAGGGGGATAATCCCTTCAATGGTGTTACCAGGAAGTTGAAATCAACATCAGCTGAATAGTCACCCAGTAATTGTGTTGGATTATTTGACATAGGTCCAACTATCTATAAGACAATAAAATAATGAATAAAGTTGTACATGTTAAGTCAGAAATCTAATTAATGAAAGAAATCTAATCTTAATTTGAAGTCACTTTTAAAATAAAATATTCAGGGTATTTGAAAACCTTACGAAAATGGTGATGTATCTACTGTGATATACTTACAGCTATGTTTTTTAATTTCTCTTTCAATGGTAGAAGTCCATTGTGTTTGAGTAAAACAAAAGACATAATAGCAGCTTGTACTGATACATCCTGATGTCTTTTACTTTGTATAACTGATGTATTGATGAAATTATAAGGATTCATTTTAACAGGATCAAATTCTCCAAGCTTCATTCTAGTGTAGAGAATGGGTCGAACTCTTTCGCGGACTAATTCTTCTGTTAAAAGTCCTGCTTGCACAGCCTTCCCAATGGATTCAAAAATTTGATGCTTGAAACCTGTTGGTCCTAGTTCTAGATTTAATCCAGCCTTTACACATCCAGCTGCTGCATCAAGGATGCTCTTAAAATAGAAATGCCAGATGATGCTAAATTCTACAGCCCCAGCATCACTTATCACATAACCTTTGAAACCCCAATCATTCCGTAACACATCAGTTAATAAGTGGGAGTTAGCACAACCAGGTACGCCATTTACACTAGAAAAAATAAATGAATACAAGTTACGGCAAGCACTACAGTATCATAATCCTGGACAGAAAACTGGAAAATAGTGAGATCAGGTAGTAGACCAAAATCCCTTTTAAAGGGATTCTTGGGAGTTCTCATAAATATTCTCTGTGACAGATACAGTAAATAACTGAATATCGTTGCTAAAATCTTTTATCAATCATATTCATGCTAAAGCTTCTATAATTTCAAACACACTAGTAGACCGGAGGCTCAGTGCGGGGGGTGTACAATAAATGGGCACAAAACCAGACCCAACTTTTCTAGAGTAAAATTTTGCGTAGAATACGATGCCGAATGGTAATCAGTCCGCCGTTGGGGCATTTTCGAGATATTCAGGGTCAAAGGTCAAATGAGGTCATTTGTATTGAAAGTGAATGCACAGCCATTCTTGTATCATAAAAACATGCTGAAAATGATCGAAGGTAATCAGCCCTTCAATAAAAATGTTAACTTGCTAAATTTACCTTTGTTCTCTGTAACCCCAGAGGCCAAAAGGTCAATTTTTCCGTTTTTGCACTAGGAAGATTTAAAGCAATAAAATGTCAGCGTAAAATATAAAAACTAAAGCGAAACCTGTTTTAATTAATAAAAGGAACAATTAAAACTTATCTTTAGGTGGTCTTAGTACCGTACATTTACTTTGGAACGTCGAAAACGATCTTGCATATCAGAAACAAAACACTTCGAAACCTGTTTCAAAAATACGTAAAAGCTGTCAAATCGAAATCTCTCCGATTTAATTTAACAACTATTGTTATACATAAAGAAACTAGTTGTCCGAAAAACAATTAAATAGTTTTATGGTTGGAATCCAGGTTTTGCTTTAGTTTTTATATTTTACGCTGATATTTTATTGCTTTAAATCTTACTAGTGCAAAAACAGACAATTTGACCTTTTGGCCTCCGAGGTCACAAAGAACAAAGGTGAATTTAGCAAGTTAACATTTTAATTGCAAGGCTTGTTACTTTTAATCATTTTCAACATGTTTTCATGATACAAGAATGGCTGCACATTCACTTTCAGTGCAAATGACCTCATTTGACCTTTGACCGCAAATATCTCGAAAATGCCCAACGGTGGACTGATTACCACTCGGCATTGTATTCTACGCAAAATTTTACTCTATAGTTGGGTCTCATTTTGTGCCCATTTGATAGACACCCCTCTGCACTGAGCCACCAGACTATACCTGTTATAACTACACATGAAACCATATGCTCCTCCATCTACGCACTGCTTAAACTGGGGTAAAAATGTTGTACGTAAATCTCTCTCAGATACCTAAAAAGAATATATACATTGGCTCTAAACATTTGTTATGATACTTACATGTACTTTGAAACATTGAGATAAAATACTCTTTGAACCATTGCACAATTAGTAATTGTTCTTCCAAAAGTATGTGTTGTTATAGTTTATTGCTCCATTCAGTTAGTATATGCCTCAAAGGCTTGATATGAAAGTTCTTACAGGGAGTATATCAGCACAAAGATATATACTATTCAAAAAAAGTAGGGGATATTTGATTTTGGGGGCATAATACTAAAATATGCAAATGACTACGAAAAAAGTCACTATAGAACCTAACAGAAGAAACATTTCCAGTTACATGTGACGCCCAAACGCACCAATAGCTACCGCATGGAATGCAGGTGATGCTTGGGATCATCATGGGGGTCCAACCCAAGATTTGCACGACTCTGACTTTGAATGTTACAGTCATTGTGGCATTGAATTCCAGGGTGGAAACATCAGTTTAATTGTTTTAGTGACCAGAAAACAAATTTTGATATGCGTCGGCTTACCCAAAATGAAAGGTTACGTGCCCTTGGCATGCTACAGATCGGCACAACACAGGCGGTTGTGGCGCGGACGATGAATGTTTCTCAGTCTGTCATAAGCAGGCTATGGTCCAGAAATCATGATACACAATCTGTACAGGACAGACCACGCTCAGGTCGACCAAGGGCGACAACTCAAGCCCAGGATCGATTTATCCGTACCTTGGCCTTGAGAAATCGTGTCATCACAGCAAATCAGATCAGCGCTCGTCTTCAAACAGACACTGGTGTGAGAGTGAGTGGCCAGACGATTCGGAATCGACTGCATAGGGGTCACCTTCGCGCCCGACGTCCTCGCGTGATCCCTTGTTTGAGAGATCATCACATTCAGGCAGGGATCGTCAACACTGGGATAATCGATGCTGGAGCAATGTGATGTTTTCAGATGAGTCAAGGTTCACTGTTGATTTTTTGGACAGACGTAGGAGGGTGTGGCGTCGTCGAAACGAGCGCTTCCAAGACGTTAACGTCATCAGACATGATCGATTTGGGGGTGGTTCTGTTATGGTGTGGGGAGGCATCACTGTTGCTGGAAGAACGGCTTTACATGTTGTTGCAGGGCGTGTTACGGCCAGTACTACCGGGACAACATCTTGGCAGTCCATGTTGTGCCGTTCGCACGATGTCATGGCCGCCGTTTCATCTTCCAGGATGACAACGCAAGATGTCACAGGGCCAGGATCGTTACAGGTTACCTCCAACAACAGAACATCACCACATTACCTTGGCCAGCACTGAGTCCCGACCTCTCCCCCATCGATAATGTCTGGGACATGCTTGGACAGAGGTTACGTCAACGTCAACAACGTCCTGCCAATGTCCAAGAACTTGCTGCTGCGTTGCAACAGGAATGGGACAATCTGGACCAAAATGACCTTAGACGTCTCATTAGGAGTATGCCACGTCGGATCAATGCTTGTTTGGCAAACAGAGGAGGATTTACCCGTTACTGACTTGGTTGTGATGCTGTGGTAACTTTGCTGTTTGACCCTGGGTATCATTTTACCCTTATAATGGTCAGTCTGTGCCTTACTTAGTCTAACGATCATTTGGAATAAATCGATGAATGTGAACTTCATTTCATTTTGTCATTTGTTTCTTCGTCAGTTTCATTAGGTGACTTTAATAACACTTAAAAATCAAATATCCCCTACTTTTTTTGAATAGTATACTTAAGTTACATTCTGACTGTGTATTAGATAGAAAAATCACCATTTCTGATGAGGGATTTGCTTTTCTTTCCTCCTAATGGACCGGATTAAGGGGGTTGGGGGAGGGCTGGGTGGCTTCTATTCAAATATTTTACCTTAGCATTAAATATTTGTCTTGAAATTGGTAAATCTTCAGGACCACCATAGGCATCAAAATGTTTACATGTTGTACTAGCTCGAATATACCGTTCATGATCTCCCTGTAAGCCTTGTATAAAATATCTAGCTAACATACCACTTAGATATGGATCTTCTCCATACGTTTCCTGAAAATAAAATTTATATGTCTTCAAACCTTTTGACTACATTACACAAATTTGATTTTAAGATTTATAACATGCTAGCTGACCCAAAGGAAAAACCTGACAATGTATATTAATCACAAAATAAGAAGAGTATGTTTCTTTCTTAGGGAGCTATTGGTATTATAATAAGAATAACTTAATGGGCTGGACGAATTTGTTGCGACAAACAGTGTATTCCTGCTAAGTAAATTATAGGAGATCTACAGAATTGAGCTGGCTCACTAACCCAAAAATCCCAGAATCGATCCTCAGGATTTTCCGTTCTGATTTCCCACTTGTCAGTGGTACAGTCAAAGAAAAGTGTCTAGTCATTTGGATGGGCCAAAAAAACGAGGTACAGTCTATATCACCGGCTGCATAACATCCCATGAAATAATAAGGGCAAAATTTCCCCCATGGCACACTGCATAGCATATGCGTATCTTCATTAGCCACATTGGTGCAGGAAAGTAAGACATTAAACTTTATTTCATTTCATTTAGTATGGATAGTACAGCATGTATCATATTATGTTGGAAAAGATAATATTAATAACATTCTACCTGATTTCTACCCCATAATGGATGCCGCATAATGTTTATAACTGGGCTGAAACAACCAAGTCCAGTATGATCTGAAAAATTTCCTCTACTAACATAATCGTTATGTTTGGCACGAACTTCAATGGCTGTTACCTCTGCTATGGTATAAATAACATCAGCGCTGTAAAGTTATGTAAAAGAAAATACAATTTAATATAAGATTGACTTTCTCTTTTAAAAAAACAAACCATACCAACATGTTGAAAGTGGGGAAACTACTAACAAATTCAAAATAGGAGATATACTGGAATGTCAAAATTCAAGTCAATGATTACATTGGTTGTATTTAGGTGACATATCAAAGTGGAGATATACTGGTGATTATATTTAGGTGACTGACTCCCTCAATTCGATTATCCAAATTATAAAGGTATATTTAAATAGTATCTTCTTGATATAGTTTGTTCTGGACATCAATATATATTTCAAAGATTGCTATCTCACAAAATAAATGTATTGATTTTCAAACTTAACTTCTTTTTTTAAAATTTAAAAATATGTATCCCTCAAAATGGGCAAACTTCTTTGATACCATTGGATTTTATTTCATATTTTGTGTGCAAATAATTTGTTTTTAAGTATGACAAAGCCATGGTTGAGATTCTGACGAGTTCCACGATTAACACAGGGGGCCCAAATAAAAAGAAACAGTAGTACATTAACTGACTACTGTGAAATCATACATTTTGTCAAATTACATCAGAATTTTTTTTAACCAGAATAAATGTTCTGAACCTTCAAGTCAAATAAATAAATGTTGGCAATGCATCGTTCCACTTACCTAAAAGTTGCTGCTAAACCAATAGCTTGTGGAAATGATGTGGCATTACCTGCATATCCATCACCTCTTAAACATTCTGTGTCCCACTGGAATTTCTTAATACCTAGACGAGGTATGGCTGGAGATGGACCACCATATTCACCTCCTCCACCTTTAGCCATTTGTAAAACTATTTCATCTAATGTAAGTCTGTTGATTAAATCTGTTGTCCTTTCATCAAATGATAGGGACACATTTTGAAAAGGGTAAACATCTCCATAAGTAGAGGGAGGTTGACTAAGGTATAAAATAGTTATTATCGTTTTTAAATGAGACACTTGAATGAATAAACTTGGGCAATATATATGCATCATCATCATTAATTTTTTTTTAATAAATGACTGTCTGGAAAGAACGATTTGCTTTTTAAAAAGATCTCCAAATGTATTAATAGGTTACTGATTCTTTACACTTATAATTTACATATTATTTACGTGTGATAAAATTGTCGCAACTAATCCGTGTAAAGCATTTCAGTAAATCCATGTGGCTTGTGGGGTTCATCTTCCCTATCACGTGCTTGATGTAAATAAAAGAATCATGTGATCTCTAAAAATAGCAAACAATGTCCCGCCACTTCCGGTTGAGTGTAAACAAACAAATAATGTCGAATTGTGTCGTAATAGGTTGTTCAAATTCGTACTACACACTCCAGAGGTGGCTAAAAAGCGATTGTAAAAAACATTCTGGTAAAAGACACGAAGTATGTGGATGTGGGGAGCCGTTTCAGTTATTGCCTTTCCCAAACAAAAGGAAACACCCTGAGTTGCGACTAACTTGGTTAAAATACATCAAAAGACAAGATGAACACAATAACAAGGTGTGGCAACCAAAACCCTACAGCCGCGTCTGCACGAAACATTTTATAGATGGGACACCGACACCTGAAAATCCCAATCCAGTTTTACAAATGGGGCATGATTTCCAAAACACAAAACTAAATAGTCGCAAAAAGCTTTATGTGAAACCACAAGTTCCTGAGAAGTCAGAAAATGTTGTTCATGATCATGATTATTTAAAAACTTATATCTGTGACTGTAGTTTCGACTGTCATTGTCCAGGTTGTATTAATAAGCATAAAGAGATACAATTATTGAAGGAAGAAAACCAGTGTTTGAAAAATCATGTATCTGAACTGGAGGCAAGATTGGAACTTAAGGAAAACACGACAAACACAATAAATTCATTTTTAAGAAAACGTTTAAAATGAGCCCAAGTGATGAGGACATAGAACTAAAGGAAAATTGTATATATTTGACTGAAACTGTATTCAGACATTTTCAATCTGTGCTACTTCATATAGACCTACATTATGCTCTAATACCATGCAGTTTCTGATATGAAATTGCAGTAGAATGATTTACCCAAACATGCCATTATTTCAACATGTATAATAATAATTTATATCTATATTTGATAATATACTGTTCTTTATGCCAAATTGGCATTTTAATTTAAAATTCGTAATGTCTTTGTTTCACAAATGCCCCCCAAAGTGATATTTCTAAGCAAGCGATTTCGTGCAATACAAAAGTTATGTCCCATGGTTACAACTTCTAAACTTGCTTGAGAATCGCATTCTGAGGGGCTTTTTTGACACAAAAACGCTACGATTGTAAATTAAAAATGACAATTTAGAATAAAGAACGGTATATTATCAAATATCGATAAAAAATTATTGTCTTTTTTAAGTTGAAATAATGATTGATTTGGGTGCATTTTGTGTAAATCATGCTACCCATGAAATTGTGATCTCTATATATGGCTAGTCCTAACTAGCCAATCAATTAAGCTGTCTTTTCAGTTCATTCAACCTGGCTTTATATACATTTAAATTACAGTTTATTATCACAAAATAAAAACTACAGACAAGATGTATTTGATGTTTTGTTTTTAAAAAAAATGATTTTTATTTACATGTCAAGAAATAAATGATATTATTGATATTTTTCAGTCAAAGAAATCTTCTATGTCTATATTTGGATCTAAAAGATGTTCTTTGAATGAAGTAAGATCTATTTTATTTAAAATTAAATTTTCAAATGTCTCTTCTAGATCTGTTTCACCAATAAGAACAGCACCTTGTAAATGTCCATCTTGTATAATTGCTTTTACATATTCTACACCTGAATAAAAGTAAGACAAATAAATAAAGGTTTAATTATCTAAATTATAAAGATGTATTGAACCAGTCAGTGTAATTGTTTAATTGTCTGTGTCTTTTCAACTCCTAAGAGTTCTGTATAAGATGCACTGATATGCCAAGGTTGATACCTGAACACCATGAATGCGCCACATTGTGTTAATACCAGAGCCACTAGAGGCAGCATTGTGACAAGAGTCAAGAAGGATCCCACAAGCAGAAATTCAGAGGCTTTTTTCCTCCATGCGGCAACATATCACTGTAAAGTAATATTGTTATGGTCTCCATGGATTATTGTTGATTTTCTTCTGTCAATATATTTCTAGACTACAATCATGCAAAAATCACATTTCAGCTGCATTAAGTAATCAGTAGTGCAATATAGTTTTTATTTAACCATTACCTTCTGTAAAACGTAATAATATTTCTTGACCTTCGCCTAAACCTTGTCCATTAAATTTACCTAATAATATCACCTGAAACAATACATTAATAAAAAGTAGAGTATAAATTCTAAAATATACTAGGTGATGGAAATATTAAATTGTATTTTATAACCAATGGCAAAGAGAGAAACTTGTATAAGTCAATTTTGTCACTCTTATAATTTTATGAAAGACTATAAACCAAAGAGATAGATAATCTTCTACACAGAAACCATTACAAACTGAACCTAACCTTTCGGACTTACCCTAAATGTCATTCATCAAAGGGCTAGGAAGAGAATCAAATATTTCAAATTGGTTTCCAACATCAGTTTTTTAGTAATGATCAAATCTACACAATTAAATTATAGTTAGTTCTTTATATATAATATACCTTGTAGTTAAAAAATTTAGTCATATGAGTAAACAATTCAAAACAAAAATCTAATGTGACATCTTCATTGGATAATGATGCCACCATTGCCTTGGCTGCATAACACCCCATCTGTCTTGCTTGAGACCATAACCTCATCTGAAAGTAATCAATAAGTCCTCATTAGAAATAAATCTATTTGTAAGCCATTACTAGATTAGTGTTTCTAGAAGGCATCTTAAAGTACCAATAATATTTCTGATGTATAGTTTATTCTACCAGTACTCATGGTTGAATGATTAGCTTATTATATAAATTATTTTTTTCTATTATTTTATTTTCTGTCAAAAATGAGTTTGGACACAATTTCAATAACTGTAGATAAGACTATAAATAATCCCTGACCTAAAGCCAATCATTCATAACAGAGCCCTCAAGCCTAGAACTCGATTGATGATGGAAATTTTGAGGAATGACACATAAATTAGTTTACAGTTATCCACTTTCAAATAACTGTTTTGTCCTTGACAGACATGGAAGTCAGGGACCTTTTGTTATGGACTTGTTATTATAAGAATTGTTGCAAGGCAACGAAACATACGCCCACAGCAGCTAAATCATCCGAGTGGTCGACAAGGATTGTCGCATATTTATTCTTTTGTAGGTAATTGGGGGCATTTACAAGACAATTCCATACCGATCAGATTATAATTTTTGTAGTTCACAAGGTTCTACAAAATGAAACAAGGGCCATAACTCTAGACGTAATAAATGGAAATTCCTGAAATTCAACAGGCTTCTTCGTTTCACTAATTTAAATAATGCATATAAATTTCACAAAGATCGAATGATAACTTTTGGTGTTAGAGTGTTCACAAGGTTAAACAAAGTGAACAAGGGCCATAACTTCTTGGTATTACTAATTTAAATAATGCATATAAATTTCACAAAGATCGGATGTTAACTTTTCGCCTTAGAGCATTCACAAGGTTCAACAAAGTGAAACAAGGGCCATAACTCTAGACGTAATAAACGGAAATTGCAGAAATTCAATAGTCTTCTTCATCTCACTAATGTAAACAACATAATGAATTTTAAAACAATCCGATAATAACTTTTGACGTTCACAAGAAATTGTGGACGACGGACGGACGGACAGGGGCGACGGCAATATACACCCACATAACCAGGAATAACAACCTACCTGTATCCAATGTGGTGCTGGTATCCAACTAGCTGTACATATATCACCAGCAGCAAATACATCTTTAACATTAGTCTCCATTTTATCATTCACTTTTATTCCTCCATCTTCACCTATCTCAAACTAAAGATGAAATAAATAAATAATAATAAATGATTTTATTGATTAAATATGGTTATTCAAGATAGAATTTGGTCAAACTGTCAGATGACACATTTTAATTTATCGCCCATTAATTTTTTTCAAAAGTATCAAGCAATCAAACTGATTATCAACTATACACTAAGTTTCATCACTCTCTATCAGATAGAATCAAAGTTATCTTGTGATAAAGCATTGACCAATGAAATTTCTTAGCTCTGCTTATCTTTAGCTCAAAATCTTAATCATTGAACTCAGTCAAGACATTCACCTAATGGACATCTACATCAAGTTTAAACATTCTACCTCAATTAAAAGCAGGGTTGTTATGTACCAAATTCTTGACAAATCAAACAGCTTATCTCTCCTTAGCTTAAGCAGAAAATTCTCACCATCGAACTTAGTCAAGATAATGATATAATGAATCTATACTCGGAGTTTCATCACCCTTTTAATTATAACCAAAGTTATTGTGCCCCAAAGCATCAACCAATCAGATTGCTTATCTCTGCTTACCGTAAGCAAACAATGTTTATCATCGAACTAGATCAAGGCATTCACCTAATCAATTAGAAGGAGAGTTACTCTGTTCCAAAGTCTTGGCCAATCAAATTGCTTATCGCTCTGAATACCTGAGCAGAAAGTGCTCATTATTGAACTAAGTCAAGGTATTGACTAAAGTTATCGTGTCCCAAAGCATCAACCAATCAAATTGGTTATCTCTGCTTACCCTAAGCAGAAAATTCTAATCTTCGAACTCCATCAAGGCATTCACCTAATAAACACCTACGCCAAGTGTGAACATTCTAGCTCAATTAGAATTAGAATGAGAGTTATGGTGTTCCAAAGTCTCGACCAATCAAATTGCTTATCGCTCTGCTTACCCCTGAGCCGAAAATGCTCATTATCGAACCAATCAAATTGCTTATCTCTGCTTACCCTAAGCAGAAAATGCTCATCTTCGAACTCCATTGACCTAATAAACACCTATACCAAGTTTGAACATTCTAGCTCAATTAGAAGGAGAGTTATGTCCCCAACAGTGTGACGGATAGATGGACGGACAGACAGACCCATTTTAAGGCGGGGGGCAATAAATTAGATGATAAGTTTAGCCTCTAAAGCATCCACAATATTTCTCAAATCGATCAAGGGCCATAACAACAGCAGTAATTAGTGGAATTCATGGAAAATCAATAGGTTCTTGGATAAAGCGATAATGTTTCTTTAAGCTGTATAGTTGTTTGAAAATACATGTATTATATATAACACCTACATTATTATTTCCTGAGAATTGATGACTATTTGGAACAACACCTGTAGCACTGACAATAAAATCAGCACCATATATTTTACCATTGGTTAGTTCTACACATACTGGCCAATCATCTGAAAACAACAATTGTAGTGGTACATAATAAATAAGTCATATATAAGACATTGTTTTTTTAGTTCTAAGTTTAAATGATGCAAATAAAATTACAGATTCAAATATTTTAAGGAAGACAATCAGTTTCATCATATACAGGCAAGTAAAATTCACACAAACCTGTAATTTGTTCAAATATGGATGGATTTTCAATTTTTTTACCATTAGTTTTTATTTCGTCTAATTTAAATATATTTACCATTTCTACACTATATTCTATATGAACTTTATGTGATCCCTGGAAGAAAAATATATCAGGTCTAGATATAAACTGTAAAATAAAGTTTGCATGACATTTAAAGAGGCACAAGTACTTTGAAAATCTTTGCCAGTTGGTAACAACAAAATAAAAACACAGCCTGTACAAGGTACAATCATGTTAAGACATTGTCCAATGATTTATTTATAAACTCAATGAAGTCTCATGCAAAACCAATGAGAGATTTTGTTAAGTGTAGAAAAAAATGGAAACAAGAAAGACAAAGCATAAAGATATAATTTAATTTGATTGATGGATGCTTGTGCAATCAAAATACTGTACTATGCCAGTACTTGGATTTTTCTATAACCAGTTGAGTTTAAGCTTACTTTGAATAGAAGATGATAACATTTATTTTCTTGTTCAAAGTTAGAATTCCTCTTTCATTAAGTTAAAAAAGACATTTTCAAATCACTGTCAATGAAATAATGATACTTACCTGCTGATTTCCTACCATATCACAATTAACTGACCAATCAGGACCAAGAGCTCCTCCAGTCACATTTTTGGGTCTGCTGACATCATCTAAAGAAATGAAAGATCTTGACTGTTGAGGAAATAATTTCCAAAAAATGAGAAACCATTTTCTTAGTTGTAAATTTGATAAAAAATTAAAAAAAATTACTCTTGCCTTCTTCAGTATACTTGTGACGTTTTAATGTTTTTTTTGTTTCTGTTTTTTCTTTATTTACACATGGTAGAAAGAACTGAGCAGCTCCAGCATCAACAAATGCACTAGATATTGATTTATCTTTTATAGCCCATATTACTTCACACCCTTCAACTTCATATCTGAAATCATAAAGAAAAACCTAAAAATTTAAATACGAGGGGATTTATTCAATAAACAAATATTGTCAGTTAAATGTAATGGTCTGGAAAGCGTAAGCATGTGATGTATTGACCATAACACATGTCATAACTTATATCTCAGTTTAGTTTTACTTTCAATTTTAGCAGTAGCTTTTACATATTTTTATATAACTACATAGGTATTGGTAGTGATAATTGATTGTTTTTTAGCAATCATTCATCAATCTTTATCCAATTAGATGACTAAAAGTCCAGCAGTTGTGAGTAACATCTAGTAATAAACTTACACTAATTCAGTAGCTATCCCTCCATTTCCTATAACGATTATTCTTCTAGCATTTTTTAACTTTTTCTGAAATTCCTAAACATACAAATATTTGAATTACAATTTTCAAATACAAACTTGAAGACTAACATTATTTTTTGTGTTGAAAAAAAAAACATTCAAAGAATTTCTAGTTCATACACATTCACTAACAAATTAATGAAATTATAATAAAAATATTTGTATGTAAATAATAATTGTACCTGTACACTCTCTGTATCTCTAATACCTAGAACAAAGGGATTATCTTCAACAATTACCTGTAAAATACCATCAATAAAATACATCTATTTTGCATAAAGAGTCATTTTCCAGTACTGTCAGTAAAAAAAACAAGCAAACAGTGAGGCAAGGGCCGAAGAGGCTGATGTCATCCAACCCAAAATAAATATAATGACATATATTATTTAAATATATATTATGCAAGAGCTAAATCTGCCAATTGCAGGTCTTTCTTTGGGCCTGAAATGTTATATAAACTATTAATTAGACATTTATTAACACAAAAAGACCTTAATCAGCTCTTGTTGCCATCTTATGTGTTGGATTTTCACTGGAATTGAATCCGATTTGCTGCTCAACATTAATTGATGATTGAATCCAAAAATGGATAATCAAGATTTAAGACTAGGTTTTTTTATCGTACCAACTTTATTAATGATGCTCAAGGCTAGGCCTAATTTTCAAACGCCAATATCTTGGTTCAGAGTGGAGCAATTTGACTGAAATTTTTAGCATATTCCCTTTACATTACCTACTTTTTACCTATTATAGTGACAACTGCCAGCTCTTTATCTAATCTTCCATAATACCCCTTTAATTAACTGCTCATTTATTTTTTTATAAAGCATCTAGCAATCAAATAACATTTAATATCGTGTTGAAAATGATTAATGCCAATTTAACAATTTACTATTTCTTAGTCTCTGGAAAAAAACTGATTACTGTTTTGTTTGAGTTAATTAAAAGTTCTATATGTGAATATAATAAACACATTTTACCAAGAACCAATGAATACATGTCTGGTAGGTCCTAAACACATTTCCACTTACTTTAGGTCTACCACCAGTACATATGCACACTTTCTTATATCCTACACTAGTTCCATCAGATGTTTTTAATATCTTAAAATAGAAAACAATTCTTTAGTAATTCTGACTATTGTTGCATAAAACAGCTCCTTGTTTGCCACACTGTATGTAATATTAAATTCTTTATATCTTTTAAATTACTTTTACATATTAATGAATCCAGTTTTTGAAAGAAATGAAATGCAACAGGGTTTAACATCCCACTTCATTGTTGAATGAAAAATAAAGATCTATAGAGCTTCTATACAGCATGAGGTGTGAATAATACTTGTATACAATGGTCATAATTAGCTTTAACATGAGTGTGTCTGTTCCTTCTGGTGAAAAATTCACATTCTAATTCCAAAATACCACCATTAATTTAATCCACAATTTTATCCCACATAATAATTTTCTTTTACTTACATGATTTTCAGAATCTAGTATAGCCACAACTGCATGTATAACTTGGACATTAGGAAGCGTACTTTCTAAATATGACTTTGGCTTTTCTTCCACATCAAAACTCTCAATTCTTTCTGATACCTAAAATTTAAACATAGGTAGGTGCCTATCAGACCCCATTATACTCCCAACGGCGGCAATGTCCCGAGCTTTAAAAGTTAAAATGTGAACCAAAAGGTAATTCTACGTTAAGATTAATTAAAAACTGTTGAAATTTGATATGGTTATTTCTTAGGCAAAAATAAGTAATAGTTTAAACAATTCTATTGAGATCTCTTAAATATTCTCTTGCTTGTATGCTGTTCATAAGATGTTATAAATTTGAAATTAAATGGGGAATAACGCTGCGGTTTGCGAATGAAACATTTGGAATTTCAAAGGGTTATTCCTAAGGCTCCGGGAGCCACGGTGGCTAGGTGATTAAGACGCTAGCTCACTAGCCTGGAGGTCGGATGTTCGATCCCTGCATTGGCTGAGTAAGTTCATCAAGATTTTCCGACGTTGTTTCCCCTTGTCAGTGGTGCAGAACGGAGGGCCTGACAAGGACAGCTGTCTTGTCCTTTGGATGAGACGAAAAACCGAGGTCCTGTGTATACATTGGAATGCACGTAAAAGATCCCTTGGCAGTTGCAATTCGATATAAGAGTAGGCGATAGTGCCGCTGCCCGGGCAAAATTTCCCTCATAGCACACTGTATGACGTATGCCCGTCTTCATTAGCCCAGTATAGGAGCATAACAGTAGGACGTTAAACCCCATTTCATTTCCTAAGGCTCAAATTAGCAATACTACTAAGCTTTAAAAAATACCACCCTGTTACATATTCACAAGCTTTAAAAGAAATTTTGAAAATTCAACAGGATTCTTTCCTATATCTTAAACAACAACACAACTGGGTTTAAAACATTATTTCAATAATTATTTCCTGCAAGGTTTCATAAGGTTGTAGGCAAATGGGGAGAGCAATGTATTGATTGACTGGTTTTCACAAGAAATTGTGGCCAGACAAATAGATGCAGATAATGACAGTATATGTCCATACTCCATATCTAATGTGGGCATATAAAAAGATCAAAGCATCAAATTACAAAAACGTAATGAAAACTATACGTACATACTTCTAAATTATCTTTATATGGGTCATTCTGATATTCATTATTTTCATATAATTTTATGCACTTTTGTGCAGAATTTTTACCAGATCTATTTTCCTTGAACATAGCAGAAGTAGTACGATTAATTCTTACCTGTACTAAGTTTGTTACAGTTTTTATCAGAGAACTAGCTGTGATTAATACTATATTGGTATCTGGACTCAAATAAGATAACTAGATAAATAAAAAAATATAATGGTTTTCTCCAGTTTCATTGCACTAAACACACATGATATGTACCGTTTGATTAAATCTACATCAATTGTCTGTCTGTTTGTGTTTTCCTGAGTATGATGTTTTGTCCGTGTATTTGTTTTTGTGTAAATTTTGTGTGGTGCAGTCCCCCTGCACTTACTATTAAAATCACTGATTGTCATTTGCATTTTTCGGATAATATTTAAACAAAAGCAGATTAAAAAGAGATGCATCAAAAGATTTCAGCAAACATCATAGGTAGTTTTGGCTTGTGTTGATTATATACTAAGTCATCATATCTTTGTAAATTTCAAAAGGAATTGATCCATTTTTGGATGGATAGTCCGTTTGGTGATTCAACTTTCACAATAGTTATTGTAGTTTGCAAGGGATTAAGAATCCTGAAATGACCATCAGAGACCTTGTTATTTTAATCCTAGTATTAGGTTGACTGCAGTACATGTATGGTAGCTTTAGGCCTACTGATTAAAAAATATTATTTTCCACAGAGGTTTTAATTTTGAAATACAGTGTAAACAACAAATCCACCCAGGAAATATATCGAATTCAGAAAAATTAAAAATCTGAGATGTTTAGGAACCTGTCCATGGCTTAACCTAGCCCTTTTTATACGCCCACATTGAAATGTGGTCGTAAATTGTCGTCGCCCCCGTCCGTCCGTCTGTCGATCTGGCGTCCACAAGCAATTAGAGGCTAAAGTTAATATCCGATTGACTTTAAATTTAAACACAGTGTTTAAGGTCATGAGACGAAGAAGCCCAGTGTTTTTCAATGATTACCGATAATTACTACCAGAGTAATGGCCCATGATCACTTTGAAAAATCTTGTGGATGCTTTAGAGACCAAAGTTATCATCTGATTGACTTTAGATTGATACACAGAGTTTAGAGTTTAGGGTCTTGAGATGAATAAGTATATTGATTTTCAATGAATTTTGATAACTTGAACAGGTAAATCCATGATATCAAATGTTTCGTACACTAAACGTTAGCATGGGGCAGAACTAAAAGTCAAACAAATTCTAATGATTCTCTGACTCAGATTTTGGTGTATTATAAATGTTTCATTACCGACAATAGAAAAAATATGCGACATCTGTTGTTGACTGCTCGTACGACTTAGCTGCTGTGAGCGTATGTTTTGTTGCCTGGCAACCTATCTTTTTTTTTACTGTGGTGTGTATATGATACAGGTGTATTGGTACATCTTTAGCCCAGAAGTCTTATGTCACCACATATCATATGGCCAATATGGGGTAAATCTATTCTAGTGAATTTTTACAAATGACGTTACTTGTGCCACAGGATATAATATTATTGTATGACGTCAAAATCGCTACACTGCAGTGGTTTAAGTAGTACAATGTTCACAGTCAGTGAGTCAAGAGACGAGTGAGTCAAATGATGTGATAATTTTGAAAAGCTCCCAAGGTGTAGCCTTTCTACCTAAATTAACAAAATTCTTTTAAAAATCGAAATAAACCAGAAGTGTATATATTATTCAAATTATTGTGAAAAACAAGTTAAAATTCATAACGAAGTGTATATTTTGCCATCCGACGGTTCCTTAATTTATTTACTATTTAGCTGTCACTTCCGTTCGACATGCACAGATGTCGATTCCTGATATATTCCACTATTTTGGAATATTAAAAACAACTCGTCTTTCAAGTTCGGAGCAGAAGCACGATTTACGGGGAAAACATAAACCACTTACAGTCTAAGTACTTAAAAACCAAAATCCGCAGAAATGCGCTCTCAACCAAAATAGAATAATATTCTTAATGCTTTTCTACAATTTACATTTATTATCTTATTTTCTTTTACAAATAATTCTCCAGTTTCTACCATCAGAAATTAAGTATGGCTATTTGCTTCCTTATAAGAAACGGAGAAAGAAGGAATGTTAGACAAAGGACGAATAGAACAGACTGGTGATGTTGGTTTTGGGTTAGGGTAGGGTTGGGGTAGGATAATGGGTTAATATCAGCCGAGCGGCGAGCCGAGCCTTCAGCATTGCCAAAGCGAAAACTGCTAAGTCCAGAAATCAGACAACTGCGCATGTCAAACGGAAGTGACTAGTAATTAAAGTAAAGAACCGTCGGACAGCAAAATATACACTGCCTTTTCATAATTAAAAAATAATAAATTTTGGAGCTTATATGTATGCCATTGAAAGTATGTTGAAAATTACATTCAAAATAAAAAAGATTTTTGACCCTCCATGGCCATTATCTATTTTAAACCCAGCAACTGCCATATTACTTTGAACAAGACTATATACTGTATACTATTAATCGTGTAATAGTGCATCACAAACACAAGTATCTATCAGTACAATGTAAAAGAACAAATAATTACTGTTTCAGCACATGTTACACCACCAATACCCCCTCCAATAATTGCAAAGTCAGCTTTGAGATTCATTTCTATATGGATGTCTGTTTATTTTTCTTCATAAAACAATATAAATTTACTTATATTATTACTGTTGTGAAAGATAGATGACATGGCGGCTGACATCTTGAAAACAAGATGAGATAACCAATGAGGTAAAAATATAGTTGTCTCCCTTTAACTTATTTACTGAATTGAGATAAACGATTCCCTTCAAATCTAATTTATAACTGGAAAAGTAACCCTTTTATTTTACTCTACTGTGCGCACAGTAACATTTATTGTACAAATCATGAATGTCACAAACACAATAGAAAAGTAGTTCAATTGAAACAAAATATAAGTTTATTGCATAACATGCATAACAAATTAGTATAAGCTTGTCTATGTCTATACAAAGCTTTTTTCAAAACAAATGTAAGTTCATGTAGTTTGTCTATTTCTAATTTTTGTTTCTTTAATCATACAAAGTCATCTCTACACTTATACAAAACAATGTCTTTGTCAGCACTTTCATCAAAATCATGAATTATGTTTAATAATTGGAATTATTGGATATAGGAATAAAAACCAGAGAGCTTGCCGCAACTAAACCATAACGAGTGACATGACAAACCTAAGTAAATCATTAATCTTGTTATGTTTTATTCAAATACAACTGACATGATTTTGAAACCTCATTTAAACACTATTTCCCAACTAATAATTAAAATAGATTTCTCAGGAATAGTCTAACATTTCACATCTCAGATCACACTCAAAATAGAATCGCTAAATGTTGTTTTCACAGCATACTATTATCCATAACTAATATTTTCTTTTTTCCTTTAAAACCTTCCATTGATTCTGAAACTGCAGTTTTAAAATCTTTGATGTGAAACAAATCGGCCTCTGGGGGTTTTAATATGCCTTTGGCAATAAATTCACATAGTTCTTGGAACATATTTATTTTTATTGGGCTATGCAAATTTTCTTTCATCCAATCTGTATTCCAGTAGCCATAGGCTTTAATTCTATTAAAGATAGTGGGTCCTGTTGGTATCATAACAGGTCTTCTCGACATCCCACCGTAAGTTACAATAACACCATCCTTCCCTAAACTTGCTACAAGATGAGCCGAGCTATCACCTCCCACGCAGTTTAATGCAAGCTTTGGTCTTTCTGGTATAGTTTTAATTATTTCTTTTAGGCCCCCTTGTTTCCTCTCATTCTCAGTTAAAACTATATCACCCCCTAAATCATGTAAAAAGTTCACAAGTTCATCTTTTTGTGGCCTATCTCTTATGATATTTATTGTTTTAATTCCCCAGTGTTTAGCCAGCTGAATTACACACTGTCCAACTGCACTGTTGGCTCCATTTTGAATTAAAATGTCTCCAGGTTTAAGTTTTGCAAAGTCACATATCATTCTATATGCTGTGCAAGGATTAACTGCTAAAGTTGCAGCCCCAATGACTGGCATATCATTAGGTACTTTGATAACATTAGATGGTTCTGGTATCAAAAACTGTCTCCAAAGACCTGCAGCCAAGGAATCTGAACTTCGTGCTGCAATTGAGGAGATTACCCAATCACCGGGATGAAATCTCTCAACTGAGGGCCCAACTTCAATAATTTCTCCAACACCCTCATTACCACCTACACATGGTAAAGCTGGACGTATGTGGTATGTTCCCTCAATCATATTGATATCTGATGGATTAATTGGTGACATTAAAACTTTCACTAACATCTGATTTGGCCCTATTTTAGATGGCAATTGAACAGAAACTCCTTCTAAAACATTGTTTGGGTTCCCAAATTCATTAATAATAACTTGGTAGGATTCATTATAGTTATGACCCCTCGTGGAAGAAAATTTCCTGGACTTTTCATTGTGTCTTGCTTTTATATAAGTTAGCCTGTTTATGGTTTTGAAGCCAAAAATAGTTAACAATCGGTTTGACATTTGCTTGCACATGGGGGCTGCCATGTTTAATTTAGGATATGGGAGACAACTCTACTATTCTTCCCTTTTATATTGAAATATAAAATGAATAATTATATTCCGTGGATCATACGCTAACATACATTAAGAATATAACACATTATCAGATTAGCTACAATTTCGTAAAATCTGATATCTTACACTTTTGGAATTCAAACGATACTAAACAAAACATTAGTTCATTCGTGCAGGCTGGATTAACCGAGGCAATAAGAATATACTTAGTACGCATGTTCTATTTCCTAGCAACGGTATAACACAATGGCGGACCAGAAACAGTTTTAGTTATTACGAAGTCGTCCTGAAGAAAGACAAATCTTTAATGTCAAAATAGTCGAGTATTAGAATGTCAAAAGCAGGAAAACGTGTTAAAAGTGGCACTGCACCGAGTGGCGGATCTAAATGGGATAATGCATTACAAACAACCCCCCTAGAAGAGGTAGAAGTTTTATTTGCCATTCACCCGTTGGCCGGCTGTTTTTTTTTACAATAACAAAGTAAAAAAAAGACTTTACTAAAGTCATGAAAGTGACTATTTTTACGGAAAGAAGTTCCTGTAGGCTATTTTTACGGCTCTTCCTGTCGCCCCTGCACATCTGAAAAATATTCGCGTAAATTAAGGGATTATTCCGGTGCAGAGAACAGATGGAGAACGGGTTCTGGCAACTTCTGCTGGTCGGTGTTCAGCCAGTATATATAATGCATTCACGAACATGTCCTGTTCTGAAATCCCACACTACCTCGTTAGCTGGTGTGAGATGAGAATAAACATCTGACAAGAAAACAGCATCGTGAATGTATTTATTGATTTAAAAGTTTAATACCGTTCGAAAACTGCTTGTAGTATGTGGCCTATAGAAGTATCTAAGTAAAATAAAAGGCAATGTAATTCGGACCGAAAGAATTAAAAAGGAGTAAAACAAAGTCATTTATCAAAATTGTGCTTAATAGGGAAGTCATTTATGCATAATACAGTACTCATAAAGTTATAGTAATATTTAATTTATATGAATTTAATTCAACTTGTTTTAAAAGTTTGTCTGCTAATATTTAGTGTCTTGATTGGAATATCTACCTTTTCACTTTTCTTTCTAGTTACTTGAAAGACGTTAATATTGATTTTGGCGATGGTCAAGTGTATACCAATCTGATTAAAATACAGATCAATAACTTGTTTCATTTTTTTATACTTTCGATGGCCTGCTACATGAAGATCTGACCAGTTGTAACGGGAGGTCACTTCAAAGTTCATTTGCGCGACTTTTGACCCTATAAACGTTAGACATTTGATTAACCAATCAGCGTTGATGTTTCTAGAATTTCTAATGGGTTACCGGTACCTACCATGGATACCGTTCTATCATGTTCGAGACTCGTGAACATGTTATCGCGTTTTCCATCACCCACGAACCTGCACGAATGCTCTTTCGAATACACCCTAAAATAGTGCAGTTGTGCGTGAGTGGGTTAACCCGAGCCATAACCCTAAAAATAGCCCAAAGATTTTTGTCTATGGCACTGCCTTAAAAATAGCCCAAACTTTTTGTCTTTACACTAAGTACATCCAATTATTTTCCTGCTGTGTAGGAGCGATGGGAAGTGCTGTAAAAATAGCCTACAGGATATGTTTTACGGTTCCGTAAAAATAGCCACTTTGATTACATCATGTTATTAATTATTTAGAAACAAATAGCTCATTTATTAATGAAGCCTTGAAGGCCTACATCTTCTATTATGGGTCTCACCAACTATTAATAACAGCAAGCGTCAAATAAAATAACTTTATAAATTTTATGAATTGCCCGTGGCCGCGTAAGGCGCTAGCTCTCGATGTTTGGCAAAAAAGTCCTTAGTCAGTGGTACAGGACCAAAACTTATAAGCTGGTCTGAAATGTTTGACAATGATTTCTGTCAGTCAGAGGGACCGTAATAAGCTATTTCTCCAGGTACCAGATAATTCGTCCACATGCAAATTCGTCCACAGTTAAAGATACATTATGGGAGATTCGATAACGAGTTGGCAGTTCTCACTGTATAATAGTTAAAAACTAGATAATGTAAAGGCAATTTGCTGAAAATTTCATTCAAATTGATTCACTATGAACCGAGAACTAAGCGATTGAAATTTCTGCCTAGCCTCGATCATCATTACTAAAGTCATTACGATAAACAGCATAGTCTTGATTATCAATTTAATCATTAAATCGTGAAGGAAAGTTATGCAGTAAATCGGCTCATAATCCACTAAAGATCGTAGGCTAGTGATGCCATCTAGAGTTGATTATGGCCTGGATAGGTTAATTAATGTCTAATTAATAATTTAGATAACATTTCAGGCCTAAAGAAAGACCTGCAATAGACAGATTTAGCTCTTGCATAATGTATGTTTAAGTCATCCACAACCATTGGTTAAGTCGTCCACAAGATATTGATTGTCGTCCACAACTAATAGTTAGTTACATGTATGTTGTCCACAACTAGTGGATATGTCGTCCACAAGTAATAGTTGACTCATCATACACACGTTAATTGCATGGAATAAATAAGTTTTTCTTATCGGTTGTTTATAATTGTTTTATTTACGCAATAATCAATCAACTACTCCTTGACTGATCGTAGCCGAGATTAATTCACAGATATTTTTGTGATAAAGTAGCCTCATATTGTTTATTGATTAGCTTTATTTTTGACATAATGAACACATGGGACTGTATATGGTATATAATTCAGCATGTTCCTGAAGCCACCTCTGCCAGTTTTACAAAATCTGGATGTTGCTAGATTGCTTTACTTTATCTCTACAAAAGCGTCCTATCAGAGGTTGTGACACAAACAATAAACATGCTCAAATTAAATATAGCGACCTCCACGGAACCTTGACATTGAGAGAACCACTTGAACTTTGCATCTCGATTATCACAGGTAAACATTTTAGCTGGAAAGCACAAGACTTGGTATTCGCGATGATCAAGGAATCTGATAGGCTCTCAAGCTGGGTGAATACCATTCGAATTTATTGCCGAAATATCCAGGGTATTACGTGAAGGCCTTGATAAGGTGTACAGGGTTAAAGTGAGATCAATCCTTCTTTTGAAGATGATAATTCACAAGCATTGATTGGTTGAGAAATGATAGTGATCTATCGTTATCCATAGTCTGTTTGATATTTGTCGATGACTTTTCGTGTGGACAAGTTAACTGGCAATCATTTCTCCATTATTTCCTGTAATTTGAAAATTCCTTTTTAGGACCGTTGGAAAGCTAATATTACATTTGTTGTTGGAAATGCCCCTGAAGATTATTCACACATTAAATTACTTGGAAGTGCTGTTGCTGGTGGAACTAGAAAATTATTTAGTTTAATTTCAAAAAATGATCTTTATCAAGAGGTGAGTTAAAAAAAAAGCAACCCCAAAATCCTACAAATTAAAGATACTTTCTCGCAAACAAACTGTGATTTGATGATATATTTGGACCAAAAACACAATTCAAACTTATGTATCAAAACTGTACTCCAAATCCCTATCAAACCTTTGTATTTGTGGGTAGATTCTTCAAGCTTTAAGTCCAACCTCGTAGGTTTTCTCCGGGTCCTCCGGTTTCCTCCCACTGCTAAAGACCCCTACGCGCAAGCGAATTATGTAAATAAAATTAAACCATATATTAGTCCCGAAATGACCTAGTTTGTGTCGAGGGGACGTTAAACCCCATTTCTCTCTCTCTCAAGCTTTAAATAAACTGAAGTTAGAGGTCATGTCTGTCAACTCGCTTCTTCAGAATGTATATTTCATTACTTACTGTCCATTTACCATACATATTGAGGCCTAAGTATATTCTTAATTATTTTCTGTCAAATTCTTTTTCCGCCGTTTAATTGATGAGTCTGTTGTATGTTGACACCACTCAATGTTCCCAATACCTCCTAACCATTTCATCAAGAAATAACAACTGCTCCCTCGGTCAAGCTAGCACACAATAAGATGGCAGACAACAGTCGGTTTGTCAGTTAGTGATACCCTGACAATCCTGACATTCTCAGTGCTTGCCCCATGGGTGTTTTTCGGGTAATCCAGTATTTTCCTAGTAAGATTGGGTGTCTATACTTTCCAATTACCAAATCTGCCATACTTTTATTGGAAATAACCACCCGATAAATACTTTCGGGACAATTTATCTTTAACTCAACTCAGATGTATACTAGGGCTGTGTCGATAAAGTTCATTCTTGATACGTTAAGTATTAACTATATGGCCAACGGCTATACAATACAGTGACATCAAGATTTATGTCTATAATAGGCTGAAACTATACCCTGTTTTCTAACATATCTATTTTAAGCCCCGTCTACATATTCAAATTAAATCCAAAGAGAAAGCCAAAATAACTAACATTTATTATTTAGTTTTCTTGCCATGTACTATGCATGTACTAAAAAAATTATCAATGTAACAAGAAACTTGTTTTAAATGTTCCATATTATTTATATTATTAAAGTCAGTCTATACAATTATGCAACCTACATCCAATTTCATTTATGTGAATAAGGAGCAAAAATACTTATGGCCTATAAAATCTAAGACTATATAGATATTATTTATTTATTTGGTTCTACGTTTATATCGGTTTACATCTAGATGACTTAAGCCTAAAAGCAGGTTACCAATATCAGTATTATCTATAGTGTTCTGCACAAGGAATCGCCATTTTCGAACTTCGCTGGTTCGAAATTCTCCTGGCTTGGTTTCCCAAACGTAAGATGCCATGGCATCAAAAGTACAGGTGACAGTCTAAGCACTTCCAACTTCAAGACCTGTTTGTTTTCATAATCACATGACGAGGAGAGCTCTACACACAGCAGAAATTGTTCACAAAAAAAGGCACAGATTTCGAAGCAAAAAAATTTAAGGACTTATAGACTTAATAGGTTTCAAATTCTTTCTTAAAAGAAGAACATAGTTTTTCAACGATACAGCGATATTCCAACAATTTTTGTGTCTATTAATGAAGATTAAATTTCTATAGCTTAGGCTAGGTAACAGGCTCTGTTCACTACGATCATTAATGATTAAACCACTGCAACCAATTTCCTTCAGGTAAACGAGCTGGGTAATCCTAAAGCAAAGAAGACCAAAGAAGTTCCAGCTAATTTTGAAGTCTGTGAAGCCTGCAAATTACATTTGGATATTGGTGATGAAATTCCATTGCCATTGTTAGCTAAACTTATTAAATATAGACTTCTGACTATAAAAACTAAGGATCAAAAGAGACGAGAAATAGAAAAAAAGGTATGGGATACAATTTATGTTTGTAAAATAATCTTATTCAAATTTTCAAAAATTTGGTTAAGGTTATATATTATATTTTTAAGATTTTTCTAAATTCGTTTCTTCATATACATGTATCTTTACCATTTCAAATTGTATATTTATATTTTTCATCCAGGCTGCTTTGAAACCATCAGAGGTAAGATGACATGTTAGATGCGTTAACGATGTTTTGTTTCTTGTTTCTGTGAATTTCTTGCAAATTTGTTTGAATTTTGATGTAGTAGTGCAAGCTAATTTTTATTGTCTGTGATGTCTGTTAAAAAAGAAGTGAAAGTTTTGTTGCCTTGTTTGTGATTGTTTTCAATAACAAAATATGAAATTCTTGTGTACTGTGGCCTGACTAATAAACCAAACTACTACAATGTACATATATATATATATAAAATGAATTTTGAAAAAAGGTAATAAATTGATTAACTAAAAGGTTTCAAGAATCTGAGCAAATTCCCATGTAGTAGACTAACATATAAAGCTTTTAAAAATTAAATCAATAACAGAAATTTGGATTAGACAGTTGTAATGAAAATTTATACTGAAAATATCAAATCCAAACTTTCTAAAATATGTTTTTAGGCAGCCAATGATCAAGCAAAGGGAAAAAAGGATAAGGGGAAAGAAAGAGGAAAATCTCCAGGTAAAAAAGGAGGAGGAAAAAAAACTCCAGAACCTCCAGCTGCTAAAGAAGGTAGTAAATTAAGAAAACGAGGTGAAGAAGATCAGGAAAGTAAATTTATAGGTAAAAAAAATAATTTGTTTTCTATTATTCTATTGTGATGTCATAATAAAGATTTTTTTACTTAGATACATTATGGGAGATTTTTACAGAGAATTGGCCATTCTTGCTATAACAGTTCAAAAGTAGATGATGAAAGAAGAATATTTTGAAGATTCCATCAAATTACTTTATTCTGAACATAGTTATCATTGTTGTAATATTTGACTAGGAATGGTAGTGAAATGTGCCTTCACCGTGGCTGATCGTTTGATTGACAGGCGTTAACTCCACCTACATATCTCGATTATCAAGTAAAGTTTTCAATGGCATGCGGAAACGCTCTACAGCGGCCTCGCTAATTACACTCTATCATTTAGCCTCGATGTAACTGACGTATATTCTCATCAGGATGCGCCATATTTGAATTAATTGATAAGTGAAATCCTATTTAAATCCAAGCTGTAGCCGAGCCATCCGTGGGTCTACAGAGTTGATTTTGGGCTTGTTGTTTAAATAAAGATCTAATTTATAATTTCTATAACATCTGAAGCCTAAATTAAGACTTGCAATAATAAGATTTTGCTCTTGCATAATTTATGTTTAATAGTAAGTGAAGTGGGACTGCAACACACACAATTACACAAAACAATTACACAAGACACAATACGCAGAAATCACAAACAAACGTACATATCAGAATAAGTGAATGAATTCGGGTGCTAGTCGTAAGCGCCCACTGCGTTGTACAGTCCCGGGCCTGTAGTGATACAGACTTCACTCCAAAATGAAAACTAACAATCAGGAAACTAACCCATAGTAAAACATATTGTAATACTAGTATGAGTCATGATCTGCTATATTATGAAATATGAAGGTAAGCATATTGAAGTAAAAAATTACCTACAAGTAACCATTTTATACGGTGAAATGTATATAAAAAAAAAAGAAAACCAGGTCTGTTATAGTGAGAAATATTTTAAGGGTTCAAAAGAATTGAGGTGTATTGACTACAAAGTTAGGTCACATGTCCCATTTACCATAAAAACAACAATATTAAATACAAAGAAGCAAACAGAGAAAGTGCAACCTGTCTCGAAGACAGTCGTCTGCTGATTGAATTACGTGATGTAAAAAGGCGGTAGTTTGCCAAAGGACGTCAAGAGTTAGATAAATAAAAACCAACAATAAGACAACGCCAAAAGGTTAATAAACTATCAATTTAGGAACTAATCAGAATTATTTAGCTATGTAATTGCACAAAATATAATTAATACATAAGGATAAGAAATGCAAACCAGGTATGTTGAAGAAATCGTACTATAAAAGAATATTTATATAAAAGCATAAAATAAGGGTGATAATCCAGATAGAATTAGGAAACTACAGAAAAGGGTGGACTTGAAGGTTGTCAGTAACATTTATTATAAATGGTTGGTAATTTTTTTTAAAGATGATGAACCAGATGATGGAGCACAGCATTATATTATTATTTATGGATTTCATCAACCTCATCTCTTTACTCAGCTAGCTGAGATTGGAGTTAATGCTGACTCTATTTTACGAGTATCAACTCAAGACTACAGCATCTTTGATGTACCTGCTGCAGATAAAAATGCTGAAAAAGATGAAAAGACGATACGTAAGTATAATTTATAATTCAGAATCTGATATTGCTTGTATTTTGGAGATTAGTTGATTATGTCTAAATCTGGATTAGCTTTCAGTTTAAAAAATACTTATCTGACCATGATTAGTGACTTTAATAATTCTTGTAATAAAATAATCATATATTATGTGCTCTTTTTCTACAGAAGCTGAGCTTGCAGCTAAAGAGGAAAAAAATGATTTGAAGAAAGAACTAAAAAAGTTCTGGAAAGACATACTGCTAGTACTCCAGAAAAATGGGGATGCATCTAAATTACATGATGTAGCTATAGAGGAATATGAGATTAAGACGTTGTTAATGCCAGCTAACTTAGAAGATCCAGAACAAAAGGTTGATGGTTTTTCTGTTCTCGTACCTTTTCCAAGGATTGTGTTGACCATTTTAACAAGGTTCAAATAGATATGTTATTGAAGGCATTGATTGTGCTAATATTCATTTTAATGATATACTGCTTTATCTAATACTATTTGATATTCCTTGATTCATAAATAAAAGGTTTTCTATCTTTTAGTTGACTTTCAGTACTACCATATTTGAAGATGTGGCCTGTAAAATCTATGATTTGATTGATGCTAAAAGACTCTATCACAATTATCTAGAAAATCTGAAATTAGTTCCAATTCCTGTTATTGGACAACCTGTGGCACCTGCAATAGGTGAGTACTTGTAGATTGAATGTCTTATCAAACTTGGTGTAAGAAGGGTAATTCATACTGCAACAATAACCTCTAGCTAGGTAATACACTTCCACAGAAATGGCTACTTCCTTTTCTCCTCTACCCCCCCCCCCCCCTTTTTCCTCAGAAGCATGTGTACTAGATATTAGTCAGTCTAAATTTTATTTTACATCTTTTTCACGGGTTTTAGAATCAATGTTGATACTGTAAGAGATAATCATTGAAAATGTAAACAATTTTTTTATTTTTCAGATGGTCAATCTACAGCATCAGCCACAACACCTGCCCCTCAAACAGCACCGCCTATTAGTGCTACTACACTGCCACCTGATGGTCAGATAGATATACCTGTAGTTGATATGAGATATTATAATGATTTGATGAGTTGTATACCACAAGAAAGTGTCAGTGTACCCCTTATATTACACAGTATGTTGGAACAGGTATGTGTATTTTTAAAACATCTTCTCATAACCAAGAAAGGGGGTTGGATGGCCAAATGGTTAGCGCATGCACATTGAATCATAAGGTCGGCCATTGACTCATCTGGCATGGTTTCGATTCCCCAGTTGTACGTGACAAGGAGTAGGGTAGCCTGACATCCTTGTGGGTTTTCTCCGGGTTCTCCGGTTTCCTCCCACTACTAAAGACCCCTACACGCAGGGGATTTATTGAAATAAAATTAAACCATGTGTTAGTCCCGAAATGACCTAGTTTTTGTCAAGTGGACGTTAAACCCCATTTTTCTCTCTCTTTCATAAACAAGAATAATGGATATATTTGACAGTAGTCTTTAAGAGGAATGGATATATTTGACAGTTACTTTGTCAAGAGCCAACTTAAAATTGTGTTAAAGTATTTACTGAAAATCTTTCAATGAGATATATCAATAGTTCTTTCCAATGAGATTTTAATGGCATATACTTCTCTTAATAGAATCTGAACCATTTTAGTCCGTCCTTAAAATTTGCGTTTTAGTTTGGTTCCCCATAAAATAAAATTCCCAATCCACATTTGTGTGTGCTTGGTGAAAATAATAGCATAAATCCTTTTTCATAAAGAATCCAATAGACATGGCTTGGGTAAGATGGTTTTGCTTAAGATGATTGTTGTTTTATCTGTTTATAGGTTGTTGCTGTTGAAGAGAATAAAAATCCCCCTAGTGAACTGCGTCCTTCTCCACGCTCCGATGGCTTAAATAATGAACTTGCTTCATATCTTAGTTCCATGGCCTTTAAATTAGCACTTTCTGAAGATGAACATAAGGTATGATTTCGTAGAACTCGACTTATTCATGGTGTATATTATTTTTTGTTATGTACAAATACAAAAAAAGGTTGTGTTTATTTTGATGATCATAAAACTGGAATATATTTTGAAGGTTCATTAATTCAAAGATACTGCATATTAAATTTTACAAGTTTTGTTTATTCTGTAACAAACTGATAGTGCTTTTATGTGAAATAAACATTGTGGGGGTATCTGATAATTCTGATAAATGTAGCATAAATGACAAATTGTGACATATTGTAATTTTAACTAATTATTGGATTCACAGATTGTAGAGAAGTCATTTCTCAAGCACTCAAATTGAATGAGTGATAGGTTTATATATAAAAACAGTGATACTTGGGTAAAAACACTGGTTATTCTAAATATGTTTGGTAGACCAAATAAGGTAATGTTCTCCTCCCGAACTTTGGGGTATGGGGGATGTTTATTCCATATTTGGGAAGGAAATTAACACCAAGGTCATTCATAACGTAATGAAATTAGGGGGTTGTAAAAGAGGGTGTTGTGCAAAATTCATTAGAGCTCACCCAGTCTGTCAGAGCAGCCACTTTATTAATTATTAAGAACGGGGAACATTTGTGCCTAGCTGCTTAAAGAATAAAGTTGTATAAACGACTTAATCTGTAGTTGTAATTTCAATCACAGAGAAAACACAACAAAGAAGTCCAGTAGTACTACACACAACTTTGCTTATTTTAAGTACTGCAGTCAAAAGTCAAGGTGACGTGGATGGTATTGTACTTGTGGGTGATGCATTAAACCAAACTATCAAAATCTTAATTTGATAATTGATATTTCAGATGTTAGAAGAAACTATGGATCTACCCAAGATGCCATCTCATGCACCTAAACAACCATTATTGATGAACTATCATGATAAGAATACAGTAAGAACACATAAACTTCAAACTGAATATGGTTTTGATCCACAAGCTACAGAAGAAGCTATGTTACAGTTTTCACCATTCAGTAATGTAGTAAAGCTGGAACGTCCTACTACAGCTATAGCTAAAGAAAGAGCTGCACGGCTACAGGAGTTAATTCATTTCTGTGCTACTGGCATCATGTCACATTCTGGTAAATATTTAACATGATTATTAAATGGTTAATTTTATTTTGATTTGTATTGTGGGATGACAATCTGTCTTTGATATGAAATTTTTTAGGCAAAAATTTATTGCAAATTGTGTACGGTGGACAAAAATACCCATACAGTTTGAGTTAGCTGGAGTTCACATTTTAAGGCGTGAATTTATCATTATTTTTCTATTATGTTCTTAAATTGGTATGCAAAATTTCATTTTTTCTTTACAGAAATAGATAGAGCATTTAAACAGTTTTTATTTGAATGTATGGATTTAACATCTACTGATGCTAATGGATTTATAATGACACGAGAAGGTGAAGGATTAGAGCATACAGCTATACCCTGGGATGATCCTTATCCTTTCTTTAAAGGAATGATACCTCACCATGAAAAACATTTAGATATACCTGTATTATCATCTGATGGAGAATCTGGTAAGATGTGAACTAGATATGTCGCTCTTGGACATACAATCCATAATTTATAGTCATTTGACAAGAATACATATCCGTTATAATGATTTTACACAGTCTTTATGCACGATTCCATTTAGATAAATTCTCATTTTTAATTGTAGGCCCTAAAAGGTTATATATAAACAATATTTTTGTTCAGATCTGTATCTGAATAGTGAGTGATTGGGGAACAGGCATAGCCTATATTAAACCCAATTCTTTAAATATTAAACCCCTCTTCCTATAATACTTTGAAACATAACTATGGAAACATACATTTTTGGACCAAGAACTGGGCCCCAAGGCCTACTGTTCTTCTTCTTGGGGGGAGAAGCTCTTTGAAAAGATCCAGGGGCTTCGCCAATTCATGTACGATCAACATGAAACTTTGCATGTGATGATAGCATGCTTCATTTCTGGTCCATATTACACTCGTATATTTATTAGCTAACAGATGCATTATATTTAATTTGTTAAAATTTTGCCAATGGGTCATGATTGAAATCATCTGGGAATTTTTGATGTGATGAAAGGTTGTTTTTTTTTTTGCATGTAAATATTTTAAATTGGTTTGATTTTAGTAGTAGATAAGACACCAGGGCCAGAAGCACGATCATCAAGGGTGGGGTTTACAGATTCCGGTACAGCTGATAAGAATGACACCACTACATCAAATAGATCTCGTCCAACATCTTCTGAGAGTAAAAAAGGCATATTGAAACCCAGATCACGTTCACAATCTCCAGTCAGAGAGCTGAGATCTAGAAGTAACTCAGGTATGGATTCTAAATATTACTTTGATTTTAACATTTGTATTTTGTAATATATACTAATATTAAATTATTGAGTGCCTCACTCCGTAAAACAATGTGCTACTAAGTGGCATTATTACGTTTTGTATAATATATCAATAAGGAACTCACACCATACATAACAAATAAACATATATTATTCAATAATTAGTATTAGTATATTAACGACATGAGTATTTAAAAAGAAGAATATATATATAAATAAAATAGAGGCTAATAAAACAATTAAATTAATTTTAGATACTTTAAGACTATAGTGTTTTTCATGCATGTTTGATTTTCTTTTGTGTATTTGATGTAAGCTCTCATTAATTGTATATTGTGAATTGGTTACCACCTAAATGTGTGTTCATGTGTATAAAGCATTAATAGTGTGTTTTATTGTGACAAAATTTAACACCTTGAATACACAAACTTCTGAATTAACACTTTTAAATTAAATGTGTATATCCTATTATCTGTTAATTAATAATAATTGAAATACACAAATTGGTAAATTTTCTGGTCTGGTCTAGCACTTTTAAAAGGCTGATATAAAACCCTAATTAGTCTTTCTCTATTAAAGTAGTATCTTGTTTTTTTATTAAGTTATAAAAAATGTACCTGATTCATATATTTCAGTACATTTTATAAAAGATGAGGGTCAACCATTACCTTTATCCAGAGAAGAAGAGGGAGAATTTGAAGACGTTGAAGAAGAAGTAGAAGAGAAAACAATTGAAGATAGTATGATGGAAGTGGTAGATGCCCAGAAAAGAACTCTTGATGAATGGTGTTACGCTGAACATTTTGATGCTAAAGTTCTGTTACAGGTCTGCATCATTTACATGATAATACAATATCAATCTTGGCTATAAAAAATTTGTCAAATTTTGTGGGGTAGTTAATTGTGATAAAAGGAAGAATATATTAAAATTAAGTATTTTTAAATTGTAAATTTGGGTTTGAAGTCGCGGTGGACTTGTTAAATAGATCATAAGGAAGACTGCTATTGAATTTTGAAAAGTTGCTATATATTTTATAGGTGTCTCGATCATCTTGTAATTTGGTTGCTATTGCTTCTGGGTGGTCCTCTTGCAAATGGATGCTTATATATTCTGACTTTAATGTCTCATTTCAGATTTTGAATGAAGCTTCATATATTTTACCGTTTACTAATACATACTATAATAAACGAGATCATTCTATGATGCTAATACTACATTCGCCATATAATGCGGAATTGCAAAATCATGTTGACTGGCATACAGAATTACATTCTAATATGGGCTTTAGGTATGTTACTTGTACTTAATTTCTTATTTATCCTTACCATCATCCTTTTTTGGAATAAAACCTAAAAATCATTGATTCTCATAGTAATTTGTATATTGATTACTTGCTTTACTCCATGCCACTAAGAGTTATGCTGGAAGCGTGGCATGATTATTTCACTGATCTGGAAGATACAATATAAAGTCTGATTATCTCAATTTACCACTGAGCTCTTTAAGAGTCCAATATTATGATGCCCAAAAAGTGCAACAATATAGCCATTGTCTGGAACATTGGGATAGAAGGTTTTATTCAAGGACATGAGAGTGCAAAATTCAGGTTTTTCTCACAAATCATACTCTCTAACTGTTGTGTTCCCTCTTCTAATTTAAAAGAGATTTGGTGATTCATTAATATATATGATAAATAATATTTTCTTTTTTGTGTTAAAGGAATTACATGGAATATGTGAAGGAATCTATAGATGAATGGTTGAAAGAGAAACAGGCAGAGTATGATGCAAAAATGTTATCTCAAGAAGTAGAGAAATTACAAGCTGATGATGACGCTGCTGCTAAAGCTGCTGAAAGACAAAAACTATTAGAGTCTCCTAAAAAGACCAGTAGAGGAGGTAACTTCATTTTGCCAAACCTTTCACATGAAAACCTTTCTTTTTATACGCCCACATTTTTATGTGGACGTATATTGTCATCGCCCCTGTCCGTCCGTCCGTCCACAATTGTTTGTGAACACTCTACAGGTCACAATTTTTATCCGATTTCAATGAAACTTGAAATATAGGTTTATCACCCTAAGATACCAGTTCCTTTCGATATTGGTATGTATCGGACTGTAACTTCATGGATTATGGCCCCTGATTGTACGAAAAATCACGTTTTTAGCTTGTGAACACTGTAGAGGTCACAATTTTTATCCGATTTGGTTTAAACTTGAAGTGTATGTTTATAACCCAAAGATCTCGGTTCCTTTCAATATTTGCGCATTTCGGAATGTAACTTCCTGAATTATGGCTTCTGATTGTACGAAAAATCGCCTTTTTAGCTTATCTAATTTAAAAAAAAAATGTGTAAATATATAACCATTACACACTAAGATCTTGGTTCCTTTTGATAATTGCGGATACCTGAACTTAACTTCCGGGATTATGGCCCCTGATTGTTAAAAAAATTGCATTTTTAGCTAGCGGATTCTCTAGAGGTTACAATTTTTTTTTCACATTTTAAAACTGTTTAAATACATCACAATTCCACCATAATGAAGGTTGAATTCGAATTCCGGAAAATTGAAATGAAACTGCCCAACAAAATGGCCGCTCTTTGTACGCAAATTGTGTAGAAGTGTGTAATACGAAGGTTGTGGACCCTCTAGAGGTCACAATTTTTATCCGATTTTGATGAAACTTAAAACATATCTTTATATCCCAAAGATCTCAGTCCCTTTTGATATTTGCACATTTCAGGCCATAACTTTCTGGATTATTGCCCCTGATTGTACAAAAAAACACGTTTGTTTTTAGCTTGATCTCTATCCATCTCTTGTAAAATGTGGGCGTATCCTGCCTGGCAGTTGCTGGTTTCTTAAAATTTCATGTGGCATTGTGCATTGTCTCCAATTTAATCTTGTTTCAAATGAGCAATAAAGTTTCTGTAAAATGTAGATTTTACATTATTTTTTTTCCAGGTCGTTCAAAAAGCCCCAAAAGCCCTCGTTCTAATAGTCAAGAGAAATCACCAACAGAAAGTAGTAATAAGTTTATAAGAGCTGGTTCACTAAAAGCACAGCAAGAAGAAGCTGACAGGATTAAAGCTGAAGAAGATGAAAAACAAAAACAACTTCAACAAAAAAGATCCAAAAGTCCTCAGAAAAAGGTAAATATAAAGAAACAATAATAGTTTTTTAATGGTTTAAATTTTAAAAATCAGTGTTTGAATATTCATGATTTTATTTTTATCCCACACCATAGCAATTGCACAAGAGTTTAGATTTCCTGCATCTTTAATTAGAAATTTTAAAACATAATTTAATTAGGATGAAAAAGAAGAAAAGGAGAAGAAGAGACCTGGATCTCGAGGAAGTGCTAAATCTAAAACTTCGCAAAAAGATATAGAACCGCAAACTGAATCATTACCATTAGAATTACATGAAGAGGAGAAATACTGGCCAGTATGTATATAATTATATTAGTAATTCTTCCTTTGCTATGGTAAAATGACATGTTTATTTATTAAACAGTGAAGAATTGAAATTAAAGCATAATGGTATTAATCCAGAATGTCCTGATCTCAAGATTCATTTATTAATAAAATGGCTTTATTTTTGTAGTTTAAAGGATATGATGTTGGTAATAATTTGGTTCATGTATCAGGTATTGTAACATCATTATTTCCTAGTGATGGTGGACAAATTAGAATAGAAAGAACAGAATTTGTTCAAGGTTTGTTAAAAAAGATACCTTTTTTTTAAAATAAAGATCCTGTTTTTCTGTTAAATTCCAATGAATATGTTTATATTTTCTGGATATTGTTGGAGAATAATTAAAGATACATTATGAGAGATAAGATAAAGAGCTGGCAGTTCTCACTATAATAGTTAAAACTAGATAATGTAAAGGGAATTTACTGAAAATTTCAGTCAAATTGATCCACTCTGAACCGAGATTTTTGCTATTGATCTTTTGACCTAGCCTCGATCATCATTACTAAAGTTGAGCTGCAAATTAGATCGTAATCCAGTAAATATTGCAGGCTGGCGTTGACATCCAGAGTTGATTATGGTCTGGATAAGTTAATTAATTTCAGGCCTAAAGAAAGACCTGCAATAGGCAGATTTAGCTCTTGGATAATCTGTTTAAGATTTTCTCCATATAAAAAATGCTGATTTAGCATAGGATTAAATATTACTTTAAAGTGAAATCAATATCAATATCTTCAACATATTTTCACTTCAGGTACAACAAGTATTAACAGTACTGTTTTAAAAGATGGTCACGTGTTTGCTGTTCATATTTTAAATCCTATAGAAGATGAATGTGAAAGTGACACAGAAGAAGATGAAAACGGCAGCAACAAAGTGGAGGGAGAAGAAAAGAAAGATTTACCAGAAAAATCTGAATTTGAAAAATTAGAAAAAGAAGGTAAAGATTTTACAATTTTCACATTATGATACCACATTTCTATGATAGCATGTAGAATTACTATGTTACTTCATGACGATGCAAAGATATTTCATAGAATTATTATATATTATCAACAGATTTACAACTGATGTTTATGATGTATAGGATAAAGTATTAGACAGAGGTTATGCTGGGGAAAAAAAGACTGAAGAAAATAACCTGAGAAAAAGAAAAAAACGAGGTCGGAAGGTCAAGGTTTTTCTGTCAAGGGTTTTTTCTGAAGTCTTTCTTCCCCAGTATAACTGAAGTCAAGGACTTTATCTTGCTTATAAACCGTCTATGTTTACATACATACGTAAAATGAAAATATCCCAGAATTCCAGTAAGAAAAAGCTTATATCATGTTTTCTTATGGAAAAAAACCTACCTTGGAAGAATAACCTGTTACAGGTTTAAAGAAAAACTGTCAAAAGAATAACCCCAAATTCCCCTGTATATCCAAAACCGACCCCGACAAGTTATTCCGGGCATAGAATACACCCCAAAGATCAAAAAGATTTACCGTTATAGGTTTACAAAACACAATACTGTGTGGTCACCAAAGAATCATTGTGTTATCTAAATGTCACAATCAGATTTCTTTTGTTACAATATTTCCATTTCTCTGTTACATACAGAGATAGCAATATATCACATAGAATTTTGATGCTATGCCACAATACTATGTCATAAAGAATATCAATGGTATTTCACAGTACTGATTAGATAATACCACATAGTAAAACAATGTTATAATATCGCAATACTGTGCTGTCATATAAAATCACACTGTTACGATATCACAATATCGAAATGCCACTGTTATATACATGGATAAAGATAATCACATTGATTTTTAGTACTATGTCACAATACTATGATGTCATAATGAATCGTGATAATCACAATATTAGTGAGATATCACACATTATAACAATGTTATGATATTACAATACTGTGATGTAACATAGAAAATTGCAATTTTTTGATGTCACTAAGAATAACAATGCTATGATGTCACATAAAATTGCAATTTTTTGATATCACAAAGAATAACAATGTTATGTCGTCAATATATTTATTGAGTCTGATATGTATTTTCTATCTATGGTTAACTTTATAAATAGTAGGACACAGTATATGCAGTTCTAGTGTTTATTTCTTCAGAATTGAAAGATCTTGAAGTCAAAGAGAAGAAGGTTATAAAGAGTTCTTTTGGTTCAGTAACTGCCACTTTAAATGATGGTATGACTCTAGCTGTATCACAATTCGGTCCTACAGGAGAAGCTACTGAAGGTAATAATTAATACTAAATTAACTAAATACTTATATTCTATTTTCTAAGTCATTTTGAAGGTTTGACAAGATGTGTGCAATAATTTCAACCACTGTACTGGATATTCGAAGCTAAGTCTCGCTCCTCCATTTTAAAATTAAATCAAAATATGGCTGAACTGTTCTAATCTATTTAATATCTTAGAAGTCCGATGCCATAGAGAGTTGATTATGGCCTGGATCAGTTAATTAATGTCTAATTAATAATTTAGAAAACATTTCAGGCCTAAAGAAAGACCTGCAATAGACGGATTTAACTTGTGCATAATGTATGTTTAAAGGAGCTAAATAGCTAACATTTGGGACATAGAAATTGACACAAATGGGTCGCAACTCATATAATACTGTAATATGAATGTATATAAACTGATTTACATTCAATCGTTTCCGTTTTTACTCTAATTTCAAATCAGTTATGTTCCGTGAAATAAGCCAGCAGTCTCAATCGAATGCAAAATCCTAGCGTCTGGTTATTCCAGTCTACAAACGCCATTTGGTTTGGTGCAATATGTCTAGCCTCGTTCCTCGAGTCTCTTGCTAGAACTGGGGCTGAAACGCATTATGGTACACGATTCGTGTACCAATGGTAAAATATTTATTTTGTCTTAAATATTGGATATCAGAAGCCCATCTTTTTCCGGTAAGATCATAGAATCAATGTTGTTTTAAATTGAAAAATATTTCGTGTTTTCAATGTTGAAGATTTTAGATTATATTGAGTTAGAGACTTAGCTACTTTAACATATGTATGTTTAATGTATGGGCATTTTTATCCTATAACACACAAATTATTGCAATAAGTGACTGACAGGGAAAGATATTTTATAGATGTACATATTATTTTACATACCATATCCAACTATTTATAAAATCCAGAGACCAGAATAAATTTGATATGTCATGTACTCATATCAACAATTCACTCATTTATTCCTGTGATTATAAATTAAAGGCAATTTAAAAATATAATGTAATGTTTCTAATCAACAAGGTAAAAAGTATGAACCTGAGCCTTACATTCCACCAGTTACCAGTCCTTCACCCACATCTCAACCGGCGTCACCGGGTAAAACAAAGAAAGGTAGTGGTGATAAAGGGAAAGAAAAGGGAGCACCAACACCTGAACCACCTCAAATACAGGTAATTTTATCATTATAAACCAAAATATTCTGAGCTCTAGTATATTTATCTCTCACTATGTTTTTACGAAAATGAAAGTTTATATCCCTATTATCTGATATTAGAAAATGTTAAGAGGGATAGGTTTTCTGAATTTGTACCTGGTCATTGTAGATAAAAATTATTATTAAATTTGCCAATGACCAAGATTCTATATTATGAGTGGATTATATCTTTTTTTAACAGACAGAAGATCCAGATATTGATGAAGATAAAAAAGATGATGATAAAGTCATTAAACAAAGTTTTCAGGAATTATACCTTACTTGCCCCGATGGTCTTAATGTTAGATACTTCCTTGAGAGCTCACTAGGTAAAGAGTAATACAAATACATGAAATACATTAGGAGAGTTTTTAAACACAATTGAACACTCCCCTTAAACCAAGTTCACTGTATTTATTAGTAAAAGAACAAATGTAGTATTGTTTTAAGATAATTAATGTATATTTCAATGCTTTGAGTTTTGGCATTTTTAGAAAATATTAAGATAATTATTGGATATTTACTTTACCATTGTTGAATTAAGACTGCTGTTATAGACATTATATCATTAATAACTAATTCATTCAGGTATTAAACCTAATTCTGAGATGGATAGAAGATTAGTTGTTAAACAGTCTTATCCATTTAAAACTAAGGGTATTCAGCCTTGTGAATCAAAAAGAAAGAAATACATGTTAACAGAAGCTTCAAGAGTCATCACATCAGATGGTACAATTGTTAAAAACATGGTGGATGGAACGGTTGAGGTAATTTTTTTTGATTAATTTATTTACAATGGAGAGATATTAAATTACATTTGATTACTTGGAACATTTATTGTTTGTTTTCTGTTCATACATATTTGAATGCCTTGTAGGTTTTATATGCTGATGGTACAGTTAGTAATCATACTGGAAAATGGCAGCCTACTGATAGCAGAAACAGTTCACCACAGAGAGCTGCTAGTGGACGTAGTGGTAATGATACACCTACAAAGAAAAGTAAGTATTATTTTATGAAACAAAATCAAAAGTAATCTAATAAATTACCCAAAATCTGATTAGATCACTTAAATGCTTGATAAAATGATGAAATAATAGGCATAGACTGATAACTGTTTGATGGTGCGGGAAGCATGCCAGTTTGATACTGTACACAATGCAGCCATATTTCTTGAAAAGGAATTTCACATATTTCAATATTTACTTGCGTAGTGTAGTGGAAGAGACAAAATCCTGAAAAGGTAAACCTTTTTTTGATGAAAATAGGCGTTTTGAATCAACCTGCCCAATTAAGTGAGCAGTGCTGCAGAGAAAAATGGTTAAGAATCTTAGATATGTGCACAAGAATTTGTTAATATCTACCTGGGCATGTTTTTTGTAGATATCAGATCTAAGGGAAGTAGTAAAAATCTATCACCTAAGAAACAAGAAGAAAATAAAGTCCAAGAAATAGAAGAAAAGGCCAAATGGGTGACCACCTATCCAAATGGTGAAAGATATTCTGTACGATCAGATGGAACAGTAGAAGATCTCAAACCTGTTATGATTTGTTTGGCATCAGATCCTGAAACTAAACAGGTATTTACATTTAAAGATTTTTACAGTGCCATTTATAGTGGTACATGTATTTTGGATTATCAAAATAATTTAACGTTTTGTCCATGCCAGAAATTTTATATTGCAAGTAGTATCCTGTGTGCAAAGAGTAATTGGGTATGAAGATTCCTACAATGACCACTTGTGTTAAGTAGATGTTTGAACCTGTGTTTTGACAGAGTTGTTTTCAAATATAAATAAAGTTTTGATGTTATTTGTATAATTGTAGTCAATGGCAACTCGTGATGATCGTGTTATAACTGTTAGTTATCCAGATGGTACAACTATAGTAGAACATAGTGATGGTACACGTATAACTACCTATTATTGTGAAAGTCAAGTAGCTGCAGAAGATGAAGATGCAGATGAAACAGGTAGGTTAAATGTTTTACCTATTTACACTGTAATGAAATAATGATCAATACAGTCCACATTAACAACAACGTGACACTATCTTGGACTAGACCATATCAGCACCCAACTGGTTTTTATCCTTCTTTGACATGGGATAATAGCTTAATCTGATTGGTTATGCTTGACTTGTGCATTATTTTGATAAAAATTTAGTAATGCCTCAAATCTGAAAAGGATGCGAATTCTAATTTAAACTGCTTTTATTTCATACTTTATAGGAGAAACACCTACATCTGAAACAAGAATCACCAAATTTGTTAAAGTGGAATGTCCTGCTTATGCTACTGTAGAGTTTAATTGTTTGACCAGTGAAAATCTGACAATATTTGGTAACAATACTAGTGTCAACGTTTTTCCAGATGGCTTTTATATGTTGCAGCACGCAGATGGAGGTCGTTTACAGGTTGATACTGAAGGAACATTAATATACTATCCTAGACCTGATCAAATAAGAGAGGATAATTTAACAAGAGAGTTACAGTACGTACTGAGACACAATGCTGATGTTGTCTGCGAAACTGTGGATTCAGAAGGCAATGTATTCAATGTTAAACACACAGGAGATTTTTCTGTCATGTTAGCTGATGGGGATGATTGTGTTTCATCAGAAGCAAGTGTAGAGGAATCTGTTAAAATTCAAGAAAAGATAACTAACTATTCTCAACATTCTCCAAGATTCTTTATAGTACATGCAGATGGCAGTGGTACTGAACTGCTTCGTCCCCAAGATGTAGCTGAATATTTAACCCAGGCAGAAAACAGTCCTGCTACAGCTGTCTGTAAAGATCCAATCCCAGATTATCCAGGAGTTATGGGAATTACTGTGTTAAAGCCATTTATTGGAGGCCCATCAGAAATCTGGTTGAAAAAATATGACTTGGATTCTATAATCCCTAATGGTATCAGATCACGTGATTTAACCAATCTACCGCCAAAGGAATTTAAACAGGCCGGACCAAGGTTTGGTACAAATGTTGGACATGGATTAGCAGTAGGATCAGCAATTAAATCACCAACACGAGTGGCCATAGTAAAATGTCCTGATGTACTGGAATTAAGACAGTTGGTTCAGTATAATCCTGTTTCTGAAAAATTACGAATTCAGTAAGTATAGATAATACTGTATGTACAAACTTACCAGTCATTATATTACAAAATTGATTTGGCTATTCAATAAGAGTAGTTCATAAGTGTTAAATTTGTTTGATAAGGCTACAGTAGAATCTGTATGAGCAGCCACTCCTATTCAGCGACAACTCGTAAAAATTCTGTTGTTTCATCTCTTTATTCAACGGTCACTCCTCTAACGCGACCAGCGGTCACTATTTTACTAATAAATTCAACAAAACATTGTCATTCAATGGCCATTGTTGAATGATACCATCTTGTCGTTCTTTGTAACAACCCTGCTAATCCCGTGAGTAGTAGTTAATTAACTGGACCCCCACTGATCAGGTAAAAATAACAATCAACTCGGGATTATCTATTAATTAATCTTTTGTTTTATTAAACGACTAACCTGATCATTGTTTTCACGCATAACGACACATTATTTGATACTGATTGAATAAAATAAAAGTACTGAGTTTTGTCACGATCATCTAGTATCTCTTATCCATTGCTACTTTATTGTTAAACAGACGTTTTAGCGCCTCCTATACAGAGTTACACCCCCTGTAAATAGGTGATAAAATCAACGATGTTTTTTTGTTTACATGCTTTTTTGATAAAATAAAATTAATTCATCGATTTTCTTCTCAAAAATGGATAAATATTATCGAATGCATCACAATGGTAGACAGTAGTATCGAAGGTTGGTACAAAATGACAAGTTTACAGAAGCTATGTCCGAGATTTGAGTAAAGAATTTTCGTTCGGCGCAAGATTCAGCAACGGTCAAATTTACCGCTTCCAATGCATCCAAGCGTAATATTTAATTTATGTCAGCACAAAAAGCACCGAGATTTTATTAAGAGGCCACTCGTGTTAAGCGGTCAGTTGTGAAAATTCCCTTGGGTGGCTGCTTAATGCAGATTCTACTGTATATCCAAATACCTTAATATGTTCTAGCAGACGACAGCTCTCTTTTGGAGAAAACTTTTTCTGAAATTATTATCAGGGTTAGGATATTTAGTGATTGTTTTTTATTGTGCTTTTCGATTAACTACAAAAAAACTGGAAGTTAGACCAATCAACTTGGTAACAAGATCAGTTATTGCCTATCTTGTTGCTGTATCACATACATATAGATCACAATAATTCTGTTTGTATATTATGTTATTTTCTGTAGGGTTCTAAATGGTATGTTTAATACACAAATAGTCAAAATTTGATTCCTTTATTCCAGATTATATAATGGACTGAGAGAATATGCTGAATATGTAATGGAAAGAAACAAAGTATCTCAAATGATGCAGGTGAATGATCCTCGTGGTGAAGACGAACAGAATCTTGCATCAGATTTAAACTCAACAGTAGCTGTAGAAAACCAGCCGACTTATGATCCAAGTAAGTATTATACAGAAATGTATTTGTTGGATCCTGTTCTGTTGTGGGCAAGAGGTTTCGGTGTGACCTTGGTCATAGCATGGTAGATTTTTCTTTAAAATTTTTTAAAATGTTTGAATTTAGATAAGAAAATGAATGGACGATTGCACAGTATGAAACAATTTTTTTCTTGGTATCATCCAATCTTATGTAGAGAAATACCTTGCTGTGTGATGATGTTAATGAATAGAATTTTAAAATTCCTACAACATGTTCAATTTCAGGTACAGTCAAAGAATTATATGAGAAGACAACAGCTCCCCCAGTGCCAAGTCCTCCTCCTACACCCATGCCCAAACGTACCCAGGCTGATTGGGAAAGAGATCAGAGAGAGATTATTCAAGAGCTAGAAGGAAGAACTTTATTGAAAAATAAAACTATACCCCCATATTTTCAAAGTGAATTAGGGAAAGCATTTTTAATTACACAGGTATATGAAAGACATAATATTTTCAACTAAGGCTGATTGTCATCCCACAAAATAAATCGACATATAAAATCCACTGGAATTGACTATTTCATTTTGACCCAAATCAATGAAGTATCATATTAATTTATTTTTCATAATTTCTAATACATGTAAAACACTGAACTTTCCTCTAGATATATTGATTTTTAATATTTTAGTGGGTTCAATCCAGTGATGGGATTTCAAAATTTTTCTTGTCAGACATTTTTTTCCGAAAATAAAGGGGCATAACTCTTACCATTATTTAAGCAGGCGTTTTCAAACCATGATTAAGAATCACATGTCAACAAAATATTCAAATTCATACATCAAGATGATTGAAACATCCGACAATGGAGAAATCACAGGTTAATCACGTAGATTAAGTTTATAATCACTCTTATTGGATTGATATATAGTCCGACAAAGGAGAAGCAATGACTTCTGTTCAGGATTGGATTGATGAATTGTCCGACAAAGGATTAAATCAGCCAATCAAGGCAGATTAAGTAGTTAATCAAGGTAGATGTATAAATGGTATAACACGTTAAATACGTCGATCACTTAATTACCTTATCAATCCAGCCTATTACTATTATCAGCGGTAATCGAGTTGAATGGTAGTTACACACTCAGTACACTATATTAATTTTGGAATTTTGAATATTATTCACCATGTCTTGTCCGATTTGGCATATTCCTGGTCGGACAATTTAGAACGTTTGGAATATACGGGCAAAATCCCATCACTGGTTCAATCGCTTCTTCTCTCTAGGGATATAAATATCAGATTTTATTCTTTCTAGGCTAAAACTGATGATGACGTGCTACAAGAGTTATCTGAAGATCCACGTCGTGATGGTACAGAAGCTATACGTGGAGATACTAGCAGTTTAAGTTACGGACCACAATCACAAACACCTACTGCTGGTGGCAGACAGACACATTGTGAGATTCTTTATTTTACTCATTCCTCTTTGGTACCTTAACTTAGTAATTCACAGATAATATGAACTATTGATGTTTGCTTTTTATAGATAGAGATTATGCAAGAATAAATAACAGATGTGTAAAATTTATCTATGTAGAATAATAATATTAAAATTTATTTTATTGAATTATCAATAAGTGATATTTTCTTTTAAGCCCAGCCTGCGATTCATTCAGAGAATAGTGATCAGTCAGTTGCATCAACCTGTATGTCACCTACTCTAAATGGTGCCAGTCAGGCCAGTGTCAAATTAGAAACACCCATCTCATCTAATACAGGTAATGGTTTGTTTTTCTTACACAGTTCTGTCATTTTTCACAGCATATTTTTTAATGTGATGATTATCCTGTTGGATTGATTATATCATAAAAGATCTGTTTTAAAAATCAGACAACTATTTTTATCACAAAATCTTTTTCTATGACAAACTGAGATGTCAAGAAGCACTATATACTAATATAATGATACTAATTAACTAGTCCAAATGTGTTTGTTTCTAGGCACTAGAAAATTAACCCTTTAGCACTTAAATACCCTAAAACTTTGAGGTGGTCTATGGAACAGCCATTACAGACTATTCCGGTCTGTCCAGGGATTTAACTGTGATATCACTTTTTTCAAATTTTCTTCAAGGAACTTGGGTACTGGTAGTCAATACATGTACAAAGTGCTATAAAGGGTTAAAGCTTAAAGGCCTCCACAAACAGAATTTCAGACCAATGTTCTACTAGCTCTGATTGTTTCCACAGTTGTATTAACAAAACTGTTTCTTTTAATACAGTATTTTCCACAGATATTACTGCTACTCCATCAGGTCTTAGACCGTTAAATCCAACACCAGCACATGCTACAGGTCAAGGATCACCAGCACCAGTCCGTCCCAATAATCCTACACCAAATAAAACTGGTAAATCAGCTCCACATAGACCTGGTAATATATTTCTTTCTAATTTTTAGCCATTTAACTTTTAAATACATGTAATGATCAGGTTTTTGTTCATTTCATAATAACATATAACGCTATTGGTAAATGGAAAGTAAAATGATAAACCAAAGCTGTTAATTAAAAATACATTATAAAAGATTAGATAAAGAGCTGGCAGTTCTGACTATAATAGTTAAAAACTAGATAATGTAAATACTAATGGGAATTTGCTGACAATTTCAGTCAAATTGATCCACTCTGAACCGAGAATTTAGCGATTGAATTTTTGGCCTAGCCTCGATCATCATTACTGAAGTCGGTACGATAAAAAACATAGTCTCGATTATCCATTTCATGATTAAATCATGAATTAAAGTTGAGTAACAAATTGGATCCTAATCCCGTAAATATTGCAGGCTAGCGATGACATCGAGAGTTGATTATGGTCTGGATAAGTTAATTAATGTCTAATTAATAATTTAGATAATATTTCAGGCCTAAAGAAAGACCTGGAGTAGGCAGATTTAGCTCTTGCATAATGTATGTTTAATAAGCTTAATTGTAACAAATGGAATAACAATAATATTTCTGTCTGTCACCTACTAAATTAACAGCCATTTGTATGCAGTGGCAAAATTAAGAATATAGTATAGATAATATCAAAGACAGCTCAATCTGATGTGTGATGTAGTTTTGGGAAGTTATTTGAAAATTATAAATGATAGATTTTTAAACAGTTTATCTAGCCCTGAGAGACATTCCATATCGATATTCAGCACTCAATCAATGACCTTCTGTTCCAGATTTACCACCCTTTTGCGACAACATTGTAAATGTGATAGAGGCTACAGTTTTAGAAGATATTTTTCAGATTCGATGTGAAGCAATTTGACGATGAGACCTATCGATTTTCTGTTTTTCGTCCATCTCTTGCAAGGAGACTGCTTGTTCATCTTTCAACAGCCTACATAATTATATTTCAATACTCGGAACATAAATATTGATTCCCATATTGTAATTAATTTATATTCCACAAAATTGTACTTAATTTATATTCCCAAAATCCACGATTTTCTTCACAAGAATGTAAAAAATTATGTCACTGAACGACTTACTGGAGAACACACATCTTACTCCATTGGCTATCTGGATTTGTAACTTCCATTTTCAATATATTATCTTCAGGTAATCCTACACCAAAGAATGCTGGTAGTGTTACTCTGACACCATCTGATTCTGATCATCATACTAATCGTAAAAGTCAGATGACTATACAAGAAGAAGATGCTACCAGTAAGTTTATTTAAATAAACTTATTATTTACCACAGAGTATAAGAATTAAAATGCAGTTGTGGGGAAACCCAGAGAATATGCCACATTACTTGTTATGTTCCCCATAACTAAGGTTTATAATTTGCTGTATTTTTATTATTGTAGATATGTGGATGTCTGATGTAGCATCTAGGGAGAGTGATGTATTTACCAGAAGTTTGAAATTAAATGTTACTGGTGAACCAAGAACAGATTCTGTTTCTTTACCAGAATCAATAATGGGAGCTCGACCTGGTGCAGAAAAAAATATTAGAGTATGTGTACTCATTTTACCAGATAGCATATTGGTCCCAAACTTATTAAAACCGATCATTCCTACCTAAATTTCTTTTATAACCATAAAAAGTTAACATTTGAAAACCACTTTTTATATGCCCACATTTTCATGTGGACATATACTGTCATCGCCCGTGTCAGTCCATCCATAATTTGTTTGTGGACACTCTACAAGTCACAATTCTTATCCGATTTTGATGATAACTTGAAATACAGGTTTATCTCCAAAAGATCTCGGTTCCTTTCGATATTGGCATGTATCGGATCGAAACTTCATGGATTATGGACCCTGATTGTACGGAAAATCACGTTTTTAACTTGTGGACACTCTAGAGGTCACATTTTTTATCCGATTTTAAATGTATCACCGTTACACCCTAATGAGTTCGAATTTCGTGAAAATCGGACCGAAACTGCCTGACAAAATAGAGGCTCCTTGTAAGCGAATAGTGTAAAAGTTTGTAATAATACCAAGGTCACAATTTTTATTCGATTTTGATGAAACTTATAACATATCTTTATATCCCAAATTTAGCTTGTTCTCTATTCATCTCTTGCAAAATGTGGGCATAACTTGCCGGGCCACTGCTGGTTGACCTTTATTTTAAAAAAATTTGAATAAGGAAAATGATATTGGCCGTTTGGCTTATTGTCACTTGAAGATTCATAAAAGCCAAATACAATGATAAGTATTTTGTGATTGTATGAAACACTCAATTATTAAGGATGCATTATGTAAGATTGCTATAATAGTTTAAAAATATTGAAAATTTCATTCAAATTACTTTATTCTGGGCAGACAGTTTGAAGATGCAACGTAGATTGTTTATTATTGTAGCAACAGTACTTGACAACCAAGACTTTAAGTCTTGATTCTCCATTCTATGTTTAAATTTTTAAATATCGTGGATGTTCAAATCCATTTAACTCCCAGCCATCCGATGTTCTTCTAGTGAGTTGATTATAGGTCTGTCATGTGAATAAATGTCTAAAAAAATAAATTATATAAAATTTGAAGCCAGAAAGACTTGCAATAGGCAGATTTTAGCTCTTACATAATACATGTTTAATACTATTAAAGGATCCTGTTAAAAAAATATGTCTGACATTTATACATTGTGACACTTTTTTTTTTATTCTTTCAAATATCTTCCATATTTAGGAACTTAATTTATCCTAATCACAAATATTGTCTTACAGTTTTTAGAAATCGAAGAACCTGTACGAAGAAAAGTAAATAATACAGTTATAGCTGGAGCCAATGAAAAAGGAAGAAATCAGTTAGAAAAGATGCGTGGATTAAGTTTATTACCTGATAAAGTGAATTTTGGTGTTTTACGTGAAGGTTATACATATAGTTACAGTGTATATTTAAAAAATACTGGTGTTGATACATGTAGATTTAAAGTTAAACAACCACCTCCTGCTACTGGTTTAAAAGTTATATTTAAACCAGGTCCAGTAAGTACATAATTCCCATATATATTAAATATGTTTGCAGTAATCTCTTTGATTTTCAATCATTATTCATTAACAGAATTTGAGCTAGACTTTTAGAAGCTACGTGGAAAACACATTAAGTCCCAAGAGCAGAGGGGAGGGGACATGATGTCACTTTTGTAGGACCAACTAACAATACATACAGCTCTACACAGTGAACCTATATGGTCATTCACATTTTATGATGGTTTGGTCTTAGGACTGTTTTTGATTTGCAGGTTGTTCAGTATTAATATACATGTCTGTTTTAATAATATCTTATAATATTTATAGGGTTATAAAACAAAGGGAATTAAATGTAAATTACACATGATTTATATAAGCCAAATGACTAGTTTCGAAATAAGATATTGATTTCCACTGGCTATTAATTTAGAATGGCTGAAACTACCAATAATAAACTGTGTATTAAACATGCATTATGCAAGAGCAAAATCTGCTTATTACAAGTCTTTCTTTAGGCCTGAAATGTTATCTAAATTATCAATTAGACATTAATTAACTTATCCAGACCATAATAAACTCTCGATGTCAAGGCTAGCCTTCGATGTAGGCTGGATTGGATTCCTATATGCCGCTAACGGCCAAAGATAATTAAATCAGAAAAAGTGGATAATCGAGACTATGCTGTTTATATTAATGATTTTAGTAATGATAACCGAGACTATGCAAAAATTTCACCGAGACTATGCAAAAATTTCAACGGCTTCTTTCTCGGCTCATAGTGGATCAATTTGACTGAACTTTTCAGCAAATTACCTTTACACTATCTAGTTTTTAACTATTATAGCGAGAACTGCCATCTCTTTATCTTATCTCCCATAATGTATCTTTAACATGCTGTTGTGGAATAAATTGTAGATTATGGTTGATTCAAGTACAACGGTTGATAATGCTGAAAAAGTGCTAGACAAAAACAAAATAGGGTTTAACATCTTACTTTCTGCAATTACCAAGTCAACAAAATCTTTGAACAAAACCTTTTTGACAACTATTTCTATACACCCACGCATCACCCCAGTCTGTCTGTCAACAACTGCTCGATAACACAATAGAGGATAAGGTTCTTGACTGATTTTTTAAAAGTTTGGTGGGATGATTGTAAACCTTGAGCTAATTAGAGAATGATCCCTATCGTTTTCTTTAGCATTCTAAAACATTTTGTTTTAAGAGTTATTCTCTGACAGCAAAATCTATTGTCAACGCAATATGATTTTGAAGGCAGCATCATAAAGTAACCCTATCGATTTTCAGTGTTCTCTGATTTTCATTTTGGAGTAACTGCAACTGTCATTCTAACATTGGAATTTCTCGTCAGTGCGATAGTGGTTAGTTTTTGACTGATGTTTTTCAAATGTGATGTGAAGCATTACGATTGTGAGAAGATGAACCCTATCGATTTATTTTCAGCATGACAGATCTCCGTCCCTTTCAATATTTGCACATTTCAGACCATAACTTTCTGGATTATGGCTCCTGATTGTACGAAAAACGCTTCTGTTTTTAGCGGGTTCTCTACCCATACTTGCAAAATGTGGGCGTATCCTGCCTGGCAACCACTGCTTAACTATTACAGCGAGAACTGTCAACTCTTTATCTAAATGTATCTTTAATTGAGGAAAACATATATTGGCCTTCTTTAAAGATGCATTATGTAAGAGCTAAAATTGCAGGTCTTTATTTTGTCTTCAAAAGGTACATTAATTAAGATATTTATTCATATGACAAGCCTATAATCAACTCTCTAGACCATCAGATTACCTAGATTTAAACAGATTTAAAAAAAAAGGTTGCCATTTAATGATTTAATTTAAAAATGGCAAAACGAGGCTAAGTCTTGAATATTAAGTACTGTTGTTACAATGATATACAATTCATGCCACATCTTGTCAAAACTTCAAACAGTGATTACGTAGCTTAGAATAAAACAACTTGAATGAAATTTCCAAACTTATTCATTTTTCATTATTGTTCAACTATTATAGCAAGAAATTTTACATAATACATATTAATGGTAGTCAGTCAACAGAAGTACAGTTGATAACCATAGATGAGTCTCTCTGTAAATCAATATATATTATTCCTATAAGTATAATTTGTGTGTATGTTTATTTACAGGTAGCTGCCGGTATGAGAACAGAGTTACATTTAGAATTGTATGCTATAGCTGTCGGTGTTGAGGGTGAATCAGGGGTCGGAGGAATACAACATGACCTTCAAATAGTAACCGAAACTGATTCCTTATCGCTACCAATTAGAGCAAATATCCTTTTATAGAAATGTTAATATCTTTAAATAAAAAGTGACCATGACTTGTATAAACAGTCTAGTTAAAATTATACCAACACTTCATTTGTCAGTTTACTCGGTTGTATCTTGGTGTAAAGACATTTTTTCTGTGGGGTACATTCAGTAAAACATGGAATATGATTGGTAGGCTTAAGATCATTTTACCAATCAAAACCCTTGGTGCAAAAAAATCACTATTACTAAATTGCTATGTGAAAATCACTAGTTGATAAAAGACCTCCTGAAATATGCTAACATCACAATCACAGGCCTAAAACAGATAGGTAGTGCTCAGTCAAATATACAGAATAAAAACATCTGCTGTCCAGTTTAAGTTGTATCACAGCCAAATATCTGTATAAAAGTTTAAGTTTGGTGAGATCTGGTCTGCACTATTATATTGGATTGTATCAATTTTCCTATAATTTTGAAATATTCTTCTTTACAACATTCTGTTACTGTTTTAATTCCACTTAGCGAAGATATAATACCTTCAAAATTTGATTACAATAAAAATAATATCTTTAGGGGTCCACCAGACCCTTGAATACCGGAGACAGTTCTTTTTTTTTTCTGTCATTAGAAACTGGATAATCATACTACAAATTGTTAGAATAGAAATTGGACCATATATTTGTTTCCGGTTTATGCTGTTTATAATACAGTATGGTCCAACAACATCTTTAAGAAGTTAGTGTTCAACTGACCTGACTTGATCATTCATTTAGCCAATGAAAATGTGCCTTTTCCTTGGCAATGATGGTTCAAGATAATCGATAGACTAACAATGTATCCAAGTCAGACCAAAACAAATTTCAATTAGATTGACTGATCAAAGAAACGGTTGTGTGATTGTACTACTGTCATTCCACACTGATCAGCAGTGAATATTCACAAGGCCGCGACAATCACTGATAAGGATGACATCAATGCGACTTAATTTAATGAGCCACAAATATTAACTTTTTTCCTCCGACAAATTAATTTTTATGTATTAGAAAAATAAAAACGTTTAATTTATTTGTAGGTAAAAATTATTTCCTATTTAGTGTAAGTGGGTATTAAAATGAGTAAAATGTTCCATTCCGCCCGAACCATGCGCCATTGAGCCAATGATTGACACTGCGTGATGAAAAGTCACGTGTTGAAGGTAGTCATCTTTTACAGAGATATTAGAAGACTTTCGTAATCCTCTGTGAAACAGCTATTGCAGTCATACCCCAAACAAATACTACTTTCCCGTCCAGAGTACCCATTTATCTTTCTTGGTTGAACAGATTATTTACGATTCTTAACTAAACTCACCAATTTTAACAGCCCATGAATATGAAAGAAAAATATCACAAGGTCCAATGGGATATCAGAGAACAGCTGGTGCACAGTTGATATCTACTAAACCTCCCAGCTCGACGGGTATAATAAGACCTAGAAAAGACAATATGCCAATAGGTATGTATAGCAATACTTTATATATTTACTGTATTTTAGTGAAACATTTATCCGGATGACGGGGGGTTGGATGGCTGAATGGTTAGCACATGCGCGCTGTATCATAAAGTCTGTCATTGAGTCAACTGGCGTGGTTTCGATTCCCCGGTTGTAACGTGACATGGAGTAGGGTCCCTGTCCAACCTCGTGGGTTTTCTCCGGGTCCTCCAGTTTCCTCCCACTGCTAAAGACCCCTACATGCAAGCGAATTATTGAAATAAAATTAAACCATGTCAGTCTCGAAATGACCTAGTTTGTGTCGAGTGGACGTTAAACCCCCATTTCTCTCTCTTTATCCGGATGATACGATTAAAGCATGCAAGTTTCATGCATGAAAATGAGCCAATTTTTGATAACATTTATCCTACTTCTTAAGATTTGAAAAAATTCATTAGCTTTCCTATTAAGGTTTTCAAAACTCTGTAATTAACCATGGAATTATACAGTTTTTCACCATGGTTCATCCATATGACAAGAATTAAGTAAATTCAATTAACCATACAAGATTAAAAAATGCACCACGGGTAAGGGTCATAACTCTCTAAATAATTAAGAAAATGGGCTCATTTTCCACAGAGTTAATCGTTTTCTGAAACAGTTAACCTATGCCAAAAGTTGATGAAATATGTTTTCTCTGAAATGTGTTTGCAATGAAAATGGACACTAAATTAACTGAAGACATTATACAAAGACATCATACTGCAGATATATACAAAAGGTGTATCTTGGATATAGAGTATAACCTTAGACATAAATTAATGATTATCTTTTAAATTTTACAAGTGATCATCTAATATCTTTCAGAAATGTCAGCATAGAAAAGAAAATTCCTTAACCCAGAGGAAGGCAAATATTAAAATACAGAACATCATTCATTCCTAACTAATGTGTTTTTATGTATAAAATTTTACTGTGATAGTGTATCTCCTTTTTTACATTACAATAAGTTATAAATTGTAAAATATTTGTATATATAAAGGGTTTTCATTCTTCATATTTGATGTGTATATTCAGTAGGACATTTTTGGGTCTTTTATATATTTATTATTATACATAATTATTATTCTGTGATAAAATAAAGAAATATATAGGTGAAACGTTTTGTATATTTGCTCAAAATGAGGTATCTGATGAGTTCTTGCTGGGAAAGTCTTTTCTATTTTATCAATTCCACAATGAAAAAGCCTTATAGAAAAAGTGTAGGTCCATATAGAATTTTGTGGGATTTTATAGAATACTATAGGAAAAAGAATTCATTCTATAGATATGTTTACAATGCTACAGATCTGAAATAATTTACTATAGTATTGTATAGGATCGGTAACTTGAGTTTTTTCTAAGTGTAATTTCCTATAGAATTCTATAAAATACTGTAAGAAGCTTTGGAAAAAAAATGAACCTACAGATTTATTTGATCCGCTATAAAATTGGTGGTAAAAACTATAGTTTTCTTTAGAACTAACTTGTATCCTGAAGTCAATTGTGTAATCCCATCGTTTTCTATGATTTTCTATAGAAAACCAAAGAAAAAACATTTGGTTTGTAGATTTTGTGGAGAAACATATATAGATGACCATTCTATAGTATAGAATTTAGATTTTACTTAACCCAATTTAACAAATATATCAGTATACTGCAGAAAAATTTAGGAAATATATCTTATACAACAGATTCCATAATTTGGACATCTGTGTTTGATTATAGTTATAGCTTACTATAGAATTTACTATAGAATGGACAGATTATTCTGATTCCAGCAGAATTCTCCTAATTGTCTCTCATACCAAATGCCATGAATAAAAAATAAAGCCTTCAAATAATCTAAAATTTGTTTAATGTATAAGTATGAAAATGAAATTTTGATACATATTGTCGCTTTAAGAAATACTTCACCCCACCTTACAAAACATGCCAATCATAGAGCTTTAAAGCAAAAGGAATCAGTAATAATTATACTTAAAATAAAGTCAAAGAAATCAAGACAGATAATAATACTAGAGTTTATTATGAATACAATCTGACTGTTAAGTATCCTGCTAGTTAGATCTTAATGTCTATAGCCGATTCTGTACTCAAATTATATATCTAACCATACAGTGGATGTCATCCAGCCAACCGTGAATACCTGTCGATCAGTCATCATTAACAACCAAAGAGTGATTCGTAAATCACAGTTCGTTCAAATGAAGTATATCAGCCGGGTCGGGAAAGGGACCCTTTTATAAACCACTTCATGGATATTTACCAAATAATACGGCATTAATTTTGACTTCATCTCCTAAATCCCTTTTAGAGATTTCGACAAAAAAAAAAAACGGTACCTAGCCTAGAGGGGCATATTTATACACGACTTCAAAGATGTTTAATAAATACGGTAGATATGTTTCTTGGGTGTCGGGTTTGTTGAAATAAACTGGGCTGAAAGTGGACCAATTTGGACTACATCTAAAACGTTTCATAGATTTCAAACAAACGAAAAATGGCATGTAGAAATGTTACCATGGAATGCTTTTTTCTCCTTTAGGATATTTTTAAAAATAAGAGTACCGGTAAAAGCGTGGGCGTTTTAACTTGTTTAAAGAAAGAGCTTCATAGATTCCAACATAGTTTAGTGGGGGATTTTTGTCTTGGAGTTGTTTGGAACAGGTATATGTTCCTCTTGCTGGCTTGATTTTATCGCTAGCATATTATTGAAATATAGTTAGTCCCTATATAACAGAGTTTGTGTGGATTGAACTTATATAAAAAAAAAAGCCAGATCATTCAGCAAGCTCTTCAAAATCTATTTGAGATGAACATTGATGAAACAGTCGTTTGTTTGGCTTGGTTAGATAAAGGTCAAAAACTAAGTCAATAGTTGGATTTGATTGAAGTTATCAAGAAAATTTGCAAGTAAGAAGGCCGACAAAGAATTACAGGTGATAAAGAGAATAGCAATCCCATTGATTTACAGACCTTTAATTTTATTGTTTTTTACTTTACGGGTCACGATCTTAAAGAGGAATTATTCACATCAAGTCTGCTTTTCAATAATATTACATTTAAAATTTCCCTTGACTCGCCTAATTATCGAAAATCCAAGCATCTATCTTAGGCTCTTTGACACCCCCAAGAAATGTATTGAAATTTAAAACCCAGCGATGGATGGGTATATTTGTCTGAAATTTGTATAAAATCCAATTATAAATCTTGGAAGGAATGTCCACCACGTTTTATAAAATGGCATCATTGCGTTCACAAGATTTATTGAAATTGTACATGGAAGGACATATAGATCGGAAACTGATAATTAAAAGCAAATGACCAATCCCAAAATAATTTTAGATGAGCTGAAAGGGCAAAATGATCTGTTTTTATAGGATCGGTTAAACATGCATTATGCAAGAGCAAAATCTGCTTATTACAAGTCTTTCTTCAGGCCTGAAATGTTATCTAAATTATCAATTAGACATTAATTAACTTATCCAGACCATAATAAACCCTCGATATCAAGGCTAGCCTTCGATGTAGGCTGGATTAGATTCCTATATGCCGCTAACGGCCAAAGATAATTAAATCAGAAAAAAGTGGATAATCGAGACTATGCTGTTTATATTAATGATTTTAGTAATGATAACCGAGATTATGCAAAAATTTCACCGGCTTCTTTCTCGGCTCATAGTGGATCAATTTGACTGAAATTTTCAGCTAATATCCTTTACACTATCTAGTTTTTAACTATTATAGCGAAAACTGCCATCTCTTTATCTTATCTCCCATAATGTATCTTTAATTATACCATCGGAACGACCAGACACTGTCCTTTCACACGTCCCCCACCCTGCACCACAAGGAGCGAACCCGAGATCTAGTTAGCGAGCGTCCTACTCCCTGAGCCACTGCAACTCACATGCTCCAATGAACAATACCACCTAGGTTTGGCATTTTTGGGCGGGTTTGGTGACTTGCTGTACTGGGGCGTTAATGTGGAATCCTATCAAATTTCAGAATATTTCGACAGTAAATATCAGTTGCTCTCCAGTTTTATTTTTGTTATATTGGACGAAGTTTTCTTTGGATTTTTTTTTTATATTTGATAGAATATTTTTAATTGAGGCAAAAGGAAGAGGTATGTTTAAATTAAGAAATTTCGACTGTAAACCTCAGGCGCATGACATAAGGCCATAATATATTTAAAACCTAATTGGGTTTCTCAAAAACTGACTCAATTTCACGTGAATTTGCATGAGATTTTTAATGAATAATATAACAGATCGGCTAACTTCTTTTTGGTATTTGAGTTACATACCTGTATTATCATTATCATATGAAATCTGGCACTGACCCTTTAAATATACGTGAGATTAAGAACGAAGAAACAACCAGTTATATGGTGTCTTTAAGTCACAGGCCACCGACGTTTAACAAAACCATAGAACATTATTTATTGTCTAGAACTGTCTTTATTTGTTCAGAAGAAGCAAATATTTGCGTATAATTTCTAACTGTCATCCAATAAAATTATAGAAATCGGCTGACAACCCAGCTTTAAATAGATGTATATTTGAGTGATGACACGCGCGTAAAACTAATGCAAAAATAATTCAAACTAAAACAATCTTTGGTATTTAGTTTTCCCGAAAATACTCATGTCAGTATAGAAGCCTATAATATAACTTATATAGGGCGGTAGCACGATTTAACTAATATCATTTAAACCGGACCATATTTCTGATAATCTAAGTGATTTTAATCAAACTGCTCTCTTTTAAGCCTGTTTTCCACTAGGCGAATTTTTTCGCGCGAAGCAAATTTTTTCGAGTACAGGCATGCGTAGTATAATTTCAAGCGGCGCCACACTTTTCACTGGCTCTTTTCTCTGCGAAAAAATGAGTTCGACCAGTTTCTACTTTCCAGGAGCGAAAAAAGGAGCAAGCCAATCAGAATTCCGTAAACTCTCACGTGGTAATACAACTCACGAGGCAAGGCCACCCCATTCTCGTTTCTCCCCGCAAACAAAATGGCTGAACTGAACATTTTTCTCCTAAACCAAATGATGAAGAATGGAAATTCGAATCTTTCTGATCTGGCTAGCACAGCAATCCTTAATGATGAACAGGAATTGAGAATGGTTGATGATTCTGCTGCAATCCCTGCTGGCCCAAACAGTACCGATAGGCCTATTGACGGCGAAACTCAACCTGAAGTCGAAAATACAAGCGCGATTGCTCGAAATCTTTCGCGGCAAAAAAATTCGCCTAGTGAAAAACGGGTTTAACAGCTTTTGAATTCTAATAGGCCAAATCCCATTGACTTACATAACGCGTGTGAGAAAGGCGCTGGCTCACTAACCAGGTCCGGGGTTCGACCCTAATGTTGGCAGAAAAAATTACCCGGGATTTTCCAGTGCGGTATCCCCATGTCTGTGTGGTGCCGACCGGAAGGCCTGTCAAGGAACAGTGCCTAGTCATTCGGCTGGAACAAGAAACCGAGGTCCCATGCTCACTTTGGCGTGTACATTAAGAACCCTTGTCGGCGTTGCGTATGTCTGTCTTCACTATACCTGATTTCAATCATTCACTCATTAAGGGCGTAATTTTGTAGGATTTCTAAATGAGACAAAAAGCCTAACAATCGATAGGGTAATTCGTAAGCAATGAAAAAGAGCTTAGCTTATAGAAATGAGGCAAAACCCCAATCGATTAATAACGCATACAATAACAAATAGCAATACTTACTTGCTTTAAAATAATAAGATGTATGACAACAGTATGAGATAACTCACTGTCGGCACAGAGTATTTTACTATCTGTGCTGTCGGTACATAACGTCATTAGTATTGTGACGTAATTTATTTGTTACCAATATTTACGAAACTAAAAGCACAGTACGCCGAAAAGTTGCTCGGTGGCTCTGATATAATATACATGTGAATTAAAACATAATTATCACAGTTACACCTACATTGAACTGCAATTCCCATGTATAACAGGTTCAAGTAGTTCGGATGAAACGGAAAACTAAGGACACTTGTACACGTTGGAATTCGAAATTAGACTAGTTCTGTGAGTCGTAGCGGCACTACCTGAGCACAACACCCTACATAGTGTATGCCCGTCATCAATAGCACGGATGGTGCAGACAAGTAGGACGCTAAGCCTCATTTCCTTTCACTTTTTTGTCCAGAAATGGCCTGGTGAGTGTCGAGTGTCCGTTAAATACCTATTGTCTCTCTGACTCTGTCACAGAAACAAATGGAATTCGCCGTTGAGTTACCAACATAAAACCGATCAGACTTTTGGGTTTTTATTTTAAATTCAGCTAAATTTAATTTAAATTCAATTTAAATTCAATTTCCGGTAGGCCTATTTATATTTCGTGACATTATGATCTCCAAACTCTACAGGTCAGTTATCATTATTATATTATTTTATAAAATTGTCAGAAATATAGCAGTGTGTTAACATAGCACCAGCCTTCACCACCATTTACATAAAAAGTTAACAGTAAATGAAAAATGTTTATTTTGACCTCGTCCCAAAACTGCAACCATTCTTCACTATGTCGTAAGGTGGAACATAAAAAAGAAAAGTGTGTTGTTATTTTATGTTATTTTCGTAGCTGTTTATCTATATCTATCTATCTACCTATCTATATATATATATATATCTATCTTTTTCTTCAGGGATAAAAGTTAGTATACATACACCATGCATTAGTTTTTATTCACAAAAATAATATCAACGGACAACTCGATTTTTGAAGAACAGGTATTACAGCATATTATACCTGGTTATTTGAAATGATAGTCTATCGTCATAACCCATGTAATTCATATAATAAATATAGTATAGCTGTAGTAACAACAATAAACTCTCCTGCTAATTACATGCTCGCATCTGTTAATTAAAACGAGCTATTGTAGTTGATCAGAAGTCTGAAGCGACAGTTGGCACTATATAAGTAATGTCAGACAAAGTTGTCGTCTTCTAGATTTTACCACTGATTCTGCGTGGGAAGCCCTCTAATTACTTTGATTTACAGTTCATGTTATATATATCCTGGCGCCTGTCTAATTACTGGACATACTGACAGTACCGTTAGACTTCCTTGTCATATTTACGAAGGCGATTTTCAAAAAAGACCCAACACGGCTTATGTTGGGTGCTGAGTTTGGTGGTATCCGCTTCAGCTTGTCGGACATCTGACAAACCATGATATTGTTCCCGGATATTAATAACACTTGAAAAGTTTCACTGTTACGTATATATTGAAAAAAAAATCTATCAATGTTTATAGGTGATATACAGTGGTATAAAAAGAAGCGCGGTGGATCTTTGGATCAAATTCGATTTAAATTCTTCTCACAATAAATACTGTTTATCATATCGACCAACATCTTACAGGTAAGTTCCTTCAATTTACTGCATCAAATTGTCTATGATTAGATATTTTATTATCATTACAGTGTGGATTATGTAGCTTTCGTTGTTTATTTTAGGAAAATTATTTTTGTCTGAAAGATATTATGAGTGGACAAATGATTATTTGTACTGTTTTGGGTGATTTGTTCTCGCCTACTGGGATCCACTCTTTTTAAATCGAATATTTCAGTGTGGATTGGGTAGTTCTTGTTCCTTTTTTTTAAAAGAAAAAAAGGATAATAATTTTTGTCTGAAAGATATTATGAGTGAACAACTGTACAGATTTGCATGATTGTGTTCACTTAATGCGATCCAGTCTTTTTAAATAAAACACTTTTGGGGTTGTTTTCAGCTTTATACGTTTATTTAACACATTTTAACTCGCCACTTTTGTGGTCTAATCTATTCACCACCGCCATAATCAAATATATATATATATATATATATATATATATATATATATATATATATATATATATATATATATGTGTGTGCTTATCACCGGTAAAGATTATCTGTCATTTGATATTGACAGAAAATATAATAATCAGATTGTTAGTGGGAACATCTGCGATTACAAATCCTTTTGATATATCAATTTTCAAAATCATTGGTTTATCTGTTTAATTAACAGAAACGAATGTAGAATCACGGAAGCAGGCCTAAGCCAAAAGATCTGTTCAGTCATAGATAATACCGTATTATCTATGGTTCAGTCCAGCTCACAACCCGGGTTTTGGCAATCGTCACCAATCGTCATTAATACTTACTGGAAGCAAAAAGTCAACTCATAACCGATTTGATTTTGGTAATGACGTAGATGATTTTGTCCACAGCAACATAAATGAAATAAAATAGAGTTTAACGTCCTACTTTTCTACACAAATCGGACCAATGACGACCGAAATAAGCCATACAGTGTGTTATGAGAGAAATTTTACCCGGACAGCAGCGCTTTAGCCTCTTATTTTCAGGACAAGGTGAAATCACGATTAAAAAGATCCCGGGGAAGTTTTCTCGGCCAACACAGGATGGAACCCCGGATCCCTTGGTTAGTGAGTTCAGAGTTCACATCGGTTGAATGTTGTCGTCAATAATACAGCAATAAGAATTTCGAACACTTCCATAACCGGGATTGAATGAAATAAATTTCTTTCTGTATAATTATTTCCATTTTTTATATGGTAAATTTTAAAAAAAACATAATCGATGGCTGATCCCGTCGTTTCATTTACTTTGTTTTATCGTGTTTATGTAATTCCCTGAGTATTGCGACACGTCGCACCAAAATCCAGTCGGACCAACAAAAGGACCAATCTCTACCAAGACAGAAGACCAATCGGACCAACTTATTTTATATTATTAGACCACTAGGACCAATATTTTGCTTGACTCATTCGTTCCATAATTAAAATACTGACATTGCTTCCAGGATATACCTGTCAGACATCTCATTACACACAGAAATTTATGTCCTCTTTTTACAACATTTTCCATATGTGCTATAAAAGTCATTTGCGATCAAAGGTCGCTCCTAGAAGCTTTTTTTGGGAGTAAAACTGTAGGACGTTAAACCCCATTTCATTTCATTTCATTTCATCTAGAAGCTTTGTCTGCACTGAATTCAATTCGAACATTGTTTAATTCCAGTTTCAAAGATAACACGTCCCTATGATCTTTACAGAAGAGCATATCTGCTGTTATACTTTCAGAAATTCAAAATTCCCAGTCAATTTCGATAATTTGTCTAACGTACCATAGTTATTCGTTGCATGCCAGATTGTCGTCTGCGAGGTCAATAATTTTCCTGATGTAGTTAATAGACTAAAGTTCATTTATCATGATATTGAAATGTGTCAGGCTTCTAACAGAACTAGTATGTTATTGTTGTTTATTACAATTTTCGTCAAATACATTATTGATGATATTATGGACAGCCCTGGAGTATACTTAATCCTTTATATGCAATATCAGCGATTTGACACTTCTCAAATAACCCTGATTAAAATTGAATTCATTTTTCTTTGATGTGTCTCTTTAAATGAAAATGTGGTAGTGTTTTCTCAATAACAATGCATGTGTGATTCGCGTTAGCGTATGCCAGATACAATCATATGGTACCAAACCTTAGTTTGAAATTAACCAAAAAGAGCATGTCGATTTGATCAAATTTGTTTGCCGTTAATTTATATTGCACGTTGGATATCTCTTCCCATTTAAACTTCATCGATCGTGGATAAAACCAGTAATCAATACTGATTTCAACTTTCGACAGTTTCAATCAAATGAACACCCTCCGCTTACTAAGCGAATGAAAATGTAATCACGTAGAGCTAACATCACGCCCCCAGTTCAACCCAATTGTTCAGTTTATTTTATACCAAATCAAAGAAGCCCCGCAAAAAATGTAAATAATATAATAAAAAACGATTCGCCTCTCAATTTTTTTTCCAGTTATAGTCTGATCTACAGACAGTAGTGTGTTGCCCGTAATGGGGTTTCTCAACATGTGTTTGCTTATAATGGTGATAATAATGACTATATACAGATTTCCTGCCAGTGCTGATCTTGAAAGATTCTGTAATTTAGAAAAAACGCACGAAGGTCCACATCCTAATGGTTTCTGTGGTGACGGCCTTGATCAGGTGCTCAGATTGGTATGTGGTAGTCCTTTCAAGCGATCGTCTCCAAGTGGTAGGTATATTAAAACCGTGTGCTTTTGATACAGATTTCTGAGACCGGGTGGTGGAGTTGACAAAGAGTGGCAGTGTATGTGTGTTTGTGTATTTATGTTAAGAAGGAGGGGGGAGGGGAGGGAACTTCAGCTTCAGCATACGGTGTTCCTGCAAAATTTATGTTATTTGCAAAGATCAAAAGGAAAGAGATTTAGTAATAATGTACATACATGTTTATTCCAACGCTAATAATCTGCGTAACGGAACCTGTTAAAAAATGCGATAAGGTTGGCGTAAAATAATTCATTAGCTTCGAAATATTGCCTTGGTGATCTGTAAACCTACATTTAGATGAAGTCCTAAAGGTTAACGTCAACTTTTCTATTAATTACAGATATTTTGCGTGCCAAGTGATTTATATTTGCTACTTATATGCTTTTAATTTTAATAAAAGACATACCGCGGTCCACCTGTGTCGTGTGGTGTCTTAACAAAGGCAATTTGTTTCCGTTCTGCAGTTTATCACGCGTGTTCCACTTTTTATCTAATAATAGGGTAGCGGGTTAGACCCGTGCTACTTAATCACAAAAGACAGATGACAAATGATTTATTTTTTTTCGTTTTAGAAGTCGATTTATTAAATACCGAAGAAGGAAGAGAAATATCGATATAGCTATAATATGAAATATTTTAGAAGTATTCGAAGTTTCTAAATACTGAATTTTTAAAACATTACTGAAAGTGTTTTTAATTAATAAGCTGTACTGAGCCAAATCAATATTTATAAAGATAGGCTTGGTATACACATGATCATACGATAGTTATTTTACTCATTTGTGAAATATTCGGTCCACAAATATTGTAACGCGTATAGCCAATCATTGCATTGAAAGAATATACACATGTTCCGGATATCACACAATCTTTCAATATCACGATTCCCTCGTTCCGCCATATCCTTAATGAAATGAAATTGTTTTGGGTTTTTTTCTCCCTACTTATCTGCACTAACCGCGGAAGACAGGCATACGCCACGTACATGTAAAGTACTATGTGGGAAATTTAGATTCCAACTGTCAAGGGTCTTTGATGTACACGCCAACGACTACACGGGACCTATTTTTTGAACCACCCACACGACATAAATATCCCGAGGAACTGTCTTGACCGTCATCGGGAACGAACCTCCTGTTTACCGAACCAGTGCTTTGATCACTGAGTCGTGCGCCATATTATATAGCGTCGATTATCAAATTATGGACTACAAGAGGTCCAGGGGACTATTATTTCATGGTGAGGAAGACATTCGAGGCGAATGGTCTGAAACCTCTTCACAATTTGTGACCAATCAAAATACAGTGTATATAGATCGGAACATAGTAATTCCTAAGAGGACTTTTAAAGTGGAATGTCTCCAACGGCGTTACAAGCTGAGCCCCGACATCAATGCCATCTGCACATAATATTAAGAACTTAATAATACACCCTTCATCAATCTGACTCGTAACTGTAGATTTATGTTGCGATCATTGGAGTCTATATCCTTCATAAGAAACCCATGCTAATTGGCTTGTTTGTTGTTCTTAAATTAATGTACTGTTTTTTTTTATATTTTTCAGGAGGAATAGAAACATTAGTCAAACGGTCTTTGAGAAATAAACCAGTAACATTAGATAAATTTAACGCGTTGTCATTCTTGAAACGTTCAGGATTTGGTAGACAAGGAATAACGTGTGAATGTTGTAACCATAAATGTAATATAATTGAACTTGGTCAGTATTGTAATGCGCTGCCATAAATTATAATTTCATAATACAGGATCATAACATTCGACAAGAAACGAACCTTACAGCCAATATTCTAAATATGAATACAATGGAGTCTTATGAGACAATTAACGAACGATACCTTAGTAACAGTCGGCAGAAAACAATTACAAAGCTGCATAAAAGATTAAAAGTGGAATCCTATTGACTAGACACATCATCATCAATTATACTGATTTCCATATGAGCACGAGCGAATGTCGTTAATAATGATTTTGATAAAAAATCTCACACATTTTCATTTAAAAGACTCGAAAAAGACGCCTTTAGAACTGTATTAAACCATCTATTGTGAAACTTGAAAGATTTGGAACAGATTGCCAAATACGGAAGGCTGGTAATATTGACTTTATTGTCCTTCCATACTATTTTCATATTCTGTTTTCCTTTCTACACAATTCCAATTATCAGTATGAATTTAATGTATTATATATTCTCTCACTTTTCTGCCATTTACGTCTATATATTACTGAAATTATGATTATATGTACATAACTGATAATTTATGTTAACTTATTCATTTTTCTGTATCATAATAAGTTTACCGTGAATAAAACATCTATGACGCAATATTTAAATATGATTACCATGGAGTCTATAAGACAAAGATGTCATCTTAAAAACTTTTTTTAACATCACGTGAATAGGAGTCGGGTACAAAGTGCCTTTTGAAATGTATGTGTCTTAATAAAAAAAAAATATACATACATAACATGCATCGGTATTCTTTTTCTTATTCCTTTACATTCTGACCACAGAGCACTGCTTGCTTTGAATCGTACTGAATTGCCCAATTGAGGTAGCAGATACAAATCAACTATATTTCAAATGTGTCCACGCAGTCATAGAGCATACAGATGGCGACATGAAAAACAAAACAGGTAAACTTCGGGTTGTCATATAATCGGCCGATTTACATAATATTGAATAAAATCTACGACCGGGTGTTTTCACCAACATTTGTTAGTATAAATATAGCATATACTTGACAATCTTGACAATTATGACGATTTTCATCAAGCCCTAAATCGAGTTATTGCAAACATTTTGCTTTGAACTCCCCGGATTTGTGTTCCTAATGTTATAAGCTTTACAGAAATGTATAATTTGTTTAGCAGGGAGGACCTTGTAGCGGGAACTCCAGACAAGAAACTTTGGCTGGGGGCATACGTACGAGCCAGGGGGCCAGGCAGCTTCCCCCCTATCTTTCGGACAATCTGACATTTCAGGCAGACGGGTAAAGTAAAAAAAGAAAATTAGTTGGCAAAATAAGTGCCCGAAATAAAATAAAATAAAACACTAATTTTACTTTTCTTTTAATTTAATACAGGAATTTGTACTGAATTGACTATGGGTTAAACATTTTGTCTGGAGCCACTCTACTTTGTGCGACATTTTTCGGGCATCGATTATTATTTGTGAATGCAGCTGCAACAGTCTGATTGGCTGTTTGGGATGCGTTTGCGGCAGTTAAATTTTCTCCCTATGGTCCCGTGACTGTAAACAATTGATTCGTTGATTAGAATTCGAGTCGGCCCCCTAAATTATAGGCTATTTAGACCACTTTGAAGTTGCTGTATCTACGGACTTGAATAGCAGGTAAACGCGTTTGTGGCCGTCAAATTTTCTAAATTATCTTGGGGGATCCCTACATGGTAAGCTCCGCCCCTTCGCTTCTCGCAAAAGACTGACGCCGCCTCTGTAACCCGAAACTTTCCGGGCATTTCGGGTTCTACCCCCCTAACAGTCATCGGCCCCGTACGCCTATGCATCATATACACTTATTTAGACATATTTTAATGTTTTACTGATTATAATATCAAATTTACCGCCAATTTCAGGCATTGCCTCCCACTCTCCCTCTACAGGCCCTTTCCCCACCACCAAGATCTCTTCACAGTCTAGGACGTTAAACCCCATTTCATTTCATTTTCATTTCTCTTCACAGTTCCCCATAAGGGCATTACATACACTTATTTAAAGATATACATTGCTATAAATTTTTGTTTTATTAATCTTTCATATCACATTTCCCACCATTTTTATGCATCGGACAGCCCCCACCATCCCCTCACAAAGTAAAACATACTAATAGTCAATGTCCTGAACCGCGGTGGTTCAGTGAGTATGTGTCATCTACAACACGGAAAACTTTTAATAAACTACAGACTGTGATTTTAAACGTTGAAGTGGTAAACTGCTTTTAAAAGACTTGGAATTTTTAGGAAGCCACGCGAGCGAATGAGTGAAATAAAATTGAACCATATGTTAGTCCTGAAATGACCTAGTTTATGTCGAGTGGACGTTAAACCCCATTTCTCTCTCTCTCTTTCTCTCATTTCAATTTGGAATTTTTAACGAACTGAAAATAATCACACGGACAGTTTTTATTTAAATAATCCACGGTCCAGCTATGTGTTTTTTACCGCGAGAACTTCGCTTTTCCACATAAACCAACCTGATTCTTTTTCCCAACTGTTTTTTTTTTGTTTTTTTTTGTATGCGCACTCTTTGCTTTTACCCATTTCTTCCTTTTTTATATTACACCTTGATATGTTGTCAGTCTCTAACCACTCCACTCTAACCACAGGAATCTGACCTTCTATCCGTATATATATGCATACACCATGTCGTACCAGACAATATATAATAAAAAAGAACAGGAATGCAATGCCTGTTGAAAACTCGATCTTACCTGCTCTCGCTTCGGCTCGTTTTTTTTTTTCAACAATTCGTAATGTCAGGCAACCAAACTTCTGTCAATTCACTCAGATATGTTTTTTCTTCAATCTAGTCGTTTTGATTTGCATAAATACTCCCACAAAACGATATCATCGCCACTTGTTTCCAATATTTACATCGTTTTCGCCCATTTTCATTTTGTCACGACCGCCATGCGCTGACGTCACACAAATAGACGCATTCGACAGACCTCGTTTTTATTTGGTGCTGGGGTTGAGGGATTCTACCGATATTCGCCGAATATGCATAGACGTTTCACTGACGCATGAGACGACCCTACTCCTTATTATGTGTTAACCCTTCGGCCATTTTAGTAGCTTTTCATGTAAGCAATTTTAAAATGGGAGCTAAAGAATAAAATTTGCCTAATTTTTTTTAGTACCGTAGCTTTTCATGTAAGCAATTTTAAAATGGGAGCTATAGGATAAAATTTGCCTAATTTTTGTGATTTAAACAATGTTTTTTTGTTTTTTTTTAAATCAACTTCATAGGGCTTTGGCAGAGTAACACAAGCTGTGACAGGTCTTGTTATTGAAAAAATATTTATAAATACAATATTATGTGATATCAATATAATTTTTAGTTCATCTGATTTAACATTTCGTATTTTAGAAACAATTAAAACTAATGTAAAAATTTCAATTCTGCATAGGCTAAGTAGGCCTACTATTTAAGAAAAAAACAAAACAATTATAACAAATAAATCGTACATTCAATTTTGAAGGGCCTCAACAGAACCATTTGTAGTTTGTTGGATTTACCAAACAGCATTTTAAAAGGAAAAAAACCTTTATATATAGGCCTATATAAAAAAAAATCCTATGAAGTTGATTTAAACAACAAAAAAAACATTGTTTAAATCACAAAAGAAAATTAGGCAAATTTTATCCTATAGCTCCCATTTTAAAATTGCTTACATGAAAAGCTACGGTACTAAAAAAATTAGGCAAATTTTATTCTTTAGCTCCCATTTTAAAATTGCTTACATGAAAAGCTACTAAAATGGCCGAATGGTTAACACATAATAAGGAGTAGGGTCGTCTCATGCGTCAGTGAAACGTCTATACATATTCGGCGAATATCTGTAGAATCCCTCAACCCCAGCAACAAAAAAAACGAGGTCTGTCAAATGCGTCTATTTGTGTGACGTCAGCGCATGGCGGTCGTGACAAAATGAAAATGGACGAAAACGATGTAAATATTGGAAACAAGTGGCGATGATATCGTTTTGTGGGAGTATTTATGCAAATCAAAACGACTAGATTGAAGAAAAACATATCTGAGTGAATTGACAGAAGTTTGGTTGCCTGACATTACGAATTGTTGAAAAAAAACGAGCCGAAGCGAGAGCAGGTAAGATCGAGTTTTCAACAGGCATTGCATTCCTGTTCTTTTTTATTATATATTGTCTGGTACGACTTGGTGTATGCATATATATACGGATAGAAGGTCAGATTCCTGTGCTCTAACTTATTAACTAATTTCTATGTCTAAATTACTATATCCGAGATAACTCTTTGAATAATTTCAACATTGAGAGCATACCTTTAATTTAAACCTGTATATATTTTATGAATATAATTTTATACAATGTGTTTATATGCCTTACGGGAGATGAATTTATATATGATCAAACTTGTTTTCAAATCCAAAATTTTAAATTTATATGGTGTAGGCCTACCTTAATATGTGAATAGTTGTTGAATAAACAGTGTTAGAAGAAAGAGTAGTCGGAAATGCCGCTGTCTAGGCAAACTTTCCCTCAGAGCACACTGCATAGCGCTTGCACTTCTTCATTCAGAAATGACTGGAAGCCTACGGCTAGCCCCCGAATCCATTCACTTAATCGTGGTAAGATAATTCGGAGACTATTTGCCACATATGGCAAGTCTCCGTGCCGCAATTATCAACCGATTTCAATGAAACTTACAGATCACGGTAACATTAATAATATCTCAGAGTAGCCAAAATTTCGAACACTTCCGGTCCGGTGAGCAGTTTCCGAGACATCGGATTGCCACACATTTCATGTGTAAGGCTGACTGGCACCATTGTTTAAGGGCAAGGTAAAGTGACAAAAATTGTCACAACACCTGAAATGGGGGGTGGGGGTCCTCAAAAAATCATTCACAACACCTTTAGTGCCTTCGTGCTTGAGATGATACTGAACAATAAAAAATGGATGAAAATAAAAAATAATGACTTTGGAATTTGTAATTTTGGAAATTATGAAGCAAATATACCATTCAGCACTGCACAGCTACAGGGTAAACAACTCAACATGGGAAATCAGTCTCACAGAGATACCTGAATATATACACTACAACCATCAAGACTTCAAATTTTGAAAACTATCTTTGTTTTAGCACACCACGTCCATATCATTAAATATTTTTTTTTCAAATATCCACCATTTTTTTTCAAGGGACTACTTTCAGACTTTTTGCATGGTGTACCATCATAAACATCATTTGGATTAAATGTTTCGTGTCTGTATGGAAAATTGTAAATACTGCATCACAATTTCCTTGAAACTGCTTTTGGTTTTCAGCAATTTTTTATAATGAATACGGCCGCCATGTTAATTCCGGGGAGTATGAACGTAAATACCCGGTTGTTCACTATGTTATCGCATCAATCAATCTGTGTCAAACTGTTTTAAAATGTGCACAAATATTAAATTTTTAAATTTTCCCACCCAAATTTTTATTGTTTAATAAAAATAATAATAAAGATCCATGGACCGACTTATCTCCGGGCTCCACTTTCCACAGTAAAGGTTATAGAACATTTTATTTGACATGTCAGCGATCTCGACCGCAGTTTCTCTACGTCTACCTACTTGTACTTACCTTCGCTTTATCTTTTAATTTTTATTAAAATATTGATCTTTTAAATT